TGAAAGTTTTTTACCAAACGTTATTTACATTTTTAGTTTTTTATACTATAGCGGGGAAATTTACCTAATGGTTAGCTTGTTTACTTTAATAATTAAATAACTTTCTTAACTTTGTTCAAAAGATGTGCAATAGTGGAAACAGTTTTACTAAATTTTATTTGGAGGATAACAAGAAAACCTTATAAAAGAATATTTACAAGCAATGGGGGGAAAAAAATCTCTGAATGATCCGCCAAGTGTTCTAGAGAAGTTACGGGCAGTTTAGATTGGATGCGACTTTAACAAGAAAAGTCGGGAAGATTGATCCCCACGCTGTCCTGCGTCATTTCACAGCTGCTTCAAACAGAGCACGCATGAAGTCAGCCGTATCCCGCGGATTCTTCAGACATGTTTTAAACACTCTGCGTGCTACAGTGTCAACATGAAAACCGCACACTTCTGGGATTAATAAAATGAAAGCTAGTAATGAGTGGCACCGTTCAAAGATGAAGGCTTGGGAGCTTAATACTGGATGTTTATGTGCGCAAAGTAGGAGACGGAGAGAATGAGAGAAGGGTAAATTCAAGTGGATAATAAAGTGAAAGAGAATAAAAAGTAAGTGAGGGAAAGCCGCAGAAATTGATGCAGAGTTTCCAAATGAGGATCCAGACTGGAGGAAGATATGTGGAAGAGCGTTAGGTTCAAAGGCTTGGAGAGAGTGGGATGTTCGGTTTGACAGCTGGCGGGGGATTATGCCAGCCGTCCTCCACGGATACTCACAGATCTCATAAAGGCCAATCAATCAAAGCCAGAACCAGTTCCCAGGATTTGAAGTTAGACAGCAGGAAGACTGAAAACTGTGAGATTAGAGGGAAGATTTGTACCGACCGTTTAGATTTTTGACGGTGCGGTTTATAATTAAAAATAATTATTACAGAAATCCAAAACAAGCATCCTTTGCAGCAAAGTTAAGGTTTGCCGGCAAGTTGCAAAGAAGTAGATATTTATGCTGTGAGCTATCATAGCCAATTTATGCTAACTTCTGTGTTTATTTCAACAGCATCAATAAAGCTTAATAATGGTTAAAGCAGCACAAGACACATAGCTTTCCCAAAAGATGGATTTAGGCATAAATCCTTCTAAGTGCCTCATTTTGACTTCAAATAAATAAGACAGTCCGCCCTCATTTGGGTAGCCATTTTAGCCACCTGGAAATCTTGGGCAGTTTGATCGTTGAATTTGTTTTGATTGACTTTTGTGTTAGAATTAGCCACAAATACAGAATGGTATAAAGACCTGTGAATAATGCCTCCATTTTCCCCCAGTTCTCTGTCTTAAGCTAATATTTCATCTTGGTACTACAAGGGGTTAGCATTGAGGGAAAAGAAGCTCAAACTTATTTGTTGCCAATGTTTCACTTTCCCCTCTAGATTATAGAAATAACCGAGCTGTATGAATTCACAGTATTTTTCTTAATTTTTAAAAGGCCATATTTAGGCTGAAAAGACCGTTAGCAGTAGCAGTTAGCTCGACAAACACAGGTGCAACTCATAACCTTAACGAGGTCTGTCCTGGTGTTGTTGAGCTAACTCGCTGACGCACATCGTTAATGTGATTAGTAACACCTGTACTCAAGTTTAGATGTTTTATTGTGTTTTTTTTGTAGGCTTCAAGCTGCTTTTCCTGCACAAATTGCGAGCTCTAAGTCCTGTATACAGAAGGTCAGAATAGTGCGCAGCCAATATTCACCCGGTAAAAGAATATTAGCTCGAATCATAAGGAAATTCATAAATCAACAGCTACTTAGATAGGTTAAATGACTCTGGAGCAATTAGGGGATGGGGTGATAGAGTTGTTAGATGTTGGGATTATTGAAGATCTATTTTCCACCGACTCAGATGACTCCACTGAAAGGATCAGGGAAGCTTTCACCAGAGTTTTAAAATTTATAAAAAAAAATCAGCAGTCCGTTCTATTCAAGCCTGCTCCAATAACCGATTGCCTCTGTAATCACACCTATTGTGTCAAGCTAGGATGTAAAATGCAGTTATTGCCATCTGATTTGGTAATTTGAAGTAATGTATCCCTGTCACCCAGCCTCTGGTTTGCAGTTTGAGTTGTGTGGGTGTGATTGATCGGGAAGTCAATCAAGGAACGATTTAGAAATAGACAAGGCAGCGAGGGACAAAATGAAGCTCATTCACCGAAAAAAAAAACCCCACAAATGACTGTCTTGCTGGAAATTGGCTTATCTTCTGATACCAAGCAGAATTGGATTTCTCAGACAGCTTGCTCCCCTGACAGCCTGTGTACTCCCATCCATCAATACACACATTCCCCTTTTTGTGTAAAAGGCACTCTGTCTTATCCTATGTGTACAACCTTCTAGCAACCTAATCAATATCCAATTTTTTTTTCCTTTTTCACTTCCTCACAGTTTCTTTGAGTGCTCTGAAACTCTATGAACTAACCCTGTTCGACCTTATAATTGACAAGTGACCTCCGGTACACAACTCTGCCTACACTTCCTAACTCAGCTAACCTCTGCAGGAATCACACTTTTCCATTTAATATAACTCGAGAAATCAACAACTGAACTGAAGCCAGTGGGTCAGGCAAGTCAATCCTAAACCTCTTATGTTAATCTCAACATGGGTTTGCTATGGATAACTGGTGTTTTCCATCATATGGTTCCTGAAAGTGCACCCATGAGTTTACTCAAGCATGCTCATTTGAACAGAGGGGGTATTTCTCCTGAGAGTTTATTAATAACACAAATGAGCGTGTTTGTGCTCTGTGAAAGCTTTTATCTCCTCATCGCGCAATTCATTCAGAGCCGATTATACTGAGGGTTGAAATAATTGCTACAGTAGAGTAAACTCACTTAAGAGATAAAAAGAAACACTGGATTAACACTTTGAGTTATAGCTGCTCTGCTGGTGATTATCGCTTAAATCAAACCCGTTACTCATAATGCAACTACTAGATCACCAATGTATAAACGTTTTGTCCTGCGAAATGATATTACGCCATTTGCGGTATGTAAACATGCACTGTAGCTAGCACTCATGTAATGGTTGTAGTCCCTCCTGGACAGGTTCAAATAAAGTCCATAAGGGTTCAGAAAGGGAAAAAAGGGCTCTGAATACAGGAAGTTAGCAGAATCTCTGTGGTCATCATCACTTATGATGTGATGTTTGGTATATTGGATGAACTTTAGCTCTTTTTTAAAAAGAATATTATTTATATTTTTAAATTAAAAAATTAGCTCTGTTATTAATAAACAATAAGATTGATAGATATCTTTGCATCCACAGTTTCCAGATGAAAAACATATAGTGGATAGTGGAAAACAGACATTATATTTCTAGGCCGCATTAACACATTAAAATTAAATAGCTCAGCTCATACAAAGGAGACACCAGACAGAGAGTTTTGAACCAGCAAAAGAACTTTAAGCTGGTCAAAAACTGTGTAAAGGTTGATACTTTTTCTGTTCTCTACATACTATAGTACTACTCATGTTGTATACAAGTCTCCATGATTGACAGAGTATACACAATGATAAAAGCAAATGGCATTTTAGACAGGGAGGACGAGCAAATCTTGCCACAAATCATGATATCTTTTAAGACAAATATGTGATACATTTTGTAAATCTTGCAATTTAATAGCAATTTCCTTCAAAATTCTTCTGGCGCCTTTAAATGTATCTTTTAACGTTACTTAACAAGCTGGTAATCAACTGGATAAGGGTCTACAACTGGATCATGTTTGTGAACAGAATACTTTGAAACATCTGGACCGATCGCAAAAAGTTTTGAACTTTTGGCCTAATGGAGTACCACAAAGTCCCAGTCTCTGCTTTTGAATCTAATTTAAGCATCTAATTCAAGAATGATCATCTCTGATTTGAAAAGAGTAATCTAAATATCTTCTTCTTTTAAGTGCGTGTAAATACAGCCATTAGCAGTTTAACACGATATAAAAGTTCATCAAAGGGACCATTCAGTTGAGTGACCGGTTGGCGTGAGACAGTTCACCTTAAAGTGTTGCGTGACAGAGGACCTAATGGTGATCACGCAGCAGAATTAAGGCTCTTATATGATGTAAACAGCATCTACACACCAAACACAATGAGGCCTAAGCTGATTACCAGTCACACTCGCTGCAATCCTGACAGGCAACAAGGAAAGACTTAGAAGAAGAAAAAAAAGCCTGTCGTGCTTCAAATTTACTTCAAAGTTGACCTCTGCAAGGGCATGAATGAGGGAGGAGTGGGTTACTAATATGTGGGGAATTACAGAAACAACCACATCTACGTGGAAGAACATCGATTTTCTTCAACTTCTTAACTGAACAAAATGTTCCTGACACTTCAAATAAAAGCCTCTTTCACCAGTCAGAGTTTGGCCTACTCTATTAAAAATGATTATTTTTTTCATATAAACACACACATAGTTCCATATCAAAAGTGACATGCGTAACACTATGGTAACAACGAGCAGCTGTTCAAACCCAAATGTGTCTTTCAACATTTTGAATATGTCATATCAGACTTATGTCATGTAAACAGAGCTGTGTTGTTTCTGGCTGTGGTGCATATTAATTCTAAAAAACTATGCCAGTGTTACAAAGAAGCGTATAATTGTGCATGAGTGCGGTCCAGACCCTGCGCAGCTATCAGAAACATTCCAGGGATTTTTTTGTTTGTATAGTTTCTTTCTATATAACAGTGGGATATTTCAATTGATCAAAATTGTATTAAATCAAACTCTAAAATGTCATCTTAATTGGACTTGAATGTCAGTCTGTATAGCTTGTTGTCCACAGAGACCACCAATACTATTACTATTACTGCTCTGATTCAGACTTTAAATAAAGTGACATATTAAAATAGACTTCGAAAATGAAAACAAACTCGGGTGCTCTGGAACACAGACAAAATATTGCGGTTTAGCCTGAAATGTTGTTTTAGGTGTTTTTCTTTAAAACAAGTTTTTTTTACTCTTCTCTTCCAGAAAAAGAACATCAGTGTTCTGCTGAGTCTCGGTGTTCTTGTTTCCTGGGGAGTCCTTCTGCTCTCAGCTCGCCTCTACTGGATGGGAAACAAGCCCCCCAACTTCTCCAACTCTGACAACCCTGCGGCTGACTCGCCCCATTTTCTCACTCGGACGCTAACGTTCCTTCACCTACCAGCCGCCAACGCCTGGCTCCTGCTCTGCCCGGACAAGCTCAGCTTCGACTGGTCCATGGACGCTGTGCCCTTGGTGAGGTCTCTGGCCGACTGGAGGAACCTTCACACTGTTGCCTTTTACGGTGGATTTATCCTCCTGGCTCTGATTGGCCTTCGGAGCTCCAATTCCAAAGCCAAGGAGACCAACGGGAAGGCCTGTGTCGCAAATGGGAAATCAATCACCAATGGGAATGGTTATCATGCCCCTGACACAAACCATAACACAGACCAGGGGCCGCCAAAGACCACCATTAACGGGTCAGCTGGACTCCACCACTACCCTCCAAACACGTCCCTCCCCCCGACAGAAAACCTTATACTATTTTCTTTAGCGATCATGTTCTTGCCTTTCATCCCCGCCACAAACCTGTTCTTCTATGTAGGATTTGTAATAGCAGAGAGGGTACTCTACATTCCCAGTATAGGCTTCTGCTTACTGGTTGCTACTGGTGCAAGAGCCCTGTACATCCGACTAAGGACTAGAGGCTCTAAGGTCTTACTGTTGTGTTTCTGTGCGGGACTAGTGCTCCTTAACGGACTCCGAACTGTTCAAAGAAACAGAGACTGGAGCAATGAGGAGAATCTCTACAAGTCTGGGATTAGCGTGAATCCCGCTAAAGGTAAGAGAAAGTCCTCATGGATATGAAAAAAAAAAAAAACCTCATTAAACTTACCAAATGTCCAAGGAAAAAAATTGTCAAAGCAACAAAAGCACCACCTTTTATTAAAAAAAAAAAAACATTCAGAATTGCTGTTGATGAAGCCTGCCTAGCCCGTCATGACTAGCAGTTTATGGTGGCTAATGTTAGCTTACTTTAGCATGCTGGCTGTTCAATTGGCTAACTTGTGACTTTTCTTTACTTTTGCTATACCTTTCCCTTATGTGTTAGCATTTAGCATTATCCTGTTCCATGATGGCATTCACAATTAGGATTAGTTACTTCTGATGGATGACAGTACATAGCGATCATCACTACCATCAGTGTGTGAAAGGGTGTGAATGGGTGGGTGTGACATGTGGTGTGAAACGCTTTGAGTAGTCGGAAGAAAAGCGCTATATAAGCTCAAGTCCATTTACCATTTATCAAGATAATAACAGCACAGCATCAGATAATGTTATCAGGATCATTTCCTAGCTCTGTGTTACAGGTTGCAAACCATATTATTGGGATACATTTGTTACAAAGTTCATTTCAAAGGCATTTTTCAGCTAATGCTAATGTTGCTATGAAGATGTTTGCTGGATGCTAACGTTTGCTGCTATCTACAGTACCAAATGAGTTACTGTCCTGCTTTAAGTTAAACAAGGCCTGTCCCTACAGATTGTCACTTTTATAGTCTTCTAAGTAGCTGATCAATAAGAAGCCAGTGAGTCTAACAGATTTTCCTAATGTTTACCAAAAAAAAAAATAATAATACCAAAAAAAAAATGAGTGTAAAATATTTACAACTGCAATTTGGAAAATACAATACAGTGAATACAATTTCCTACAATTCCCATTCCTACTTAAAACACATAGCTGTAGGCCTTGATTCTCTGTAATTTACTGTAGCCAGCCTTGTTCATGATCTTGAAATGAGAGTGGGAAGTTAGACTAGAAAGTAACAGAATCTGACATCAGTGCTCTGGGAACGGCTGTTAACAGCAGAGAGAGAACTAGGATGTGACTGCTCCTATATCTGCTCTGTCATACCAGACAGAAGTATCCCTTCATTGAATTATAATCAGTTTAACTGTACAAATGTTAAACTGATACATGTCTTTTTTCTTATTCAATTACAGTAAGTACTTGCAGTTTGTTTGGCAAATAGACACAAACTATATTTAAATGAATGCAAACTTTGTGTTTTCCGACTTTTGACTGACACATGTCTTTTGTAGCCTGGGGAAACTTGGGGAATGTGCTGAAGAACCAAGGGAAGATGGCGGAGGCGGAGACGGCGTACAGAAACGCTCTGCACCACCGAGGGAACATGGCTGACATGCTGTATAACCTGTGAGTGCTTAAGATCTCCTGTTTGCAGAGTCTTGACACGAACGAGTTCTGATTCCTCCCATCCATCACTTGAGATAGCAGCGGCAGAGCGCGAAAGGCAGACAAGAAAAAAAGAGGGGGGGGGGGTGACAAGCAGGAATGAACAAAATGAAAATAGATCAAATAGAGGAGGAAAGACAGAGAAGAACTTTGTGAGTCCCTTTTGGCACTTTGTACCTCGTGCTTCGGGTTTGTGTGACCTATGGGAGAACGCAAAGCTGCTTCCAATCCTGCAACACAAGGTGTCAAAGGTGCCAAAACCTCACAGCAGACCCGCGTCTCTCGCTCTCATGCTGACTTTGTTTTTCTCCTCGCCTCCCTCTCATGTTACAGATGTCAGGAAGCTGGCAGAGCAACATAGGGAGAAGGGAAACCAAATGATGGTGCATTGAAACATTGCTGTTTGGATTTGATGGATGGTTGGGTACACTGGGGTTACGAGCTTGTGTATTGGATAAAGGATAGGGAAGCTGCTTTTGTTTTTTTGCAGTTTCATCCACAGATTTCCCCCATAGTGCAATCACCAGTTTGACATGCTGTAATTTCTGTTAAAGCTTCTTTTACCTCCACAGATTTGAGACAATTCAAAACAAATCCTCGTCTGGATATTGCGGTTTATAAAAATGTCTCACTTTCAGACTTTTTTTCTTTTTTTGTCTTTTAGTGGCTTGCTGCTGCAGGAGAATGAACGTTTCTCCGAAGCGCTGCATTATTACAAACTGGCAATCGGGAGTCGGCCAACACTGGCATGTAAGTCAACTTTAAAGATTCTCGATTTGTGGCTTTCATATTAACACTGAAGTGTGTCTGGGGAAGATTTATCAGTGATTAGATGTTCTCACACGATACTCAAATTTTGGCGTCAGCCTTTGTTTGGTTGAATGAGATCGGAGCCAAAGTAAAGGTCTGTTATTGGATCACATCGTCGTTTTAATGCTGCATCAGATGTTCTCCTGCAACGTGGTCGTTTTCAGGACCATTTTCAGGCTATTACAGATTGACAGTATAATGATGAGATTCAATCTCACACTCGAGTGCTTGCATGTAAGATGAGGGTCCTTTTTTTTTTTACAGTACCAAGGACAATCTATGAAAGGGGACAGACTGCTTTTTTTTAGCTTGATAAGTTTAATTCTCCCTTCTCCTTATCTCTTTAAAGCTTAATTTATGTCTATTTCTTAAGCACTTTTAAATGCTAATTTATCTTTGACCTTTTCCAGTCTCCTTTTTCTATTGTATTTGATAAGCGTCTTCTCTGAGCATCCGTTTTTATTCCTCTCAAATGAACTGTTTTGTTGAATGGCAGGGTCCGTTTGAATAAATGTCCGCTCCTCTTCCTCATTACAGCGGCTTACTTGAACACAGGAATAATCCTGATGAACCAGGGCAGCCTGGACGAGGCCAAGCGCACTTTTCTCACTTGTGCCGACATTCCTGATGAGAATCTGAAGGACCCGCACGCCCACAAGAGCTCCGTCACCAGCTGCCTGTACAACCTGGGGAAACTGCTCCACGAGCAGGGACAGCAGGAGGTTAGATAATCTCAACCTATTATCCTCAATGTTGGGTAAAATCCCTCCACAATTTAGAACTGTGTGGTTACTAATGCTTGTTGTGCACAAAAGTAACGAGTCCCTCATCGATTACAGGGTCTGCTTTGTGCTGAAGCAGCAGAAAAAATTGACTCGCTAAATCACTTCTGTTCCCTCTGCTACAGGAGGCACTGTCTATTTATAAGGAAGCGGTGCAGAAAATGCCCAAACAGTTTGCACCACACAGCCTTTTCAACATGATGGGTAAGTAACGTTGAGAGCCCATACATCTGAATCTTTTGTAGTGCAGGCACTGAAACTGTGGGACTGAATATTCAACTATTTGGCAGCGCCTGTGTTTAAATGTAATTTGTGTTCTGTTGAGGTTAAATAACCATTCAATGCATGTCCTTTAATTTGCAGAAAGTTTGAAATGTCACAATATTGTAATGATGTTAAAGAATGTAGTCCTGGGACTAGTTTGGCTCGATCAACGGGTGTGTTTTTCTTTCTATCTGACTTTTGAATTGAATTTAACAAATTGTCATTCTCTCGCTGCCAAAAGCAACCTTCTGCAGTCCTGAAACCACCTGTTCCTTTCCAACACTGCAGCTCATACATTTGTGCACAGACTCTGAGAAGGATTGCAGCTAATCCGTGTAATAAATCACATCCCTCTCTTTGTTATTCTAACACTAATTACATTATTGGACTTGCATAGTTAAGATTTGCAGGGCCAAGTCTGCAAAAGTCCTCAGCTGGTTGAATGAAATTGGACTTGTGTTTTGTCAGGTGGAGGGAGGAGGGTGGGGTGGGGTGGGGGTGGGGGGGCAGTGTTTGTGTCAGTGTGATGGCCAGGGGATTCTGATGTCATTTTCTTTACCCCAGGAGCCGACAGCAGGTCCTCAGATCAAACAAAGTCTCACACAGTTTTCAACAAAACATTTTTTCTTTTGAAGAAAACTTTCAATTCAAAGTGTGCAGTGCAGTTTGAGGAACGTTAACCCTTTATGTGAATGAGAGGCGGCGTTCCAGGAAATAGTTTTCCTAAGACACCACCAAGGACAAAAAAAACAAGCAAAAATGAAAGCAATTTTTCATAAAGCACATTTAATTAAATCGTTATCTATTTACCTGAGAAAAAAAATCAAATGTGCTCAAGGTGACAGGTAGCCTGGGATAATCGACAAATATTGCGAAAACAGTTTGTTTGTAGGCTGTGGCAGCCTCAGTCTCCCTCCTCTGCTACCATCTGCTACTTTAAACCAGGAGGGCTGTTGGCTAAGCTCCACTGACAAAACGTTATTACATAAATGATTTTGGATTTGGAAGAAAAAAAACTTGAAGTAAACTTAAAGTCAAAAAACTTCAGCCCTGTCAGTATCTTGCGTGCCAATAATTAAATAAAATATAATACAGGGTTAAAAAGGTCACACATTGGGCAAAATAAACTTGTTTAATGATGTTCAAAAACTAATATGTGTCCCTAGTCTGTCTACAAACCCCCTTAATTATGAGGAAAAGTCCATCCTCTCCGTCTTTTGCCTGCTCCACTTTTCAGACAATGTTTGCTTAAACAGGCTGTTTTGAGTTTTTTTCCCTTCATGACATCACAAAGGGCAGTAACCCCTCCCCCAAGTGGGTGACACTCCCACGGCTAGTCTGAGCCTGCCTTCTCACTGTTAACAATATGGCATGGTGCAAGAAAGCCCAAGAGACATCTCCTTCCAGCGTGAGGCGAGGTCAGACACAGCTCATTCACATTTAAAGGTACAGACACAGAAACAGCCTGTTCTGAGCAGGGCTGAAATAGAGGGGTTTATAGGTATGATCAAATACAGGATCAGAGTGGATTTAGAACAAGAAACTTCACAGAGATGTTTTGGGGAGCTCTGAGATTTATTTAAAGTTGTTGAAAAGGAGGATGATATGTGACCTTTAATTAATTTTTTTTTTTGAAATACTGAAATAATACCCTATAAAACAAACCTGGACTCGTGATCTGTTTCAGGAGAGGCTTACATGAGGCTGAACAGGCTGGAGGAGGCCGCTCACTGGTACAGAGAGTCCCTCAGGGCCAAACCCGACCACATCCCTGCACACCTTACCTACGGAAAACTCCTGTCCATCATCGTAAGTACTGCCACCGAGAGAGAGGGAGAGCGAAGAAAGCAAACACATTATCTCAGTGGCGATTGAAGTGGTTAACTAGCAGGCAGAGTGTAATTAAAGGGGACCTGAAGTGGCGGAGTGCAGAGATGAATAATGCATGTGGAGTGACTTACGGGACATCAGAGCGAGACGAACTCATCCTATTGATTCCTCTGCAGAGCCGGAAGAGCTGTGATAATCGTTATGAGGTGCGCGGGTCGGCCTCTGAAGGGTGCATGCCAAACAAACTCGTTTTCCCCTGATCAGCAGTCAAGAAGACAAACATTTGAAACATTCACCGTTATAGATTTGACCTCTAGAAGTGGTCGTTTGGATGAAAAGAGAGGACATCTGAGCGGGAATGTTTCCAAAAGTTGCTTTGTTACGACTTTGGATCGACCCTGATCTATACAGTAGCTTTGAAAAATATGCCTAGTGTCTGAAGGTTGCAGGCATGGGGAGTCTGTGGAGCGTGGATGAGGTTTTTTCCCTCTGCGATGGGATGAGTTCCAGATTATCGTTAAATTGTCCGTCCCTCGCTGTGTTAGAAGAAGTCAAGGGCACACTAGTTTGCCCCACTTTTTATGTTTTTCCTGGAAGAAAAAAAAAAACAGACACACATCCTGTCCTCCTTTTTTTCTATAAGGACAAAAAAATGTGACAACAGATGTGTTCACAGCTGAGTCCAGTTCAGATTCAGGGGTGGAACGCTGCGCTCTTTTTCACCCTCTTTTCAAGATCTTTGACCGCCCCTCCCTTCCACGGCCTCGGGGAGTGAAGACAACCCGCGGAGCCTTACGATCTTGCAGCTGCTTCCCTTAACAGTGCCGATCATTTCCTTTCTTTTGTTAAAAAAGATTTGACGATAAACGTAGATTAAAACGTTCAAGCAAAAGTTCAGTTAAGAGTTGCACAGTGTGGCGGGACATCTGCTGAGCCCCCTCAGGCTCCAGATCCTCACAGAGAGCCCCCCCCCCACCCCTTTTTTTTTTAGTACTACAGGGCTTTAGGAAGAGGAGATTGGATGGACCCTGGACAATAGGCCAGTGGACAGGCTTATAATGCAATTACTCTCCTTCCTTATTGAATCACTCCATCAGCTTCATTTTTGGAAGTCCTAACCAAGTCAATCGACAATGCAGACGCAGGGAGGAAAGGTCAAACGCATGTCTTGTACTTTGGTTCACCCCAACATAAGCAGTTTTCTTTCTCTGTTAGAACTCAAGCAAAACCCAATCCTCTTCCTAGAGACCTCTGCTGTTGGTCAGAGGTCTCTAACTGGAGTCAGAGGGTTGGGATGAGGTCTCTAACTGGAGTCAGAGGGTTGGGATGAGGTCTCTAACTGGAGTCAGAGGGGTGGTGTGTGTGTGAGGCGAAGTTGTGACCACTAAGCTTATACATGAGTTTGAACTCAGCCATGCATTTAGCAGAATGTTCTCTCCTTAAGTTGTCAAGTACTGCAGCTCGGCAGTGGCCCTGGGAGTCAAAAATTTGATGCAATAGATATATCATTAGTGTCACTTCTTGAAGCTGTCCTTTGTTATTTGTAACTTGACATCAAAACTCTGTGCATCCAAACTGAGGCTAGATTTGGGACCTAAATGCTTTATTTTGAAGCTTATTAGCTGTTAGCACGCTCCTGCATTTGTTGGGTGGGATTTAGAGCCTGCTGCATTTAGCACTGATGCTAACCACTGTCTGTTATTGTGGAAGACCAACAAATGACGCTCAAACGGAGAATAATATATTGTAGAAGTGTGTAAGATCCAAATGTAGAGGGACATAGGCTGCAATAAGTAGGATGTGAAAAATAGATTTTTAAAAAATGATCTTTTCACAAAGACCGGAGGCCTTCCATTAATCTGCTGAATGATGACGTTCATTAGCCTGACTGGACTGAACCGCTCTGATGGATGACTGGAGAAAAGGTTTGATTGAATGTAAAGAGAAAAGGAGCCAACGAAAATGTGAAATAAGCCATATAGGCCTCATATTTGATCATTCATTTGGAGCGATTGCGGGCATGGGAAAAAAAAGCTAATGACGCAAAACTAATATGCCCAGTCGTCTCGTTTCTTGTCTAACGGCAATATGGAAGCAATCATTGCTGAAGCATGAGGCAAAAAGAGGTGCAGAAGTCGAGGCGTCGTGCACACAGAAGCAATATCTTTCCCAGTTTGGTTTCAGATGCACACAAACACACACACACACACACATCTTTTAGAGGTTTTTCTTTAAAGGTTCAGCACAAAAGATGGGGCACTGTGTTCTTTATGAACGTCCGTTTCCTGCTGGAACTTAACAGCAGGGTGACAGCAGCTCAACGGGTGCATGTGAGAGCACGGGAAGAAGTAGAAGCAGAGTGAATACAAGAAATGTTTGTAGTCCTGTGTGTTCAAACCCGTCTTTAGGGCGCCTGATAGCCTAGCGCCCCATGTACGGAGGCTATAGTCCTCAGCACCATGGCCATGGGTTCGAAATCTGACCTCGGCCCTTTGCTGCATGTCGTCCCCCACTCTCTCCTCCCGGCATTTCCAAGCGCTCCTCAGCTGTCCTATCTTATAAAGGCTGAAAAGCTTAAATATCACTTTAATTGTGTTTGTGAACACGTGCGTGGGGAGGATGAGCAAGAAAGTATCAATTTTGTACGTTTTAATTGCACAAAATGTGGTTCAGCTCAAATTTTAGTTTTTTTAAACCACTTAGCTTCCATCTCGTTCAGAAATGTGTATTTCTTTTTCTTTTCTGCAGACTGAATGTTCTTTGTTTTTTATAATAACACATAATTGTAGTGTGCTTTTTGTTCACATTATTTCACAGTATGTTTTTGGTTAATATGGTTTAATTCTAGTTTGTAGATGATAATAGACACTCAATGTTTTGGATGATAAGGGAGGTAACTGTTCTATTATGCTATTTAAACACCCAATCATTGGAGAGGAAGTGCTTATTTTTGCCACTGACAGCCTTTGATCCCCACCGGTTTTTTTTTTTAAGGCAGGGTTGCAGATTGAGACTTACTTATTGTTCTTACTCTTTAACAAAAAGTTCAATAACATTAGGGATATATTCCTAAATGTAAGGTGTCCCCACCGAAAAAGTGTGAATATCCAATGTATCAAAATATAACAGATGACTGAAAAACAGTAATAAATTCTTTCCTTTCTTTATTTCTTTCAGGGGCAGAAGACGGAAGCAGAGAAGTTTTATCTGAGAGCAATTCAGCTAGACCCGACAAAAGGAAACTGCTACATGCACTACGGTAAGAAGACATATAAAAGTTTAATATGATAAAAAATAATCTACGATTTTGCCCCCTTTATGATTAACTAAGCTTCGAAAATAACATTTAAAGTCCAAACCTTTGCTCTAGTCTTTTACTCTGATGATCTGGGATATTAAGACTTTTATTTTGAAGAGCCAAACTATAAAGCGTAGAGCTGTTGAATAATTTGGGGCGGCAGTAGCTCAGCCTGTAGGGACTTGTGTTGGGAACTAGAGGGTCGCCGGCTCAAGTCCCGGCGAGGACCACAGTATGGAAGTTGGTCTGGTGCCAGGTCACTTGCTGAGTACTGCCGAGGTGCCCTTGAGCGAGGTATCGAACCCCCAACAGCTGTTGCCTGCTCACTCTGACATCTCTGTATTAGTGCATGTCCACAGGTCCTGTTTCTGCAGAGTGTAAAACCAGAATTTCGCCGTGGGGATTAATAAAGTATGGAACAAAGTAAAATCCAGGGTCGTATCAAAAATAGGAAGTAAAAAGTACCACATACTGTTTTCTGAAAAATAACTCCAGGTGTTTAAGTAATCCCTGCATCACATGTCCTACTTTGTGTGGATGCAGCAGAGTGTTGTTTGAGGTTTTTGTAGATGATGCAAACACACGTACAAACAGGCCTGTTTGCTGTGTTTATCTGAGTGAAGTGGCAGGATCAGAGAACACTGTTTGCTATTGGTTACGGAGAGTGATGAAACACGATACTGTGTTCTGCCTGCGCTGCTGCTAATGCCGTATTTCACATCGGGTTCTGAGGAACAGGCTCCCTGCTGTTCCATGTTGCTATCTTTAGGATATGAAGTCTGCACTGTCTTCCTGAGAGCCTGGTCCCTTTCTCCTCTCCCTTATCTCCATCCCTTCCTCCTGGTGCTTTCTCTGTGCTCCATATCTCCGGCTTTAGGTCTCATCTGGTCCCTTTGAGAGGGGCTGCGTTGATGTTTTTGGACCGAGCTGTTTCCCCCTTACACTCTTTACTCTCTCTTCGCATATCTGGCTATTTTCTTTTCCTCAATGTTATCTTGTAGCTCCTTGCTAAAGGTGATGTTTATTTAGGCTTGCTCCCTCTTTTTAATCACAAATCCGGCTGCTTAGTGATCATGCTGCTTTCACTGGATGAGCTCCAGGTGTAAGTGTGCAACGCGTGATGATATCGGGCCACTTTACAACACAACGGATGCACACACAAAGACACACATAAGAGGGATACGAGGAAGTGAGGACACAGACAGTGAGCTCCCCCCTTTTCCTGCTATTGTGTCCACAGGCTGTTACGGTTTGTATCCAGACCCAAAAGCAGACACGGCAGTAAAGTTGAAGGGTTTGAGGTTTTACTGCAGGGTTAGGGAAAGGTGGATGGCTGACTGGCTGGTAATGACGGCGTGGAGGAGACTGAAGGAGTAGCTGGTTCTGTAGGCAGGCGGGTGAGTGGTTGAGTTGTCTGAGAGGAGAGCAGACTGGAGGAGATGACACCGGTGAGAATCTGGACAACAGCAGAGAAAAATCAGTTAGGATTCACTCGTAAAATGCTAGAAACAAACTCTAACAAAGGTTAAGCGCAGCCGATAGTATCTACCACTTCAGTAGACTCCATAATCTGGCTATGAGTGGAGTTGAGCCCAGGGTTTTAGCTTGAGGCAGATGAGCTGCAGGTGTGAGTAGTCACCCGGTGTTGATTGCAGCCACACCCTGCAGAGACACACAGACAGACAGACAGACAGAGGGGGAGGGGACACAAAGGATACACAGAAACAGGATCACAGCCAGAGCCGTAACACAGGCAGTGATTTGAAGCAAACTGTCCCTCATGTTATCTGGTTCGTTATTGTCTGAAAGTTATGCTTAAAGTACAATAAATACCAACAGAAGCCTCTCCACATTCCCCTCCTCTTCCTTCATGTATTTACATCTGTAGCCCCGGCTGTTAATCTATAGCCGCAGAGCCGACACTTGTGGGTGCTGCACCAGGTGGCCAGACTCCCACAGGAAAACCTACAAAATGCCTCCTCTGTGTTCTCAAACGTTGCAGAGAAAAAAAACAACGATCCTTTCTCTATTTTCTGTTTTTTTTTTTTTTTTTTTTTTTGCTGTCTCTGCTCCCTTGTTGGATTCCCCACGGAGCTTTTCTCTTTAACTGCCTCCATCCACCTTCTGTTATTTCCACACCGGTCTCCTGTGTGCCTTAGCATGTTGCTAGTAATACTACAAATAATTTTATGGATGAAAGCTTACAAACCAAACAGGACAAAACCCTCAAATTGAGAGCAAACGACAAAAGACAGCGTGCTAAAGCCATGCTAGCTACAGCCATGCTAGCATCGCTGTAAGTCTGTTGTGGAAAGACATCATGCTCACAATGACATAGCATGTGTATACTCTAATCATCTTACTGTAGTTTTTAGCATGCTAACATTTGCTAACACAGAGAGGACTCATTTGTACAAGAACAAAACAGTCAAATTGCAAGCACACAGTCATGTTGTCCAAAGCTATCGTGCTAACCTGTGTATGCGGATTTGAATATGAATGCTGTCTACCAAAACAGCATGCAAGCATTTTCTGATCTTCATGGAAGTATAAAAGGATTGTAATGAAGCTTGTTGGTTAACAGTTGCTTGATAGTCCATATTTCAGTCAATCAATAAGTTCAACCTCATAGCTGCCCAACAATCAAAACATGAGATGTGGATCTTGTTCAGTGAAATCTCTGATACAGGAAGCATAAGGGGGTGATCTAACGCAATGGTTTATGTCCTCTTGGATATTTTTAATAATCCATAATCCACATCCAATCATTATCCACCTTAGAGCTGTTCAAATTTTATACGAAACCAAAACTCTTTCTGAGGCTAGAGGAAACAATCAGGAACCCCACAAAGACGATATGATTCACCTTCTTGGGACCATGAAAACCTGCACATAATTTCATCATAATCCATCCAGTAGAAGTTGATATATTTTAACATGTACCAAAGATGGTGCAAGACCAAGAAATATATCTAGGGCTTTGTTTCCCTTTAGAAATAAGTCTACTTTCCTCTGTTTCCAGGTCAGTTCCTGCTGGAGCAGTCTCGTCTGGGCGAGGCCGCAGAGATGGCAGAGCGAGCGGCCGAGCTGGACCGCTCAGAGTTCGATGTGGTCTTCAGCGCGGCTCACATGCTCAGGTTGGCTAAACTGCTGACATAAAACAACAAAAACTGCGTCAATGTGGACGTTTCCCTACTTGACAAAGCACACAGTACAGAAAATGAATAGAACGTGTATGTTAAGAAATGGTGTGGTTTTTGATAATCCTGTATTTACAGGGTGTGCTGCTGTGCTTCTTTGCAGAATGTGGGTTTATTTAGTACTGCTGCCATGTTATAAGTGCCTTTAAAATGTAAATCATACCAATGTTGTAGAATAGTAAATGTCCTCCTGAAAGAAATAACTGTCGTGAAAGCTATTATATATTTCATATAAACAGCAGAACAGTTTCAGTTTATCACGTCGTTTCTTCGGTCCAGAATCATTTAGGGAGAATTTTCCCCTTAATGTTTGGCAGTCGCTGCACAAACAGCGTATTTAAAAAGGAAGCCAAATGTCCTCCACTCTCAGCAACTTCAAGAAATATTGGAGCGATGTGCCTTCATTCCTTTTTGCTCTACATTTCTGGAAAAGTCATTAGCTGCTCCCAAGCATGCATCTCAATGCCACACCACAGAGGGTTTGTAAAAAAAAATTTAAAAAAGTTGAAAGTCTCTGGGTTTGGCTGGAGTTTCTGGTTTTGGAAATCTGAATGACAGATTTTCTACTCGGTTATTTTCATCTGAGACCTCGTGTGACGTAAAACCAAGGTGATTGGGATTTAAGGTTTGATTAGTATGATTTAAAGCGTAAGCTGATCTACTTATAATAAAGGTGATAGGCAAATCTTGACTTTTTCTTATTTACAGATATTGACTCAGATTATCATAATGACTCCACAATAATCCTGATGGAAGGGTTTCCTTTTAATCCATTGCTGCAAACCTTTCTCATGATTCAGATCAAGTTTAGAGCATAAGGCGTGTGATTTCTCCAGGAAAAGTAAGGATTCAATCTGTAAAAGTTTCAGATTTACGACAAATATTTACTTACACTTCTGGATTTCCTTAAAGCCCGACTTCCTGAATCTTTTATCATCACTTTCTTTATTTACTTTTCAACACTGTCGAAGCTAACTAAGCAGGGCTGCTTGTAATCTTTAGGCACATTTGACTTCAGTTGCAGTCTTATAAACATGATCTACCGGGTCAGGGAAGAGGTTTCCTTCACTTTATTAGCTTTGGCACGGAAAGTCCAGTTTCCGTATTCATTGAGTGGAATAGTAAATAAGAAGAAGATAAAGTCATGCAGCCTCATCAAATTTTGTCTTGTTTTTTCAATCAACAAAAAGTCATGTGAGAAATCATCCGCTGGCATTTACCTGTTACATATGGACTTGATATTTTATTCAGTAGACTGTGAAGAATAATAATAAGTACATTTATGCATTATTTCAGTGGGAACATCTTTGACTGCAGGAACAGAGTAACTCATTCTGTCATGAAAGATGTTATTTAATTCAAAGATTATTCTAAATTGCCCAAAAGGATATGAAAATGTAATTCTGAAAAATGTTAAAATGACAACATTTTACCTAGATAAAGTTGACTGAAGATTTAAGTGGACATTGATGATCAGACCAACAGAGGGAGACAAATAGGAACAGAGCTACATGCAATGCTATTTGCAAAACATACCTGGGACCTGGACGGACTTGGGGGGGGTCCCTGGAGAAATTAGAAAAGGAGGGGGCGGGGGGAGACAGCTCTCTCCAATGTTTTGAATTTGGACTGCAGTACCTATTTTAAACGCTAGGTGTCCCAGTTACATATTGCTCCTTTAAGGCTATTGTGAAGTCTTTGCTGTCCTTCCTGTTAAACATGGAAACAAAACTTTCAATCCTGGCTACATTTTGTTTTTATAGACTCTTCAAAGAATACATAAACGTTTAGTTAGAAAATTAATCTGTGACTTGATGTATGTCGTGAGTAAACACAGGTATTAAGAAAGTCAATAATAAAAGAAAAATAAATAATGTATCAATGCCTCACCTTAACATATAGTGTGACACACAATGGTGAGTGAGAAAAGTACCACCAGTGTAAAACCAGAGCGTTGTAATACACAGAGCCAAGAGGCTTTAAATGAATACAAAGTAATATGAGCTTGATTTTTACTTATTAAACCTTAACATCCAATAAAATAAACTATTTCAGTCAGCATTTTACACTTGTTATAAACGGCTAACTTAATTAAAGTGATTCATATATGATTAGCTTTGGAATAAAGAATGAATAGAGTTATAATAGCTCTTTGTATTGGTACGGTCTTATTAATATCCTACAATAATAAACTTTATGTCTCATTTTTCCTCTTCTTCCTCTCTGTTTCCTCCAGGCAGGCCAATCTAAACGAGGCAGCGGAGCGTCAGTATGTGCGTGCAGCCAGCCTCAGACCAGACGTAAGTACCTGGACTGGTGGGCCTGTTAACACTTATCATTTGAAATGCACACACATGCCTGCACAGTAAATTCAATTTACAGCATGCTGCGTAGTACCCATCATTCTGACACTGTGTTATAGTGCTGTTGTTCCTGGCAAACAGCGATGCAGCTGAATATAAAAATGGAAACTTTGTCCTGTTCATGGCTGGGAACTGGAGCCTCGATGTGCTTATGAAAACACAAAAATCCCATCAAGGGAAGACTTCAGTGCTTACATATGATCATCATGGTATGGTTCAACAGATATAAGCTTTGTGGGATATCATGTCTCTGAATGACGGCACACGCAGTGAGGAAGTTGGGAGCTATTTTACCCTGTTTGCGCCTTGTATGAATCAGTCACTTCAAAGGAAAAAGGAGCGTGCTGTAGTCCTGGTGAGGTAACTTGGAGTCATTGGGGCCCCTGTGTTTTTGGACAAGACCTAGAAGGAGCTTCCTGCAGTCATTTGTCATGCTCGGCTGCTAAGTGATTGTCCGCTCAGTGACTTATGCTACCAGTCAGGAGAGAGGGTCAGACTTTCATCCTCATGCCCTTCACTCTAACAGCTGTTATTGCCACGCCTTTAATAGGGTTTTGTCTGATGTATCCCCACGACCCTGAACTCAAGTGCTCCTTCATAAACAGCACTTGTCATGCTCCAACAATTTTCATAAAATCGATATAAAACAAGAGATGATTTAAAACTCTTCAGGAACAAAATGTTGTCATAAGAACAATTGACTCGCTACAACTGAAGAAATAGAAGCAGGAGAACTTTACCAAAAGTGAAGAAATAGAATAGAATAGAATAGAATAGAATTACTTTATTGATCCCAAACTGGGAAATTGTGGCATTACAGCAGCAGGTTATCCAAACACACAATATGAGTAAAAAAACTTAAGTTAAAAAATACTATAGATTATTTTAGGTATATATTACACTTTCTTTTTTTTTTTTAATGTAGGTAATTCAACCATTTGATAATGATTTATGTGTGACTATCAGTTTATTATTTTAGCTTTTAACTTTTACAACCCATTTGATAAATGTTGTGATATGCTATGCTGCTAGCTACTATCCGTTAAGCTAGCGGCAGGTTAAGGCAGATTTACACCACTTGTCTGTAATTTTAGCTTAATTTAAACAGTTAGCTGAAAAGTTAATAACATTTCAACCACTTAATTACAATTATCTTTTATCTGTGACTGTTAGGGAATTATTTTGCTGCTGAATACTTTAGCTAACTATTTCATGAGAAATGTTGCTGCCTGCTATTTTGCTTGCTAGTCAATGATCTGGTAAACTAGCAGCAGTTAAGACATATTTAAACTGAACACGTATTCAATAAGTTTGTTTATTTCAAGCAATATTATCGCTATCTGTATATTTGTATTGCTCTACTGTTAAATAAGTTAACTGCTGTAGCCTAACCATTTGTTTAGAACATGCTAGGCTAGCTATTATCTGTTTTTGAGCCGTTCCGTTCAACCCGTTGTTTTTTCTCTTTATCCCAACTATTTATCCACTGCTCTCAATCTTAGCTCACTAAAAGAAAAACTGTAGTGCATCCATTACATAATTATCCTAACCATCTCTCTCCATTTAAGTACTTAGTTAACTATTCAATGATTTATCCATTGCGTTAAGCTAATGTGGTTCTCTGCTGTTTTCTGTCAACACACTCTTAATCACAAGACATAGTGTTAATTTTCTTTAGTTCTGCATTTTTTCTTCTGCTGAGCTAATCAACAGTTTTACCATGTACCTCCTGGAAACTGCAGAACTACCCCTGAGGGAACAAATGCTAACAGGGAATCTCTGCTTTCAACTGAAGCGTCTGCACCTTCTTAGATAAAAACAGTAAAATCATAAAGGAGAGAAATGCTGGCTGTCATTTATAATTTGGAAGCAAGGTGTTTGATTGTCTAAAATTAAGTTACCTCAAAGTTACAGTATTTTCAATTCACAGCCGTCATGTGCTCATTCAAACACACGGTGGGATATTATTTGTGCGTCTTGTCTTTGACATTTTCATTGCACACGTCTGCGATGTGAATGACAATCTCACAAATATCAATAATCCAGAAGCTTTCAGGTCATGAATGATTCAGCGCTAGCTCTGTGTGCTGAGAAAGAAAATGATTTTGTGCCTCTTGAGAAGTATGCAAGAAGGTTTTTTTTGGTTTTGTGTTGCGCAGGTGCTAAAAAACTTTATTTACACAACTCAGTATTGATTTGGATGTATTCTCCGCCGAATGGGCGCTGTGCGTGGAAATCTGTAGTTCTATGAGTTGCTTAGCTACACAATATGCTACAAATGAAATGAGGACGATACAATGAGCTCATGTTGGAGCTGTAATCACAAAGTAAATGATGTTACTGTTTGCAGAGCAGTCAAACAAACTCACATTGTTTAAAAAAGTCAAAATGATCAAAATAGGTTTTCATGCAGCACACGGCATATGACATAATTTTTCCAACAGTGTAACATTTGAAATAAAAAGATGTAATCATAGATTTTGAGTTTCCATTGAAGGACAATGTAGCAAGAGAATGTTATAAGTTTAACACAAATCCTACACAATTTGAAATTACTCATTAAAATAACCAATGTATTAGTTAAAACAGACCATTGTATATAGGTATGTGTTTGTATCTGTATTTAAACTTTTGTCAAAACATGATAATGTTTCACTTTGGCTCAGAAAAGCTAAAGATCTGCAGTATGGCAGATATCCTTAAAATATTGTTTAATTTACTTGCTAACGGTGGAGAGTTTACAACTGTTCATCATTGTGAGTGTAACAGTTTCAAACATGATTTTTCCAACCAAGAAAAGGTTGAAAACCAATATAATGAATAGCTTTTAGTTGTTCAGAGAGACAAAGGGAGTCTCATTAATCATGAAGGCAGAATAAGTGTTTGGAGCACTTTTAAATTCATCTTCTTTATACATTCAGTTGTTGCTCTAGGTGACAACAAAAACATACCTACCAGAAAAGGGGCATGGCATCTGCTTACTCTTTAAAACGGCATGGATTGGTTTAATTCAGAATCTTACAGGCTTGAACTTGGTACATAAGATCCCTCCCCCCAAAGCCCTGTCTTTTCACCGCTCAAGAAGAGTGGAATGTAAACAAGTGAAATATAGGCGTTGAAAAGAGACGAACAGTTGTGTTTTGGGAGAGAGGAAAAATCTGTGAAGCAGTTGCCAAGTTGCGAACCATATGTCATCCTGTGAAGACGCAGGTCTGGGAACAAAGCCAGATTTGGGGGATGAGGTGCTATCGACTTTTAGGAGGAGATTTGGGCGTGTTTGTTAGTTATAGCTTGCTGAGAGTCACGTCTATGATCTGGATTTTGTAGATTGAGGGGCCGGATGGTTTCACTTTGCCTCTTCAAAAGATGCTATTTTATTGAAAAGAACTCCAGAAACACATCTCTAAGTGGGTTTTTTTTTTTTCATTCATATGTAAAGACTTAACACACGCCCACACACAAGCTGTGGCTACCTATTTGCATACCGTGGCATTATCAAAGGACATGTTTGTCTTCACCAGTGCCTGCTACTTTGATGTGAGATTGCATTAGGGCTCATTTCATTCATATTTGATCCTTTTAGCCTTAAGCAAATTTCACTAAAGCTATTACCTTAATCCACTGTCCATATAAGATCGCTGGCAGCTCCTAAATCTAGCCTATGACTGATATAACTCTCTGCAATGTAGATTCCAATATTCAACAATAAGTTAGTTATTTGAAGATTATTTGAATGCTAACTCTTCTCTTAAGATAAAACAGAATTTATTTATTCTAACAGGAGAATTTAGATGAGTTTATTATGGTTTGGAGAGCTGGTTTAGCTCTTCTGCCTCTTGGTGTATTTCATCCCCACTCTTTTCTTATTTTCTCCTGATTCTATCAAGTAAAGTTTCCTGTAAACACCTCACAACTATAACTCTGACACTATACACCTCACTCTCTCTTTTTCTACTCTTTTCTCTCCCTGTCTTTGCCCATTCCCAGTACCCTGCAGCTCTGATGAACCTCGGCGCTATCCTCCACCTGAACGGGAAACTTCCGGAAGCAGAGGCAAACTACCTGCGTGCTCTCCAGCTCAAACCTGATGATGTCATCACCCAGTCCAACCTGCGCAAGCTGTGGAACATCATGGAGAGGCAGGGACTCCGGATCAGACAGGGGGTACAGAACAACAACCCTTAAGAATGAAAGACATCATGAGAGACTCTTCTATTAGAAAATGACCCAGCGTCCTCAACAGGAAAAAAAAAAAAAGAAGAAGCAGGACTGGATGTGAAAGAGCTGGAAGATTAAAGCTCGCTCCACGAGACCAGAAAGACAAATGCGAAAAACGTTTTGGCTTGTGTTGCTTGTGGAAGATAGTTTGAAGCTTGGCATGTTTGGGGTTCAAGGTTGCGAGAGTTGTGCCACATAACATGTCACCACAAGTGATGTACGGTGACTTGAAAGACTGAGACTAATGCCTGCTGCATTTTGGGGGTTTATGAAGTAAGGCTAGTTGTGAAATGATGCACTGAAATCAATGGAAAATAACTGCAGCGTCCAAAAGAACAAAAAATCTTAAAGGAAAAAAAGGCTCCAACAAATCAGATATTTATTAATTTCTCTAAATTAAAACTGAGGTATGTTTTGAAGCACTTAATTTAAATTTGGATGTAGCAAAAGATTTAGAATAATCAGTACTAAAGGATGAATGACGTATTTTCTTTCATGATTTCAGCTGTTTTAATTCTTACATCAATGTCTGTTGACAGGTTTTTGAGAGGGTACTATGCATATGCATACGTGGAAAAAAAGGTTTGCAGACTTTTAAAGTCTCTCTGGTTGAATCCTATTTTAGCTTGGAGTTCAAAAAATAATGTTTGAAAAAAAATTGTGGATTTTAGAGCAATAAAAACGTTGCTTTGCGAGTCCTAAATTGCCCCTTGAAGCCCCGATTAAACAGGGTTGGTGAAGTGGAAGTTTTCACTTTCAAGGTTAGCAACTAAACCATCCCTACTATTGATGCGCGGAGTGGCCATCTTGGATTTTCAGGTTGTGTTGATGAGGTTCGTCTGCCTTTACACGTTTGAATGTCAACCTCAAAGGCATTCCTGTTGAATTTTCTTTCGACAAAGTTCAGTCAAAACACAGCAGATGTCCTGACAGTGCGAAGCAGCATAGCATTATGGGTACAAAAAAAGGAAAAAGAATGCACTGAATAAAAATAAATATGAAGTCTCTGGTTCTGCAGCATTGGTTTGCACCTTTTTTCAATGATGTAAAAGGATAGCTATGCTAAAATAAGTACACTACTCCTGAAAAAAAAACTGAAATTCAAACCTTGATTAAGTAGCATCAGGATGTTCTCACCTTCCATCTTTTTCTCTTCACACAAGAAAGGCATCAGATAAAAAGCATGCCAGCCTTTAGACGTCTCCAGGTACTGCCTTTTAATAAAATGCTGTACAGAAAACAGGTTAACGCATATAAATACTGCATTCCCATTCTGTTGTTTAAGTCACTGATGAATGTTTGCACCTGGTGCATTTTGAATACTTGTGACTGTAAAAATGATCACAGATCCTGAGAGAAAAACTCGTCTGCGGTGCCAAAGCTTGAACTGAGTCTTTACGCCTCTCGTGCCAAGCAAGAACTGTTCTCACTTATGTGTTGTGTTCCTTGTGTCAGATGAAGATGTTTCACTTTATGTGGTCAAACTTAATTTATTAATACATGTTATTTTATGTGAAACAGCCCGACACTGTGCTGCCACTGTCACAGTAGCCCATCCTTACTGATGTTTTTTCACATAGACAGGCTCCGGAAGGAAACACAACAGTTACATTTAATGTTTGTTTGTTTTTTTATCTGTATTATTTTCTCTCTGCTCAGGGACATCTGATTTTGATTCCTGTCACATAACGGGACTGTGACACAGAGAGAGCTTCTTAAAATGATGTTACATGTTTTTTTTTTTGACGACTGTGATGTTTGGTTAAATTATAGAAGACGTGTAGCTGAAAATGTGCCGTGTTTTTGTAAAGGAAAGTGAACCTTTTTGAGTAATAAAAAACGTGACTTTTGCTGTCAGCAGTGTGATATCACTTTGGGAAATGTTACTTGTCAACAATATGACTTTAGCAAAGCTTCCAAGATGGAAATGTGGCAGGATGCTAATTGAAACCCTTGAAACAAGAAACAAGCAAGGCGGGGAAATATGACCCAAAAGGAATGGAATCCGTTACAATCAAATTCCCACACGAGTAAATTTCTCTATGAAAAAGTAAAATTCACAAAAACGATTATACTCGGTTGAATGATTTACAAAAGCTGTAAGCCGATGTTTTCATTCATTAGATAATATGTCTCTGTAAATAGTCCTTTAAATAGGTTCAGTTTGTGAGGAATAGTCTCATCGATTGATTTAATAATGTATGTATTTTATTTTATTTTCAAATGTGTATTTTGATTTGTGTTTTTGCCGTCATATATGTGGATATTGGGGTGAGTGACTGCACCTTACTGCTGATGATTGAGAGACACTTCTAATTAGACTAAATGTCCCACACCTGAGCACAGTAGGCGGAGCATTGTCTACTTAAGATCATGGTGGGGGAATAGTTTGAGAACACTTTTGACAAATGTTCAGCGGTACTGAACCTTGGTAATTTCTTCTTAATATAGTGGTGATTCCTTTCTTCCCTATCAAAGCGATAGTTTGATGTCCTACCTACTTATGAGATGGTTGGCTGTTCAGAAACCTCCTTTAAAATTTCCAAATCCGACTAAGAAAAAAATTGCAAATTATCACATTAAGCATGCTCAGTAACAAGCTAACAAACAATACTGAAAATGCTTTTTTTTTTAAAGGATGAACAGGCTGCCCTGTTTCACTGAAACTACTTTGAAAAGACTTCTGGAATGATAAAATCGATTTCCTGAAACACGTTCACAAGTATTTGTTGGGAATGTTTAAAATGTTAATTTAAAAGTGGTACAACTCATTTCTCTACAGTGCTGATATCTTCTCTCAGTTTCGTTGAAAACAAATAGCACCATACTCTCTCTCTCTCTCAATAATACAACACACATACACACACACACACACACATTCACATTCTCCCTGAGAGAAACCGCTAATTAGACAGAGTCTTTTCACAAACTCATCATGCTGCCATCACCGCATCTAGCAGACATCAAAGAGGGTCCAATCACATGCCAGACTTTTAGCGCACCGAGCTGTAAATATTTCACGAGATAGCATTGACTTACAGGAACTCACAGCCCCAATCTGAAACATTTCAAAACATTCAATAGTGTAAATCTGCACGGGCATATTTTGTTATGTAATAATTATAATAACAGTGAATCAAGAATGTGTTTGTCATGCATAAAATTAACCTTATTTTTTTCAAACACCATCTGCTACGCTCAGCCTGCCTTACCTCCAGGGCCAATTATGTTATTCAAACTCCAACTACATTCATACCAATAGAACTAGCAAACAGCCACATACACATGTGACTCAATAGAATATTTAGACAGAATAAATATTTAGATAAATTAAATTAAAAAAGAGAAGTGTAAATTGATTTATTTTCTCTTAAAGTTGCAAATTGAATAATAATGATTCCTTGCATTTCAATAGGTTTGGTCCCTAATTAGGATCTGAACACTTATGCTCCATAAACACAGAATTAATTAGATACTTAGGGTTGCTATGTGAGTTGAGGAACATGATGCATTTTCTGAGTCTCTGTCAAATATTCAAGTCAAATTTTTATGGCCTGTAACATGACATCCTCGTATAGTGTTCAGTGAAGGAAGTGGAAGTGTTCAACTTTTACATTCAGCAGTCAATATTAACATCAGCTCATTATAAATTTTCATGTTTCAAAAAGTTTTTGCATGAATTCCTATTCCCTTCCACGCTTTCTTAGTTTATGTTTATTTTTCCACTTATTTGAGTGTCATTAGGTCAATATAAAAGCACTTGTTTTGTTGGGCTGTGCATTGATGTTCTGCACATCTCAGTTTGCGGGGAACTCTGGGCAACTCAAATGGGAAAGTCTGTAGAAATTGACTACAGACGAGAAAGTCCAGTCAACATCAGTAAGGTAGAACTTTGATGGCCTTCCTTCCTGTCCTTCTGTGTCCTTCTGTGTCCTCCTGTCCTCCTGTGAGGCTGCACATACCAGCATGGGAGGTGTCATAAGGCAAAATAATCCTCCAGACTCTCCGTTCCAGTAACAAGTTTAAATCTGTCTCATTAAGCACATGGATATCTTGGGAAAACACTCAGTGTGTTTATGTTTCAAGTCAGCCTTTCACCCTTTATTCCCATTGACATGAACGCTACAAATGAGCGTATTAGTCTAATCACAGTTGAGTAACTTTTTCCTTCAGTGAAGCTGAAATAAAGTGGACAATCTGCCTTTGTCCTTCAGAGGATCAAAGTCTTTCACACATGATGGCGACATGTGTGTTCTGGTGTTCCATATCCGGCACACATGACTTCTGACAGAAGAATTAACACCTGGGCCTCCGGTTAAAGTCGACCAATAAAACTAAAACAATGGGGGAGGAAATTAGGCAGGCCCACGACACTTGGAAGGTTTCCCCACCAACACTCAAGTCGATACTACGCCTGCAGGGTAAGGATGCTGAAGTGGAAGCACATGGCTGGTGGTTATGTGTATGTGTTTGGTTTTGTTTTTCTAAAGAACATTCAAAATGGTTTAACTGAACCTTAAAAAACACATGAAGTTGATCAAACTTAGATTTATTTTGTTATAAGGAGAAGAGGAAAAAAAAGTGTAACGTTAATTGATCAATAGTTGTCTCATTTACTGTGAGAAAATGTATATTATTTCCTCAAAAGGGAATATACACATTTCAATGTAATCTTTTATTCGAACAATAGTTGTAAGGTACCTGAAACGTTTAATTCACTTTGAACTTGACACAGAGACAAAGGAAAGTATCTTGGAGGAAATATGTTTTTTGTAAGGGCTCACAAGGGACGAATTTTGAATGCGCTGTTTTATCCTAAAAGAGAATATTTAAGTACCGGTAATTGAAGTTGCCCATTTGGGTAACTAATAATGATGATGCTTTGAGACACTCTGTTGTTTTTTTGTTGTTGTTGTTTCATATTACGATGTACTCCTGACTCTGACTCATACCGGAGGAGTTTCCTGTTGGACCAGGATGCTATTTGTGTCTTTGAATTGACTCTTACCAGTATTTCTGAAGGTTGCATGTTTCAGCAGTGACCTCTGCTGACAGTTTCTCTCAGGTACAGTCTGCTCAATTTCTGTTTTCCAAATTAAACAAGTTCTGTAACAAGTGAAGAGGGGCGTTGTAGTTTCGATTCAGAATGCACTGATGAGTTGCCAGGCAACAGGCAAACTACGACAACAATGCCATTCATATAAGTCATGGGAGACGGTGACGCAAGTGTAGGTGTGCTATAATTAATTTACTTAACATCTATTTACAGAACTTTGATCATAGTGTATTGACATGTAACTCGATTAGGCAGTTCAACTAGTTTTCAGAGTTGCGTGGGTTTAGTTTCATGTTACTTCTTTCTGTTGAAAGAAGCCTATTTGTTATTGCTTTTGACAAAGTTTAAACCAACAATAAATACAGAAGGCTACATGTCATATAAATGTGTTGAAGTTGTAAGCTTTAAAAGTTGTGAAATGTTTGGATCACCCTGTTAAAATTCAATCAATCAATTATTTTAAATACCGTTAAGACGTACTTTTATAGACCTACTTTAATGTGATGTCGTCTTCTTATTGTCTCTTAATGTTTTTTGAGTGTTTTATCTTACTTACTTTGTCTATTTATATTTTGCATTATTATAGTATTATTTTTATAATTTATTTACTTGTTTCTATTTCTTTTTTTGCTTGTTTTTGCTGTTATCTAGGCTACTTTTATTTGCTTTGAGCTGTTTAAGTTTCTTACATTTGAAATCTTTGGTCCACTTGGTCTCAGCTCTTGTTGTTGGGTTCTTGTTTTGCCTGGTTTCCTAATAATGGTTGTGTTAAATATGTTTGTTAGGTATTTTGCTGAATGGGTTCTTTGCATCAACATAACAATGCAACAACACAGTCAGTGTTCACCTTTTTATATCCAGTAAAAAAACACAGTTTATGAGAAGACTGAACAGAAATAAAAACAAGTAGATGTTGTTTGATTCTGCTGGGAATTTATTTACGAAGCTCCTCGCAATGATCACAGTAAAGATTGTGACAAAGATGAAACTGTAACAATTGATTTTGTAAATAATACCTCCAATAAATAAAGGGTAGAGTTAAAACAAAGCTTAATTTCTGTAAACACATTCTTTTACAGCATATTTGAACTCCTCTTTTGAAGAAAAAAAAAAGAAAAGGTTCCTGAAGTGTCCTCAAAACTTGTCATCCCTTAAAAACCCAGAAAGTGTCAGTAAATATTCCCCAGAATGATGTTCAGTGAGAGGTCAGTACATGTTCATCCATCCATTTATTTGAGGCCTTGTCGTGGTGGCAATAGGCAAAGCAAGTTCCCCCAGACATGCCTCTCCCCAGTTACATTTTCTAGCTCCTCCTGGGGGATCTCAAGGTGTTCTCAGGCCAGAAGGGATATATAATCCCTCCAGCAAGTTGAGAGTAGGACGTGCCCGGAAGACCTCCAGAGTTCAAGTACATGTCCCCACTTGGATTTTTAAACAAGAAAGTGTGTCAGTCCCCACAACATTATTTAAAACAAAAATGTTTGCAATTAAAAGTAACTAAAAAAGGTAACCCAGAAAGTGTCTGTCAGTGCCCACAGATATACTTAAAGCAGTAAGTTTGTGTCAGTTGAAGTCCCATGATGTTGATTAATCCAGAGTGTGTGGGTGTGTGTGTGTGTGTGTTGATAAAAGTCCCGAGAGTTTTAGCAAACAGTCATTGAAGATCACTTTTTGGGGAGGTCAGACTGCAGGGACGAAAACCTTTAAAACCACCATGTAATATACCTGAGAAATGCTTACCCAGACAGCTGGAGGTATAAATGTTGATTCCACATGCTCAACATACTGTGTTGACTTTATTTGTACTGAATCAAATACTCTGGATAGATTTGATTTGGGTCAAAAATAACAACAATTTTGGGATGATTGATATCATCAACACAACTGTTGTGAGTGTTTTCTAGACTTCCATGATCAGGTTTTAAGAAATGAGTTTTTCCAACAATTGGTGTACCTATCATCACTCGAGCCAGAAACATGATTTTGGTTTCTTCACCATGTTGTGTCAAGTCACCACACAGTGGCAATGGATCTGTGCTGCGCCGGCTGTATGTGTCTGCAAGTGTAGCATGTTTTGCAAAATATATTCCTTAAAAAAAAAAACAAGACAAACTTTACTCAACTGAAGTAATTGATGAATAGTCAGACATGCATAACAATTATTTACATTTTGCTTCACATTATCATTGAACTTACCTTTGCCATATATGTGTTGTTCTTGATTAGCCAATCGTAAATCAAAGTTATATTTGCAAATTGTGTCAACATTTTTGATTTCAGTCCCATGAAAGAGTCGTCTCTCTTTGATTTCTTTGACACCGTGGATTCTCTTCAACTGTTTCTTTTTCCTTTGCAACAAACAAAAGAAGGGAAATGATGATTAAAAAAGAAGAAACATTATAAAGATAATGAAGGGAGTCAAACTCAAAAAACCTACCTACCTACAATACATTTCCCAAAGGTCCAAATTCTGTATCCTGTAGATGGATACTAAAGGTCTGTCCAGCAGCCCGTCCTTCTTCACATAACCAGCCACAGTCTGATACTCAGGAGTAAGTTCATTCAGACGGATTAACTGTAAAATATGAATACACTGATTTAATCAAGGCTTAAATTAAAACAAATTAAAATATATAAACAGCATTATTTTGTAATATCAGTGCCAGTGTCTAACTTTTCTGTATTATGTGGCCTCACTTTTCTATAACAACATATGTGAAACAAAAACTACATTTTAATCAACATTTATATTTATCGTTATTTTTTATTTTATTTTATTTTTTTAACCTTTATTTTACCAGGCAGAATTGCTTGAGATCAAATGACCTCTTTTTTTCGAGCAAGGCCTGGCCAAAATGGCAGCAGCAAAAAAGAAATATAAGACAAACCCAAAAAGAAAGCACAGACATGAGAAAAAGAGACAAATGCAGTCCAGAAGGTGAAGAAGAAGGAGGAGGAGGAGGACAAGATCATGTTAAACAAAAACAAAGCACAACACCACAATACACACTGTTTTTACTTCATGGAATTGCAAGGTCAGGGTACATTATGGGTGACTACCTGCAGATAAGGAGAGGTGAAAGTTTCTCTTTTATCATGTAGCTTTAACTGTTTTTTGGGTTTTTTTTTTTTTTTTACAGCCTAACGGTACAAGAGTAGTTGAGTTTGGTGGAAATATCTTCTGATACAGTTTAAATGCTTATAAATCCTCCTTTTTTTTGGTTTTAAATAAAGACAGGTGTTCGGGTGTATTTCAGATCCCAACAATTGAGGCTACTAGCAAACTAGCTTGCTAATACAGTCACACAGCTTGTGCGATTTGCTTTAAAGAAATAAATATTAGTAACAATAAAAAAACTAAATCAAGGCCAGCTTTTTTAAAACATATAATTAGGATATAGAGTCAATTTGTTGTGAGATTATTTCTGAACATTTTAATGATTTCATGCTAACACTACTGTGTTTGTGTCTGTTCATCTGGTGTTCAGCTGAAAGGATAAATAATGCCTTTTCTACTTAACCTTATAGATTATTGATGAAGGTATGCTTTACAGAAAAAATAATGTATCTCAATGTTACCTGATATGGACTGGGATCAACATTTTCCCACAAGGCTTGTGCAGTACTGAAGCAAGAGCAACTGTGGGAGGAAAGAGTTAACTTAGTTTCACTTTCATTTTGCAGGAAACTTGACTGATGAGTCATGTACACAAAAATAATTTATGTCTAGAGATTTTATATATTTAAATGATTTGTTTCACCTTCTCTTCATGTTACAGCCCCGATGGATCATTCTTTGCCTCCCTGTGTTGAGGTCTGTCTGTAACATTGCTGTGAAAGAGCACAAGAAGGTGAGTCAGGTGAGTTTTTCATGACAACTGTATATGAACAAGAAAATGGAGTCACATACCTGAGAAATCAAATTCGTTCTGACCGTTGAATGAAGTTATAATCAAAATCGCTTTTGAGTTTCTGAGGTAGTATTTCTCAAGGTCCTCACTTTTAAGGGAGCTGTCTGGGTCATCCTGCAAGGAACGGAAATTAAATGTCACACATACTACCAACTAAGTATGTCTTTCAGGCTATAGAAATTATTTTTAAATAATGAAAAAAATAAAAATAGTTCACCTCAAAACTGTGCCAACTGCCACAGTCTGCCAGGTAATACCAACACCATAGTTGGTCTGATGTGTCCATTAATTCCACGTCTTCATTGCCATCTCAAAACGATGGTGGTAAATCAATGTTAAAAAAACTGAAACAGCTATGTCTAACTTGCTCAGGTAAATGGTAGGGTTTACGTCAGCGTTTCTGACTTACATAATCCAATGCCACACCTCAGAGGAGGCTGGCTTTCCTCACTATCAAATATTTGCATAAAAGACCTGAGGCACTGTCACCAGCAGCGATACCATCAATTGTGTTAAAGAGTCATCATCCGTACCTGAAAAAATCATCATCATCCGTACCTGAAACCATTAATCTCATAAACACTTTCTCAAAAATCTCAGACTACACTATAAACTGGTCCAAATCAACTATTCTCCCTCTCAGTCCAAATAGTTGGGATGTGGCAGCGAAAACATCACCAAACTCCCTGCGCACCTCTAACATCACTTATTTAGGAATTAATATTTCCCCCAGGCTGTCAGAGTTAATTAGTCTCAACTTCAACCCCCTTCTCAAAACAATAAATGATGAACTCCACCGCTGGATGACCCTACCGCTATCACTCATAGGTAGAATTGCGACAATAAAAATGACCATATTACACAAAATTAACTACCTCTTCTCTATGATCCCAACAAAGACCCCACAATCCTGGTTCAAATCCCTTGACTTGAAAATGTTATTGGAAAAACAAAACGGCCAGAATTAAATTAGAAACACTACAAAAACCCAAACCCCAAGGAGGTCTACAAGCACCTAGCTTTTTCCACTACTTCATTACCCACCAACTACAATACATTGACAAATGAACCGATCCCATTGAATCTGACAACTCCTGGAAAGACATTGAACAAACATTATGCAAAGAAATCAACATCTCAGACCTTCCTTTCATCAGCCCCTCTACCAAACGCCACCCTGTTTTAAAATCCCTACCGTAGCAACAACTCTGACAGCCTGGTGGAAATTTCACCAAATAACTAACACCACTATTTCTTACACCAAACAAACTCCCATCTGGAACAACCCGGACTTTACAATAAACCACTCCACCTCTCAGCATGGATCACTAAAGGCATCACACACCTCGAGCACATTTTTCATAACAACACTCTTGCCTCATTTCCTCATTTGATTCAGAAGTTCGGCATTGGGGAACAACACTTTTTAGAATATCATCAAATTCATTCCTCTATAAAAAGCAAAATCAATATTTATCACATCCAACTTTGAACTTCCACCACGAACCACAGACATAATCAATATCAAAACAAGGAAAAAAATATTATCTAAAATCTACAAAATAATCCTGAAATCTGACCAAACAGTATCCGTACCCTTCACAAAATGGGAAACTGACCTCCAGATAGCCCCCAACGCCGACTTCTGGACCCAAATCTGCAGAAACATATTCTCCATATCAAACAATACAAACCTACAACTCATACAATACAAGATTATTCACAGAGTTCACTACACGGGTGAGAGGATGTTTAAAATGCCACAGACGGATACCTGCTCATAGCCTTAACCATCGCCAAGAAAACTGTCCTCATGAACTGGAAGTCGAGAAAAAAAATCAACATTGCACATTGGAAAAACTTACTCACCGAATATATATCAATGGAAAAACCCAATAATCAACAACCTCAACTCATAACTACCCCCACAACATCCCACCCATCAACTCTTTCTACCTGTGCACCAATCACACACACACAATTTACAAGTGACTGCATTTTCATACACTTTTATTTTTTCTCAAACCAACCCAAAAGCCCCGGCTGCAGTCAACTTCCGCTAAAACATAATCATTACACAAACTCTCACCTCTCACACCACAACATTGTTTAACATCAACATATTCAACACATACCACTGCTCAACTCTTCAACTCTCAAGTCCCCCTTACTAAGCACTTTCTCTCCCTCCCCTTCTCGCTCTCTCTCTATCGCTTCTTTCACTTTTTGTATCCTTTCTTAGGTATTTCATATAATTTTGTAGTTTTTCTGTTCGTAGTATGATGTGTGTCTATTGATGTCTTATTTTGCTGTCTTTATTTGTCTTATTTTTTACTGTATTTTGGAGCCGTTGTCCTGACCTTGTTTTTTTTTTGTGCCTCATTTGTATATCACCAGTTTGTCACTTTATTGCACCTAATAAAAAAAAAAAAAATTATGTTAAAGAGATACACACTTCAGTTGAAAAGTTTATTATCTGTAACATGTGGAAATTACAGACGAGTATAGCTTCATCCAGCTCTGCAGTCACTCACTCACTCACTCACAGCTGTGGTTGTAAAGACTGAAGATCTCTCTCTTGGGATGGATCTTCAAATGAACTTTGTTTCCAACCTCAGGCGCCATGGAGTCTTTTCGAGGGCAGAGGTCGTAAAATATACACATATGAGCATATTGCTAGAGAACCACGAGAAAACACGACATCACAACTTTATGTCATTGTGACACAGTTAGAAAACCTTTCATGGAAAGGGGGGAAAGTGCACAATGCATGGTTCAAAAAATGAAGAGGTAGAAGCGTTTTTTTGAATGAAAACAAAGGAAAAATCCATGTCTACATAATACATCGTACTAGGTACACACAGATGTTGACAACTGACGGATCTTTTTTTTCTATGACAGAGCAGGAACACGTTGTGGTTTTTGGTTTTGTAGTTTGAATTATGTCGACATAAATTGTAAATTAGCACATGCGTGGCACTGTGGATGTGAAGGTTGACTTTATTTGTACTGAATCAAATACTCTGGATAGATTTGATTTGGGTCAAAAATAACAACAATTTTGGGATGATTGATATCATCAACACAACTGTTGTGAGTGTTTTCCAAGCTTCCATGGTCAGGTTTTAAGAAATGAGTTTGTCCAACAATTGGTGTACCTATCATCACTCGAGCCAGAAACATGATTTTGGTTTCTTCACCATGTTGTGTCAAGTCACCACACAGTGGCAATGGATCTGTGCTGCGCCGGCTGTATCTGTCTGCAAATGTAGCATGTTTTGCAAAATATATTCCTTAAAAAAAAAAAAAAAGAACTTTAGTCAACTGAAGTAATTGAGAAATAGTCAGACATGCATAACAATTATTTAGACGTTGTTTCACATTATCATTAAACTTACCTTTGCCGTATACGTGGCCATTTTGACCAGCAAATCCTAAATCAAAGTTATATTTGCAAATTGTGTCAACATTTTTGATTTCAGTCCCATGAAAGAGTCGTCTCTCTTTGATTTCTTTGACACCGTGGAGTCTCATCAACTGTTTCTTTTTCCTTTGCAACAAACAAAAGAAGGGAAATGATGATTAAAAAAGAAGAAACATTATAAAGATAATGAAGGGAGTCAAACTCAAAAAACCTACCTACCTACAATACATTTCCCAAAGGTCCAAATTCTGTATCCTGTAGATGGATACTAAGGATTTGTCCAGCTTCCCGTCATTCTTCACATAACCAGCCACAGTCTTATACTCAGGAGTAAGTTCACTCAGAGGGATTAACTGTCAAATATAGATACAATAATTGAATCATGGCTTAAGTTGAAACAAATTAAAATATAGGCTAGAAACATCATTATTTTTTAAATATCAGTCCCAGTGGACCAAAGCCTTGCGTACACTTGGCATGCACTAACTGCTGTGGTACCAACTCCCCTTATAATGAATCATGAATGTCTTTTTGTTTTATTCTGTTTTTAAAGCCAAACAGGTAGAAGAGCAGTGGAGGTTTCTGGAAAATTTCTTCTGAAAGGCTTTCAATACGTTTAAACATTCTTCTTTCTTTTAAATATAGTCTGTGTTTGTATTTCAGATGCTAAGAAAAACATTGGGGCTACTTGCAAGCTAGTTTGCTAATTTTAGTCACAAAGCTTGTGCTATTTACTTCAAAGTAATTACTAGCTTAAGTTATTGTGATTAGTTTAGAAAAAAAAGTTAAGACCACCTTTTTTAAACATTGTATTAGGAAATAGACTTTACTAAGTTATTTCTGCACATTTGAATGATTCATGCGAACTCCACTGTGGATTGAGTTTGTGTCTGTTCAGCAGGTGTAGGAATATAAAATAATGTATTTTTACTTAAAATTAGCAGGATATTTTTTAAATAAATGTATCTCGTTACCTGATATGGATAACTGGGATCAACCTTTTCCCAGAAATCTAGTTCAGTTGTGAAGCAAGAGCAACTGTGGGAGGAAAGAGTTAACTTACTTTCACTTTCATTTTTCTGGAAACTTTACCGATGAGCCTCATAACACTCACGACTTTTTTAAGCCTGAATCATTTGAAACATTTTTGTGATTTGATACATTTTTTATGATTTGTTTCACCTTCTCTCCATGTTATAGCCACGTTTGATCCGTCTTTGCCTCCCTGTGTTGAGGTCTGTCTGTAACATTGCTGTGAAAGAAAACAAGGTGAGTCAGTTGAGTTTTTCAGACATAAATGACAAACAAGAAAATGTAGCCACATACCTGAGAAATCGAATTTGCTCTGACTAGTGGATGAAGATATAGACAAAATCGCTTTTGAGTTTCTGAGGTAGTATTTCTCAATATCCTCACTTTTAAGGGAGCTGTCTGGGTCGTCCTGCAAGAAAGAGAAACTAAATCTCTCACATTCTTTAAAGCTGTATATATATATATATATATATATATATATATAAATTAAATAAAAGGTTTTTAAAAAAGTTCACCTCAAATCTGTGCCACCTGCCACAGTCTGCCAGGAAATACCAACACCATGGTTGGTCTGATGTGTCCATTAATTCCACGTCTTCATTGCCCCACATTGCCATCTCAAAACGATGGTGGTAAATCAAGCTTAAAAAACTGAAACAGCTATGTCTGACTTACTCAGGTAAATGATAGGGTTTATATCAGCGTTTCTGACTTGCATAATCCAATGCCACACCTCAGAGGAGGCTGGCTTTCCTCACTATCAAATATTTGCATAAAAGATCTGAGACACTGTCACCAGCAGAGATACTTTATCAGTTGTTTTAAAGAGATACAACACTTCTGTTGAAAAGTTTATTATCTGTAACATGTGGAAATTACAGACGAGTATAGCTTCATCCAGCTCTGCACTCACTCACTCACTCACAGCTGTGGTGTAAAGACTGAAGATCTCTTCACAGGTCTGCGTTTGCAATGGGAAAATGCAATTCTAGTACTGTTGCACCACCTAGTGGCAAACAAAGCTTAAAGTCCTTTATTGACTCTCCTTTCTCAGAATCACACAAATTCATAGAATTAACTCAACAAACACACACAGCAAAGCAATATAAGACTAATTTACATTACAGTACTATACATGTGCTGGCTACATTCATTTTTTTTCTGTTACATTTACACCAGGTGGAGAGAGAACCTGCGTATTCCCTGAAAAAAAGAGAGAAGCAGGTGGTGACATCACACTCGGATGATTTTAAGTCAAACGTGGTGCTGGGATGGATCTTCAAATGAACTTTGTTTCCAACCTCAGGCGCCATGGAGTCTTTTCGAGGGCAGAGGTCGTAAAATATACACATATGAGCATATTGCTAGAGAACCACGAGAAAACACGACATCACAACTTTATGTCATTGTGACACAGTTAGAAAACCTTTCATGGAAAGGGGGGAAAGTGCACAATGCATGGTTCAAAAAATGAAGAGGTAGAAGCGTTTTTTTGAATGAAAACAAAGGAAAAATCCATGTCTACATAATACATCGTACTAGGTACAACAGATGTTGACAACTGACGGATCTTTTTTTTTTATGACAGAGCAGGAACACGTCGTGGTTTTTGGTTTTGTAGTTTGAATCATGTTCGACATAAATTGTAAATTAGCACATGCGTGGCACTGTGGATGTGAAGGAAGGTGCAGCGGCAGATGGCAGGACATCCCCTATGACCTACAGGTTTCTTATTCTAAACAAACTGTGCACAGAGATTTCACAAGCAAGCACAGGTTCTGCACTTACTACAGCGTTGCCACAAAAACTGGTCTGCAGTCCGTTTCTTCATCCTTGTTTGCTGCATCGAAGCATTCCAACCACAAGAGCCCATTGAAAACGCACCATACAGTATACGGACTCTACACAAAGCCTTGACTGTCTTCTTTATTTTCCAATTTCCCCAAAGGCACTTTAGATGACCTGTGCTCCAGTTTGGCACTGGATCTGACTGAAAGAAGAATGTCAATTTTGCTCCACTCTGTCTCATCTTTTTTATTCTGTATCCAAATTATTTCAGTATTTGGAATCCAACCAAAAACCTTGTATACATCTTCTTATTAGACTTTCAGTAGAACTCAATCAGGTACTCTGGGTAAATCTGATTGCTGTCAAAAATGACATAAATCTTTGGGTTGGCCATATCGTCCACGCAGCTGTCATAAAAGTTGGTGAAGCTGGCGTCCTTGGAAGGCGGTCTGCAGTACATGGGATGTCCGACTGTGTATTCTCCAACAATCACTCTGGCTAAAAACATTGTCTTGTAAGGCGGCTCGCAAGCAAATATTGGCGGGGCGAGTCCGTGTCTCTGCAGGGTGGTGCTGTGCTTCCCTGTGGTGTGGCAGAATTTACTGGAATATTTAGCATCCCGAGCAAAGTAGCTCCCTGCAGAAAGGAAAATGTCATGTTAAAAATCAGACAATAAGTAGTCAATTTACATTGTTTTGTGGTACATTACAAACACAGACGGATCTACCTTTGCCATAGACATCGCCATGGCTACCTGTGAGCCGCCAGTCAAAGTTAAAAGTACATATAGCTTGTATGTTGCTGTGTCCTGTGCCGTGAAACAGCATCCGCTCCTCAATGTCCAGCGTGCGCTTGACTTTTCGCAACTGGGTTTTCTTCCTTAGGACCAAGGAACAAGAACACAACACACAGTACTTTTATCACTTTGATACAAAGTGTATATTCTGGCTACAAAGGAAGACAGGGATGTGATCAAGACGACGTCACGATGGACAATTGAGTTTACGTCTGTACTCGAGTTCAACGCAAGCTTGGGAAATGAATTTATGGAGGCACAAGAGATGACTTTTTTTCTTTTTTTTTTTACGCGCAACAATATGATAAATGTCTTACCTGCAGAAGAACTCCCATAAGTCGAGGTTCTGAATCCTCTGAATGCATTTGATTGGATGATCCATGGTCCTGTCATACAACCTGGCGACTTCTTTAAACTCGTATGTGTCTCTTCCAAGCTGAACGAGCTGCAAAGAAAACGCAAACATACGTAGGTCAAGAATCCATTTACTCTGTGAAAGCTTGGTTGATAAGTCAAAAATGGTCGACATGTTAACAACAGCAAAGAGGGATTGTTTATTTTTTTAAGTTGTTGTAAAAACAATGTAGGTTGTTGTCTGTCACCCCTTTTGTACATTATGTACATTAATGAGTGTCACAGCAATCACAGTAATAGACACCTTCTTAAATTTGCTGATGATGCTGTTGTTGTCAGCCTTCTTGAGGGGGAGAGCAGGGTCATGGGCCAGTTGTGGATGACTTTGTGCGTCAAAAACTAAACACATGATCATTGATTTTAGAAAGTCCCCACCAAGCCAAATACCAACTGGTATCAAATCAGCTGACATTGAAACTGTGGAAAGCTACATATATCTGGGTGTTGTTCTGGACAATAGGTTATGTTTTGAAAATCATGTTGACGCTACCTCCAAGAAGGTTCAGCAAAGACTGTTCTTTTTAAGAAAGATTAACTCTTTTAATGTTTCTACGGCGATGATGACTCTGTTTTATAAAAGTTTTATTGAATCTGTTTTAACTGAACTTGTCAAACAAGAATAGACTTGGGAGACTTGTAAAAACAAGCAGCAGAATCTCAGGGAGGTGTCAGGTTGGGCTTGTATAATCAGCAGGTCCTGAGGAAAGCTAGGGCCATACTTGTGATCCCAGATCACCCACTTCACAGTGAGTTTGACCTTTAACCCTCAGGTCGTCGTTTTAGAGCTCCTGTGAGGAAGACTAAAAGACTCCAGGTCTCATTTTTACCAAGTGCAATTAATATGTTATACAACAATTAGGTATTTGTTGCTCTTTTTGCACATTTGCACACCTCCACTTTGCACTTTAATAACTTGAATTTCCATTCTGGTTTGGGCTCTTGACTGATTATATTGCGCTGTTTTTATTTGGTTTTATATTTTGCTGTGTTGTCTGTTTTTTTTTACATTTGTTTTGGTTTATGTTTTGTGGTGATGTTGTCCTTGTGTTTCTTGTCTTCTGTGTGCTCCTGTTGCAACGCAAATTTCCACTTGTGGGACAATAAAAAATCTTGAATCTGTATCTGAAACAGTCATAAATGGCTGGATTATTTTTTTCACTTTTGTTTTCAATGCTCTTGCAATCAGATCTTTTATAATCAGGAGTTGAGTCATTTGCAGTTTTGAGATGATAAAAGTTGGATTTAGTTTGTAATTTCAAAATAAATCTTTGAAGGTTTGAAATGCAGTTTGTAAACGCTGAAGTGAGCAAACATTTGTGTTTCCAAATGTCATCTTAACAGAATGTTTGGGATGAGATCTTGACAGCATCGATGTGCTGCTGAAATACCTGCAGGGACGGTGCGACACCATGAATCAGCAAAATTTCCATAAAAGAAAATGACCCGACCAAGACAAGAAGCTAACCCTGTTGAGCACTAAATACGTATGCATGTGTGTGTGGTGTGTGTGTGTGTTCAAAACTAAGTGGATATGTGTAATTGTACTCACCTGATAGGGCTCATCAGTATTGATTCTCTCCCAGTGACACGGAACAGGCAAGGCAAGATTATCACAAATAAACCTGATAGAATAAGAACAAATAAGAGAGTGAGAAAGGGGGGTTTGAATCTCGTCAATCCACTAATGCCACCGTTACAGAATGATGTCATAAAGAAAAAAAACTGTAAGAAATCAATGCATGATACAGAAAGTCTTTCGTCAATATTTCAAAATATTCAGCTCCAGGGCAGCTCAGGTTCTCTAATTGTTCACAACAAAGCATCAAACATTACCTGAAACCAGTTGCAGAATGGAGGGAACGCTTGATTGGCCGCTGCTTCCCCGTTGTTACGTTGATTTGCCGCATAGCTGGTGAGAAATCAGATGAAGGTCATCATAACCGTATGATCAAAAGTTCAGATTATCATCTGTGTGATGAAGTGCCATCAGTATGACTCTACCTGAGAAGTCCAGTCTGTAGGTGTACTTAGCCGTGTAGAACTCCATGACGCCCCGCTGGTTCCTGTTGTAGCACTGCTCGATCTGAGCACTGGTCACAGAGCAGGCCGCACTGGGATCAATCTGACAGGAATAATAATGAAGATAAATAAATTTATTGGAGAACTGGAATTAATGTGTTACTTTTTTAGAAAATGAAGTTGAACTATTCATACAAAAGTTTATTTTTTTACACTTAAAAAAAAATTCTGTAGCCTTTACTGCCTTTTATTGTCTAAAGATAATGTTGAATATCTTCAATTTCCTTTCTGTTTTTCACTTAAAACAATCAATTTAAGATATCCTTTTTATTTATTTAATGAAATCTTAAACACGTTTTTTGAGGAAAAAGTAAGAGGTTAATCTGCAGATGAGCAGTGATGTAAACATTTAACGGCAGTCCAATGCATAGAACTGTCTTCCATTGTTTTGTCTTGACTTTACGAGAAAATATTGCAACTAGTAAATGTTCTAGAAAACTTTGGGATTGAATCAAATGTTTTGCTTCGTCCAACAGCTAAAAAAAAACTTACAACAAAGTAAAACCAAGAAAGCCAGTAAATTCTCACATGTGAGGAGTTTTACAATTTGTCTTGAATATAATGAAATATAAATCAGCTTATGGGGGCAGCTTCTTTTTTTTTTTTTTTCAAAGTCAAAGTCAACTTTATTGTCAATTTCAAAATATGCCAGACATACAGTGGAATCGAAATTGCGTTTGTCTCCGTCCCACGGTGCAATACAATACAACAATACAAAAAGATATATATTAAATATATATAGATAAAATATATATAAGATAGATATTTTATCTATTTTACCTCACCAAAAGATAAGGTAAAATAGATCAAATAAAATGAGGTAAAAATAAGATAAATAATATTTACAGTAATAAATTCTAAATTGTGCAAAAGGTACAAAATGGTAAATAAAATAAAATACAATTGAAAGAAAAAGTACACTTGTGCAATCTGTGCAGTAAACTGATTGTACTTTTATTAGGTTCACTAATGTCTAACCTTTAGAGGAAATAGGTGACTGGAAACTTACAATACAATGGGATTTACAGTAAGGCTCTAAGGATTAGCAGCCGACTGGCATTTTTCGTGCCAGCTGAAAACAACACCCAGGACTTTTACTGATGAACAGACCTCAACTCACTGACATTGAACTGTGCTGAGTCTTCACACATCCTGGTGTCACATAGGGAGGGAGGGGTGTATGTGTGTGTGTGTGTGGAATTACATAGAATAGAATTACTTTGTGTGTGTGTGTGTGTTGTGATTTGGGAAGTTGTCTTGTGACTACCTCAAACATATGCCACACCCCACACTCAGCCAAGTAGAACCAGCACCAGTTCGGCTCTGAGGTGTCCATGTCCTCCATCTCTGGGGACTCCTCCTCGGACGATCTCAAGGCTAACATTGCTGAATCTGAAAAAAAAAAAGTGCAGACACGCGAACAAACTCAGTAAAACAGCAGCTGACAAAGAGGGAGTAAATGATGGGCAAGAATTGCATCATGTAAAAAAAAAAAAAAAAAAAAATCTAAATGATACAAGAATGACGATATCCAGCTAGCTATCATTAGCAGCTGCCGTACCGACTCTACGGAAGTCTCACCACTTTTCAGCCTGTCCTTATCGCGGTATGAATCCGACATGCATTGTGAACATATGCCCACAAAGCCCGCAAACTCGGAATAAAGAGGAAAAACTAACGCTACTTGTCATTTTTGTCTTCCTTGTCTCGGCGTTGTTTACTTTTATTTCCTGGTTTCGTCGCATACCGAACGTCATTACGTCATCGGATGGAACTCCTCCCAATTCGATCGGGTGCGTCATTTTGCCCTGAGTTTGTCTTGCCGGGTGACAATCTGCACAGTAACTGCGGACATAATGTTGTTTTATTAAGATTTCACTGACAAAACTGATCCGTCTACAGGAAAATATGATGCACCTTCCTGCACAGCAATATGTCATTAAAATAAAAAAAATGAAAAATAATGATAATAACCAGATGAGCTGATGCATTTATCTTACTTAACATTATTGTGTCATTCCTTCTGCTGTCAAAAGTTAGACTATTTTATGTTATGTTGATATCACTAACTGTTGTGTGAGCGTATTTTTTTAGTACAAGCTTACAAACTGATGGGGCAGTCAGTTTTGAGTGTGTGTGACATCCCTCAGGACACACCCTATTTACGATAACGCTTTTCTTCAAACTTGTCTCGGCCAGTGAGGAAATTTAATAGCCAGCAACCACTGCAAGCTCACGGGTGAGTATTATGCATGCTTTGTAATCTCATCTCTCTCTCTCAAGACACTGGAAATATCTAATTCTCTAGTCATGTTCTGCACTTCTCTGGATAGTTGTTGGAATACTCAACAGTTAGTCGATCTTTTTTTCACCAGTAGTTTGTGAATTAAATTTGGGGGTTTAATTGTTTTATCAGAGCCTCTTTTCATTTTGCATTGTCTTCAATACATGCAATGCATCGACTTATTAGTTTTAATTGTATAACTTCATTCCACTGTAAAAACTTTTGCAATGTGTGCTCTTGTGGAGGAGAGCGTCAGCTCATAAAATGTGATTTGCGCGTTTATTACGTGTGCATACACAGTAGACTGAATGACCATGACTGAAGAAACAGCCACAGGGGCTCCTACGAGGGACCCCAGGCAAGATAAACAGATTCCTGAGGAGGGAGTCAAGCCAAGGGGCAAATGGGCCAACAACACGGAGTTCCTGCTCTCCATGGCTGGGGAGATCATTGGACTTGGAAATGTTTGGCGTTTCCCCTATCTGTGCTATAAGAATGGAGGAGGTGAGGGAAAGAAATTGACATTTGCTGGAAAAAAAAGCCAAAAACAATAAATGGCTGCTGCAGCTGAATACAAGCAATGCAAATTTTCAGAATTTTCTTTGTGTGCAACAGAGTTTCATGAAAACTATTTATTTGTCCTATGTATGTTGTCTAAGTATTAGTAATTCTTCAGGCAGTATCCTTTAGATTTCTTTGTAGTGACATGGAACATTTTGCACTCTCACTTCATCATCAATCAATTAATCATGGGTTTTTAACATGTGTGCAACTTACCAACTCATTTACAGTCACATGACTCTTCTGCATCTGAACTGTTTTTTTTTTTTTTTTTTGCAGGCGTCTTCCTTATCCCTTACGTTGTGTTCCTCTTCTTCTGCGGCATCCCCGTGTTCTTCCTGGAGACGGCGTTAGGCCAGTACACGAGTGAGGGCGGGGTGACCGCCTGGAGGAAGATATGCCCCATGTTCGAGGGTAAAACAAGGCCCCTTCCAATTTTGTAGCATTACACGAGATAATCAGATGTCATGCACAAAAAATGCTTGCTACTGTGCTTTTTTTAAAAATAGTTTGGTAAAAAACAAAAAAAAAAAAAAAACACCACACACAGCCGTTTACCATCCAGAGCCCTCCAAAACGAATCACAACAGCTTCTTGAGAATGCTAGACTTGAAAAGTTCTGGAACATTTACCCCTCAACAATAGCTGCCTTGTGCACACACTAAAAGGCTTGTTTTCATGCACAGATGCTTCTCGTAAACGCTAATAATACAAGGGAGATTTCAAGGGAGAGTCTGGGAACCAAACCTGCATTAAGGAGCTCTAACTGTTGCATAATACAGAAGAAGACAGCAGCCAGAAAGCCCACTACACTGTGTCAAAAACTCACTCTGTCCCACAGGTGTTGGGATTGCATCCCAAGTGATTGTGTTGTACCTGAACATCTACTACATCGTGGTGTTGGCTTGGGCCATCCTCTACTTGTATAACTCCTTTAAAAGCCCGCTGCCCTGGTCAACATGTGACAACCCCTGGAACACTGGTGAGCTTTGAGGGGAATAACATGGGTTCATCTGCATTTGATTAGAAGTGTGCCTGTTGCTGTTGTTTAGACTTCGAGGGGAAAAGAATTCCACACATTTGAAGTATATAAAAAAAAAAAATGTCCACTCTCCTCCACTTCTCTTTCTTCATCCTCTTTTTTCCTCAGATTTGTGTCACGGGCACTACAGCCACTTTGCCAACCCTCATTTGTATCAACCAGGCTCCAACTGGTCATTCCTGAACAACCTCACCTCACTTGATTACTTTGATTACCTTCCTGACATGCAAGTATCACCATCACATACTGATGAACATACAGTACTGGATGTGTTGCAGTGTTGAGCTCCTCATACTGATGTTGTTTATAAAAAGCTTTAATAAAAGTGAGATTAGCTTTGGCTTCCACAGATATATTAGCTTTTGGGACATACCCATTGTTTGATGTGTGCTGGGGAGGTTCTTACGTCTGTAGCTTAAGTGAAAAGTAACTGTATCAATTGCACTCATGAGACTTTTTAAGGGTGGAGAGTGCACACTAAATCTAAATGATTGTCAGGCCTTGTTTCAGCAGTGATTTATCAAAACAAAAGAGGTCATCACATAATGTTTCCACTGAGACTTTCACATTTCAAGAAGTGTGCAACTTTGCTTTCCTACTGAGAGTTAAATGAGTACTATACTGCTCTCATGTAGAAAACGTGGAACTACACAGAGCAGCCAGTGAGCCTAGCTTAGCATAACTACTGTAAACAGCTAGTCTGGCTTTGTCTGGAGTAGACAAAAGCCCAGTTACAGTCTCTCAAAGGCTTGTTCATTGATTCATTTTTATAAGAATTGATGATTCCATTTAAAAACCAAAGTCCACCTGTGGATTTAAATAGATTCCTAAACAATGTCACTAAGGAGACAATTCAGACACAAATGTTGTACTTGAATTATAATAGTGATTATTATATATATATTAACAAGGGACTCTAAAGCTCATTTCTTAACATTATTGATTATTTATCTGTGTTAGTATATGTTTGGAACATTTTAATCTGCCTCAGAAAGAACTTGACTGATCATCTATCATTTGAATACTTTTTTCCCCTTCCAGGAATTTAACTGATCATCAGGAATTCGGGTGAGAAACACACACACACATACTATAACACACACACACACACACACACACACACACACACAAGCTCTCATGTTATTGAAACATTGACTGATTGCTTGGCCGCCTTAAGATTTATCATTTGAATACTTTTTTTTTTTTTCAGGAATGCAACTGATTCTACCTTTGTCAGGACATCAGAAATGGAATTCTGGATGTGAGAAACACACCCCACCCACAGACACACACACACACACGCACATACATACACCAGGGCACCTTAGGGCTATGCCGGAAACAGACGGAACAAAGTGTGAGCCTGAATCCTTTTAAGTTAGATAAGACCAGTAGGTGACTCTGTGTCCGTCGGGAACACGAGACTCTGGCTCTTTAACATTGAATGAAAGGCAGAGCAGATAACATCATTACATTACAAATTAGAACTTAATTCAATATTTTGTATTTTACTCTCCCTTTTTTTCCTGTATTTCCTTATTCCTTTGAAACAGGCTTCTGCTCCTCACATGACAAACTCCTGATTGGTTTCGAGAACTGACGTTGGGAAATCACTCAATGACGACAATATGTTCTCTTTCTCAGGCAGTTTGTGCAACACTAACAAAAGCCACCAAAAAAAAAAAGGAAGGCATATTCAAACATCACTCATCACAAGTCATGGTTCAGATGTTTGCAGGATGTGAATGCATTAAAAAGGAAATATGGCCTTTAATTAATCCTCCACAAGCTGAAAATCCCACTTCATTCAAGCATCTTGAAAGAAGACACAAAAAGGTTTCATTTGCCTTGGGCATCTGTAGTGTCAATCCATCATCATGTTGTTTGCAGACGATGCAGTTGTGTATTTGTGTTTTATGTGTGTGATATTTTTCCCCACAGGAATCGAGTGCTGAGAATTTCAGATGACATGTCCCTTGGTAAGGTTCACTGGGACCTGGCCGTGTGTCTCCTGATTGCCTGGGTTGTGTGTTACATCTGCATCTTTAAGGGAATCAGATCCACAGGAAAGGCGAGTACTTCTTTATTATATTATTTTATTACTCGTCTTTAATACTCACTGTAATAAAGTGGCACCTCGAGGTTCAGAAACATATAAATCCCACCTTTCATTCTAAGATCTCAGCCATGCAACTAAACTGTCTGTAGTTCACCTTGCTCTCTATGTATCTCCACTGCTGTGTGATTGTTATAAATCATTGACTGTACATGGGCGTTGTCTCAGTGCTCTCACGGTTTTGATGCCAAAAGAAAAGCCTAAACTTGCGTGTCCATTCCAATAAACTTCAGGTTTGGTTGTGTACACTGTGCAGATGATCAACTTAGAAAAGCTGCCTAAATTATAGGAAGTGAAAGGATTGTTGAGGCGGTTTTTAAATCCGCCTTTGGCATATTTTACTGGTTTACGTCATGGAGAGTTTGGACAGAAAGCAGAATAAGTGCAAGCGCAAAATTACCGATATTGCAGAATATACCTGAGAAAGTCAACAGGTTGTATATTGACCTGTAGAAGAATTTTAATACAATAGATAACAGACAACTATGGAGAAAATTGGAGCCGTATGGAGCAAGTTATTGCTTTTTCTTGGCTGGAAAGCGATTGAGAAAGTAGACAGTATTTAGCTATATCAACTTTATAAGGTGGTAATACATGAGTGTTGTGTTTCTGACTTGTTCCTGTGGTCAAACAAAATCCCTCGAGTGAGTTTTTGTGTCTAAATAATAATATCTACTTTTGGTGTTTGCAGGTCGTGTACTTCACTGCTACATTCCCCTACGTGATTCTGCTCATCCTCTTCTTCCGTGGCGTGACACTCCCTGGAGCCGGAGATGGACTGAAATATTACCTCATGCCTGACTTCAGCAAGCTCGGTGACCCAAGCGTAAGAAGTCACTGTTTTAGCTATTGTTGTGTTTGCTTTCGGAAAAAAAGCAACATCAACGTTGAGGAGAATCACCTCAGTGTCATCTGAAATTCAGTTTTTGGCCCCAAAGTAAACACATGCCAACAGACTCAGGGCTCTTAGAACTTCCAATCAACCATGGATGAACACAGTGTCCTGTTATCTCCCCACACCCCCTCATCCCCCTTCTCCCCCTTCTGCCTTGACATTTATTTCCGGTCCCAAGCCAGAGTCTTAGCAAGGAAAGCAAACTGAGATCCTCTTCGGTGAGAAGTTTGTCCAAGAAGTTTTTTCCCCTTGAGTTAACAGTAACATCAACAGAGAGGAGAGACTCTCCATGGTGAATTTCTCACCCATTGTGAGACTATTTTAGCCCATAGAAGTCAGTTCCTTAAAGCAAATTATTCTTTTTTTTTAACTTAAGCTAGGACATTGTGTTACATGCTTACAGCAGATCTGTTATTCACTCAGCAAAATGATGTCATCGTCTTTAAACTCATTCAGGAGTTTAAAAACAAAGGGTGTATTCTGTATCATTTGGCATCCTCTTTGCACAATGACCGCATCTGTGTCTGCCAGCAAGGGGTCTTTCTTGATCGCCACCCATCCCCTCTCAGGCTCTCGCTCTCTCTTTCTCTTTCTCTCTCTCTTTCTGATCACCGGAGGGTAAAGCTGCCAGGGGGTCACTTCCCTTTTCTTCCATCTCTGCATGCATGTGTACAAATAATCCTGTGGTCATGGAGGAAGTGGTCATTTTACATGAAAAAAATCGAGACTTTTGCAGGTTCAGAGGGGACCCCTTAAAGCCAATGTAAACCCAAATAAATGAAGGGCTTTATGTACATAAAAGTAAAAATAATAGGATTATGAAAAAATAATATTCCACATGGATTAATAGTGAGTTTCTGATACTTGCTTTTAAGTGGGTGTGGATTATAAATGATTGCAGCTGCCTATTGATGGCCACGCCCACACACAGCCTTGAGAACCTGCCCAGTTAGCTTCATTAGCTGGTTTTCTAACCATGTTTGAAAATGGGCACGGTGGTGTTTTCTCAGATTTCTGTACATTCTTAACAGAAAACAGACAATATTCTGCAGTATTAGTATCTTCAATTTCAATTTTCTTCAATAGTTGAATCGTTAACCGTGTGAACTTTCTGCATTTCGTGTTTCCATGAAGTGTTTGTACGTTAGACCGGATGAGTTCATCTGGAAATGATTGCAACTCAAAGTATCCGACAAGTTCACATACTCCTGCTACACCCACTAGACAAACTGAGCTGCCCTCGAGTTACGAGCTCTCGTAAGCATTTGAAAACATGGTTAAGAAGTGAATGGAAACAGGTGGAGGCAGAGTTACACAATTCCAGATGCTCTTGGAAACAGATCTCTTCCAATGAGTCGCTCTTTACATGCTAGTGTCTGTTTTTGCTTAACCAAGAGGACATTGTAATTGAGTTCTGGCCTCCATCTGCGGTCCCTTTTGTGTGTTAATGCGTCTCCTTTTGAACATGTGTCAGGCTGCGTGTGTGAATATGAATGCAGAGCAACCAACAGGACATGCTTCAGATGCAAAGATCCTTTACGACAAAATGAAGCCTCTTTTTCCGACCGGAGGGGGGGGTCGTCTGGGACGAGAGACAAGGGTCCTGTACATTGCTTTGGAGCAGTGCCTACTCTAACTTTTAGTGGGTGGGTCCCTAATGTTAACCAGATGGTGTCAGAAGAACAAAAGAGCCTACAGACGGACATTCCTGTAAACAGAACTTCTCTCACAAAACCTGGAGGCACACACATCCACATGTGATTCATACTCACTCACATAGATGGAGTGAATGGATGAGACAGAAACCTAAGAAAGGAATATACTAATTACAGTTTATAACATATGGACACTTTAACAGACGATCGCTCACTTAGTATCATTACTGACAGGCAGAAAGCAAACTTCTTGTTTCTCTAATGAAACAGGAAGTTCTGAGTCTGACCAACTGATTGGACAAGAGCAAGTGAATGACTTGTTAATACAGTGTAAACTTTACCTCAGATGTTCTTTTTTGTGCTTTCTGTAGTGATTTTGAAAATGTATTTTAAAAGCAATCAAGTAGTGATTGGCAATGCAAATACGCAAAAGGCTATAAATGGTTTAGTCCATTGTTGTGTTTTTTCTCTTTTCTTACCCTAGATATGGCGAGACGCTGGGACTCAGGTGTTCTTCTCCTACGCAGTGTGTCAGGGAGTTCTCACCTCTCTGGGAAGCTACAACAAATATAACAACAACTGCTACAGGTCAGCGTCCTCACACGTCCAACACATCACTCTAGGAATCATTAAATATCACATGTAATGTTTTTCACGTTCATGTTGTGCTCTTGGTATGATGCAGGGATTGCTTGGCACTTTGTTGCCTGAACAGTGCCACCAGTATCTTTGCTGGTTTTGCTGTGTTCTCAGTGCTGGGGTTCATGGCTCATGAACTGGGCGTGCCAATGGAAAATGTTGTCGAATCTGGTGTGTTTGATCCTCAACTTCTGTATTCTTTAACTTTCAACTTCTTGCTGTGATGTTTTAAACCAACAATGTCCACAAGAGGGCATGTTAAGCTCAGTTAAAACCACTTATTTAAAAGCTTGATTTTTTTTTTTTGGCCCGTGGCATGTGTTTTAATATTTAATGATCATTCTGTTTTTTTGTGTTCTAGTTCACTGCTTTGCTTTGTGTTAAATCATGTTTTTAAAGCACTTTGGGGTAAATCTATGTAAGAAATGTGCTCTTCAAACAATGTTTAGTAGTTTTTTTTTTAAACTCCCAACCAGGGGAATGGGGACCATCAAAGGGTCACAAGAAAACTCTGAGCTGGTCATGAGATACTTATAAAATACATATTATTGTTAAAAGGACTTGAAATCCTTGGTCTTGAGAGAGTCATATGTTTGTCCGCAGGTCCTGGTCTGGCCTTTATAGCATATCCAAGGGCTCTGTCGATGCTGCCAGGCTCATCCTTCTGGGCCATTCTCTTCTTCCTCATGCTCATCTTCCTCGGCCTGGACACCCAGGTGCTGTACTTTATACGACGCGTCAGGTATTGTTTTTCTCACTATCATGTTATATTTGACAAAAACTCTCATTTTCACTCCTTGCAGTTCGTGTGTGTGGAGAGCCTGTCCACCGCCCTCACAGACATGTTTCCACGTTACCTGAGGAGACGGGGAGGTAGAGAAGTCCTGGTCCTGGTCATCGTTGTTGTCTGTTTTCTACTGGGGCTGCCACTCATCACGGAGGTAAACAGCAGAAAGAACAAGGGCACGTCTGATGTGGGGGGAAAAAAGAGCAGATGCTGTGATTGAAAACTCATAGTTGTATTTTTTATCAATCATTTGTCTGTTTCATTACGGTCACTGTAGAAGATCTAGAAGTTTTTCTTTTAGTCGAAAGGTCAGAACAACTCTTAAACTCTTTGACAAATTGACAAATAATTTCAAACATTGTATTTTCAAGCAAAAAAAAAAACCCTACACAGACTATTTTTACATGAAAACAAATGAAATCATTGTTAAACATATGAAGTTTATCTTTGTTAGTCACCTGTTGCTCTGCAGCCTTACTCCTCTTTCTCAACCAGGAACTGCCAAACAGAGGAAGGCGCCACATTTGGTAGAGGTGGAGAGGTGTTTAGGTTGTCGAGATTAAATGTGTTATTTAAATGGCTGTTTAAGTATTTACTCAACTGAAACATATTTTCATATGCTTGTAGCCTTATTGCAGATTTTATGTGTTGTTTAGGTAATACTCTCCTGAGAGTCAATTGATTTCCAAACCTTTTTTGGTAGGTGCCAACTCCGATATAAGAGGAGGCTTGAGGCCTTGCAGGTTGTTGGAGGTTGGAGATTGGAGGTGCGAAGTGTTGGAGTGGTTCATGACAGTAATGAGGCCCTTGCACTTGATTTATTTCCCTGTAAATAAATTCACTTGGACTGCATTTTTTTGAATTTTCCCTCATTTTTGGGCCTAAGACACTGCAGGCACGTGTAAAGCTGGACAGACTGGACTAACCCAGACAGGAAGTCAGACGAGGAAACGCACAGAGCGTCCGGTCAATTTCAAAATAAAACAAACCCTAGTCAGGTAGATCTTCAGATGCTTTTTCCCTGCCTGCTGTTACTTTTTATCTGAATGTTTTATTACTGCTCATGTTACAGGGAGGGATTGTCCTCTTTACCTTGATCGACAACTACGGTCCCAGCGGAATCAGCCTCCTCTTTATTGCCTGTTTTGAGACCATTGTTATTGCCTGGGTTTATGGTAAGTCCTGTTTTTTCTTAAACTTCAATATTGTAGCTTCTTCTGTACCTAATCCAAACGTAAAGGTTTATTTTTTTTACTAACATCAGATTAGTTACTTCCTTAAAAAGTTGTCTTGGTTTTTCTTTTCACCAAAATCAAAATGATCAGTAGTGTATTGTATTCACAGTCAAAACAAATGCAACTTCAATTTATTAAGTAAACGTGGTTCTAAAAGCAGCAATTTAATCACCTTACTGCATCGATGCGATCTTTTCTGTTAGAAAGCAGCTTCTGATAAAAACTCTGAAATCCAAAGTCGTTTTATTTCATTCCTATAACTCTAAACTTTACCAACAATACACAAAAAGGAAAGAATGAGACTGACATTATAGTATATTTTCTTTTGTTTTTCTCTAACATATCCCTCCTATTTCTTTGCGAGCCACTCCACATACAGTCCTGTAGATGTGCTTTAAGGGTTTTGAGTACCTGTAACAAGGTCGACCGTGGGTGAGACGTACAAAATCGACTTTTCCACTTTAAATACACTGCGTCCTGCACTGAGAGCGCTCCTTTTCATTCGTCTACAGTCTGGTAAAACATTTGGTAGCGTATGTGCCTCCAGCCTCTGTTATGTTTCATCTGAATTAAGACAACACATCTACCCATGACCTTATACCTGCCAAACATGAGCCTGAACTGCACTTTATATTTGGAAAACTGGAAAAATCAAAGAGAAATAAGAGATAGAGAAATGTAATTAATATCTCCTATAACGAGGCGCTCAAGGTAATTTCAACGACTTATTCAAGAGTGGAAGACCATGACCTGAACTATTTCTATTGGCAGTAAAGCATTTGCAATTAGTTTTTTCTTCACCCCCTGGCAATTCATCAGGTTCACTCTGCAACAGCTCTGGTAAAGATCCAAAACTAGTGCTTGGACCTCAGTTTCTTATAAATCAACAGTTTTGTTTATAGAACACTTGGGAACTGTTGTACAATCTTACAGCAGGCCCAACAGTTGTTATAGGTGGAATGTGAACCTCATGTTTAGGGGGATAAACATAAAGGCTTTGTTTAAGCTGTGGGAAAGCATCCACACAACACAAGCAGGCGGGTCATTTTCTAAATCACGAGATAATACTAGTCCAGTTTGAATAGGGTTATAGAGTTGTTGCATTTGCACTGTGTTGTTCAATTTGACCTTTTACCAGAAGGATGAGTGCTCCATCTACTGAAATGAAACCAAAAAGCAACGCTTTTCAATCTCAAACAGAGGAAATATGAGCACTATAAGCGTCCTTACATTTTCTCCTTGCCTTTTCTGAATGCTTAATTCCACCCAGGACATTCATCAGAAGCTAACTTACTGGCTGAAATTACAGCGTGTAGTTCCTCTGCTCTCATAATGGTCCCTTCATCTGCATTTTTAGTGCATTTTGTATCCTAACTGTGACAAAACAATCTATTTTCTTCCATAAAACAGAATTTAATTGCCACTCCCAGAGCCATATTCCTTCCACAAACATCCTCAGTATTTACATTTATAGTAAGTCTTTTGTTTTTTGGAGTAAAGAGAGGCTACTTTTACTGATGCACATTGAGATATTGATTTGCCTCTGCAGCTTGAGCCACTCTCTGTGTCATCCGAGTGAGTCTACGTTATTTATACAGAAACGCCCTTGACCAAACTTTAAATAAAACGGCTCGCTTTACTCCTCCGAGTTGATGTCATTAGATTAATTAGACTCTGTGGATGTTGTTCCATTAGCCAGGCATGTACTTGACCAGTCTCAAATGTGTGTCCTCCTGTTTCATTTTTTCTTTATCTTTTTTTTTTCTTTATCGTTCTTTGCTTCTTCTTTGTCGCCTTCTTCTTCTTCTCTCTTTTGCAACTGAACCCTGAGAAGTTTTCTCATCTCATCCTCCTCCTGACCTCACAAGTGGCTTCTTTTGTCTTTACCTTTAACTTCCTTTTTGTGTTTGTCTTGTGATACCTATATATTTGGATGGACCCAGTCCTCCTTTGTCCACTTACCTTACATAGTGTGTTTGAAAATCTGCTCTATTTCAGTGAGTGAAAATCAGCTGTGAATACAGTTTCTCCAAGCTCAGGATTCAACATCTCTCATTATTTCACACCATGACTTTGAAGGTGCGGACCGTTTCTGTGACAACATCGAGGACATGATCGGCTACGCCCCAACCCGCGTCTTGAAGTACTGCTGGCTGTTCATCACACCGACCATCTGTGGAGTGAGACTCTTCTCTCTTTGTTTGCATTCATTATTTCCCGCTTTATTTTTTATGTCTGATTGATCTTCATGCTGCCTGTTATCTTCCCTCCTCACTGGCCTTTTATCTTTTGATGAGTTATTCACGTACTTTCATTTCACCACATCAGTAATTATGCCTGAGCACACACAGGGGAAGAAAGAGGAGAGATTGCTGCCTTAAACTGAAAATGTGGACTCATCTTTTCTTAAAAACACACATCCCTGCAGACATGATCAGGTCGAGATTAGAAAGTACAGGGGGCATCTTAAAATAAAGCCAGAGTCACTCTGGAGTATGCTGATGATTGTTATGCATGTTAAAGCTGAATAACTACTGTAGAATTTAACATAATTACAACTGCTGACCATTTGTATTTATTGCCTTAAAATAATAATTTAGATATAATTTTGAGATTTCTCCCCGATTGGCAAGATAAGGTTTGGAATTTAAAACTTTAAGTTACTAAATACGATTGTTTTATACTAATAATGGATAAATAGGGGCGCTGTATAGCCAAGCGGTTATGTTGCGCTCCTTGTGAACAGAGGCTTTAGCCCTTTAGCGGCGGTCGTGGGTTCGAATCTGACCTTTCTGCCCTTTGCTGCATGTCATCCCCCCCACTCTCTCCTCCCAACATGTCCTGTCTCTCTTCAGTTGTCCATTTTGTCCAAGGCAAAATGGCTCAAAAATACATCTTGAATTATCACCTGACTGTAGTTACCCTCAGGCTTTTAGACCAGTTAATTGTCCTATAGTTAATTCTTTTAGTTTGTTGGGCTTAAAAAAAATAAAAAAAATGTATAGGCCAGTGGATTGAGTGGGAAATCATAAACAGAAAAGGGGCCAAGGGTCAGAATCAATATCAGGGATATAACCGCTAGTTCCAATGCAAAATTGAGGTTTCCACATTACTGCATTAAATTAATTGACATATTTCATGGGTACTGGCACACACATATGCACATCATTTTCAAACTTACACATAACACATATATATTTATATGCATGTATGTAGACGTTAACTCGATCATTTTCTGTCTCCTAGATCACACTGCTGTACGACCTGTCCGAAACACAACCTCTAGCGGTGTATGAATATTACCCTGGTGCTTGGGGGACTACATTTGGGAGTGTACTCATCCTTACTCCCCTGATGTGCATCCCTGTCTTCATTTTTGTCAGATTATGTAAAGTGAGTAAATAATATATATAAAAAAAAAATATATATATATATATATACACACACACACACACACACACACACACACACACACACACACACACACACACACACACACACACACACATACACATATGACACAGATACAAAGCCATGTATTTTCTCTGCACTTAACTGTGATGCTCTAATGAGGTGAATGAGTTTGTTTATTGATGTTTCCTTTTATAATTTGCCTGTCGTCTAACATCTAGAATCCCGACAACATGATGACACCATCCAGTGATCTGCGTCAGGCTCAACCACACAAGCCAATTCTCACTTTGTGTGGCAAGGTCATCTTCAAGGCGCAGGGGAAGCCGAACAGGAGTGTGTACGAAGTAGACGATAAGATGATGATGGAGGAGCCCGGCAGCGTTTGATGGTCACTGAGGAAGCAAAGAAAACCTGCAGATGGTAGACAATTATGTGACTTTTTTTTAAAACTGATATGCAACTTCTTTTTTTAAAACATCTAAAGATTTCAGTCAGGGATATATTTTCTGTATGTTTTTATGTTACATTACTTTTTATCCTATGAATACATATGTAAATGACATATATACATATATAACCCATAATAGTGTAATGGGCTTATAAAAGAACTACTACATGCAGCAGAGCCAGTTAAATCCTCTTTTTTTTTATTCCACTCGTTCTTTTTCCTTCCTGAAAACTTGGCTCCTGCATTTCCCACAATGCATCTCAAACATAGCAAGTTCAGAAGGACATTTAGCTGCTTGTAGCATCAAATTTATCCTTAAGCCACCAAAGGTCCACTGTCTAAGTACAGTAACAAACAATTTTATTCTATTGGATTTGTAAGATTCAGCCCCGGCTAATGAGGACTCGAGTGACATCACTTTAGTCAATTTTTGAAATGAGTTATATCACAGTGATGGTGGTATCATTGACATGAATTTTTTTTTTTTTTGCACTACACATTATGTTTTTTCATATATAGATGTTTACACTTTGTGTAACAAACAAAGTTTTTTAAATGTACTAATGATCTTCAATTATTTTCATGTTTTTATACGTATCCCAAACAATGGTGACAAGCTGTACAATTTCCATTAAACGTTTCTGTATGCTACATATTTTGGTTTAGCATGTTTCATTTTATTCTTTATTCCATCTATTTCTGAACAAAGATTTTTTTTCATCAGCTCCTTCAAATGACTTCATACAATATCATCTAACGACAAACAGGTATTACCTGTACGTCCTTTGTGTTTAGTAATGTTAATGATACTTCTCGCTTTCAAAGCGGTGCAGTCAATGGAGTACCCTGTGTGGGACGTCACAGGAGATGAGTGAGCTTCTTCCATCATAACACAAAGTTCAGTCATCTGTGTAATTCAAACTGGCATTCAATTAATGGACAGTTCCGCCCATTTGCCTCCCACCCAGACTGCCTCTGCTCCTCCCCCAACGACACAGACCGACCCGCAGTCCCTCAAACCAGGTGTCTTAGAAGCTCAAAAGCTCACATCGGGGATAAGCTGGTTCGAGATGCTTCTTCATATGTTACTTTTTTTTCTTCGAAAATATTGACATCTGGAAAGTATCAGAAGTCCACTATACAGTAAGTTATTCAATGGAGGGAAAGCTGCAGTAGGATTGTACAGTAACTGTCCCTGCCCCCATTCTGTACATCGATTGCTCTTAAATTAGAAGCTGCAGGTTGCCGCAGGGCGGATAGAGAGCAGTAGGTTGTGGTGCAACACTTTCAGTATGAATAATTATAGCATTTCTCCATCAGCCTTACATAACAAGCTGCAACAGAGAGTGGAGAGTCAGGAAAAGGCCAACCATTCATTGGCATAAGTACCTAAAAGAAAAGACTACTGTATATTGGCAGAATGCAAGATAAACAAGTTAGGACCAGCAGGACTTCAGCTGTCATGGATACAAAACAATTACCAACAAGACTTTATGACTAAAGATATGAACTAAAGATGTACGCCTACTTTGTTTTGTTAGGTCCCAGCTCGTTGGGTAAACGAGATAAGAAACACAAAACCAGATGTTTTTGGAAAATTAGAGTTATTGAAGAAGTAAAAAATGTGTTTTAAAAACAAACAGTGGCAAAATGTAACTGAAAGAGCCAACAATTGCTGATAGAGTAAAACAGAACGTCAATAAATAACTGTTTGATATACTTACTTTCTTATTGGGGAAAACAAATGAAATTGCCAAGAGTGGCATTAAGGGAATGGAAAGCAGTTGAAATTGCAATTGCAGTTTGCAATGGAACACGGTACGGGAGGCTTCTATGAATTGCTGAGAAATATGTCTTCCTGCCCTCGCCTTCCTCCCCCAATTCTCATGAGCCAATGGCACATGGTAGCCCAGTCTACTGAAACCATCTTAGTGTGTCTGAACTTTTTGTTTTGCATTTTGTCACTAATGTATATATTTTTTTTAATTCTTATCTTTAGTATGCTGCGTTGTAACAGAGGTTTGGCAAAATTGCTTTTCGCCTTCAGCAGCACAAGTGTTTGTGCTGGACCTATTGACATCAACCCGCTGCTGTCACCAGTCTCCCTGATTAAGTCTTAGCAGCAGTAGGTGGATCGCTGGAATGCTTGTTGCTGCCTGCCCCCTTAGTCATGGTGTCAAGCACAGCAACCTCTGATTGAACCTGTCACATTCTTTGCTTAGCAAATGTGACACTGAAGTAGACAGACATTTTACACACACACACACACACACACACACACACACACACACACACACACACACACACACACACACACACACACACACACTTACCTAACCCTGTATGGCATTTTTGTTTGTTTCATTTGCTGAAGCTCAACATTTTCTTATCCTTACGTCGTTTACATGCTTAGTGCCTTTCCCCAAGATCATCTTTTCCACCTGAGCCAAACTTGTCTTTTTTTTCCCCCACTGCAATATCTCAACTTTTTCTTGAAACTTGGGTCACTTACACGAATTGGACATAGCATGAAAGAGGCAGATAGGAATGCACTCTCTGCCTGGAACATTTCAAACTGACTATATGGCAGTGAGAGACATAAGCAGCAGAATGTGCATCTGTCTGTGTTGCATTTATGGCCTGCAGTCCCTGCCCTGTTTATCTTCATCCATGTTTAATGAAGCTTCTGATTGTTTTCTGCACCCAGCAACAATTCCACATGGAAAGAGGTATTAAAAAAAAAAAATTCTGACCTTAACGTCCAGTCGACCATTTGATCAGAATTGCCTACAGTAAACGGCCCACAGCAGGAAATGCTTCATTGCTTCTTTAGAGGCTTTTTCACGGTTACAGTGTGATGTAATTCATGGTGGGACATATGGAGGACAATGACTTTGCATAAAAACAAGGTCATCAGGATTCAAAAAAAGGTTGTGATAATAAAAACATGACTCAGATGCATTGGCAGGAGAGTGGCATGAGACAGAGAATGAGGTGGCTGATAGATCTCAAGGGAGGAAAAGCACATTTTGCAATGATGCAACTAAATAAAATCTAGCGGATTCATGTATCCGGCAGACTGTAAAAGAAGTCATTTCAATGACCTCTGTCACTTCTTTTATCTGATGTTCTCGCGCTTTCAGTTTTTATTTCCATCTTCAGCAATCTAACAATCTTCCCGGGTGTCTTGCCGTCATTTTTCACCATTTCCATATCATTTCATCTCCTGCCCTGCTTATCTGTCCACGCCCTACAGCTACAACTTTTTTCCAATTTTATCTCACTTTATTTTCCATTCTGCCTCACAACTCACATCTTTACCTTTTGCCCTTTTCTTTGCAGTCATTTTCCTGCCCCAGCCTCCCTCATCACCTTTCCCCTTTTCACTCTCATTAACACAATTATCCTCACTCTGATGTAAGCCTCCCCCTTCCTTTTGTCCTTAAACTGCGGAAATGTATGCAGCATGCATTGTCCCACTGCATTACTGGATATAAATGTTGGAAAGATTTGCCTTCTATTTATGCATGCCAATAGCCTCTGGATGTTCCTTGCTTTTAAAATAACCTCCGCATTGATTCATAGACCATATTAACATGCTGTGAATAAGAGAGTAGGAATGTAGTGTTAATGGAGAGACAGGACAGTGGGTGGAGTTGGAAATCAGGGAGCGAGACTGTGGGAAATGTCATGCAGGAAAGGAGCTACAAGTTGGATTCAACCTCGTTCTGCCTGCTTCAAGGACTACAGCCTCTGTATATGGGGCGCGCTAGCTAACCACTCGGCCACCTGCGCCCACAACAACTTTATAAACTGAATTCAAAGGGAATAAGCACTTTATAAAGTATGGACTGAGAATGCAAGTATAAAATTGTTGAATTTATCACAGCTTGCTCTTTACATTCCCCCCAAAAAAGGATGATACTTGAAGTTACACTTCTGCTGTGGTAGTATGACGACAAAAAACACGTTGGTCTTGAACATTTCAAGGTTAAGTTTGAAAAGAATATATGAATATATGAAGAATTTAACAAAATTAGTAACGGCTTTTAATTTTTAAATTAGTTACTTTGCTTGGAAGTTTGTACTTGCATGTCAGCATGCTAACAAGCTCAAAATGAATATGCTACGGGGCTAACTAGCCAACATTGTCACCCATAGGGTCCATTAGCAGCTATAGCATGACTAAAATCTACCAAAGCTGAAACCTACAATTTGCGCTGTTTATTTTATTCTCAGTGGGTTAAATCTGCAACTTTGTCAGCATCTTTCTGGATACATTTCTAAACCCAGTCTTCTGGGTTTTTTTCTCAACAAAATAGCATCTGAATTTGATGTTTCGTCTCAACTTTTTCATTTACCTTTATAAGATTATCATTTTTATGAATTGGAATTGTGATATCCTACATATCATAATACAAATGGCGACAGATCAGGAAACATCAGAGAACTCTATTCAACATGTTAACATTAAATACAGCCTTACCGCAAGCAATACAGCTTTTTTTTTATTTTATTTTATTTTTTTAACTCTACTCTTGATTTGTTTTGAATATGAAATAGGAGCCATCACTCTGCTGTTTGCTCCAGGCTCTCATTACCCAGTGACAGGAACAAGAGCTCCTGCATACAAATGACTGTGCAGCTGAAGTTTATCTCTTGGCATGCAGACTCAGCAGATCTCAGACCATGCAAGGCATGTCATACATAGAAATGAAGCAAGAGGATTTATAGGCGATAAATAACCAAATGTGTTTCAAATATACAACCAGGTGCGCTGCAAAGTGGTTTTGCATTATGTCAGCATGAAACATGGGTTTGTTGCTTCTTTTGGATTAATCCTCTTTCAGGATGAAAGTTCTGCTACAAAATACAAATATAAAATGCAATCCCTGTTTGAAATGACAGAAAAGCGGAAATGTATTTTTTTTCCACTTAATATTTTTTTTTACTTTCCTCCATTGCCTTATTTCTATTTCCCATTCCTATCTAAACATCAATCTTTAAAAAAGGAAGTTGGACTATATAAAACATATATCATCTTTAGAAAAACTCCAACAAACCAAACTTTAGCTTTCGGACGTTTTATGTCTGTCATTCTGTCTTTGTCACCATAATAATGGCTCGCTATTATTCTTGGCTCCAGACACTCTGGAATCATAATTAGGCTGCATTGATCAGGGAACGCTGTAAACACATTGATGAAAACCAGCTTTGACAACTGCAATACAGACAACTACCATCATTTGGGTCCACATGGGCAACAAACCACAACAGAGATTACACTGAATCTGCCGAAATGAACAAATTGCTCCAGGTGTTATTAAGCCTCTTATATTATTTAATCTTCATTTTACCAACCCTGTACTTTACAACACTCCCCACACACCAGCACAACGATAGGTAGAGTGCTTGAGCATTGTCTGACTCTTCATTAGTCCATGCAATCATCTGCTGATAGAATATCTGGAGCACATATTAACGTCTGAAGGTTACCTGCCCAGGAGAAACAAAATGGCTAAATGCTTCATATCTGATTCCATTAATTTTAATGAAGACATTTTTTTCAACATCACAGGAGAAATTAAACCTTACTGGATTAACTCTGGGCCTAATAAGTGCCCTTGTTTTTGTGTTCCTAACACGGTTTAATGATGCGACATTAACCATTCATAAAACACACACTACAAGTCATGTAATACAACTGGAGGTGTCCAAAAGCACTCCCTTTTTTAATATCACTTAACTTAACTACGCTATTTTTTTATTTCAGTGTATGGATTTTGAGAAAGTCATCTATACGCACAATTTGGTACCTCAGGTACACTAACAATGCTGAAAATCAAGCTGTCTGGTATGATGATTTTAAATGTCCAAAACTTGTATATAAGTTATTTTATCATGAGTTAATTCCAGCTGGTTTTCCCTTCATAATGGATTCATTTATGCCATAATCTCGAGTTAACAAAGCATGTTTTCTCGTGATAACAGGATCATTTTTCTGGTGAATATGATAAAACAAAATAACATGCTGGTCATTGTGATAAAGACCACGACCATGCCATGCAGCTCATAAGGTACGTTTAGTCTATTTCTATGTTTGTTTGTTTTGGGCTTTTGCTCCTCTGGTGATGTGAGATAAAAAAAAATGGATGGAATCCGATGCAGGCTGCAGCAAAAGACTCTCAGGTTTAATAGTTAAAGCTCTACCTGGTGAGCTTTCTCCATATTTTGTTTTATTCTTACACTCATCAGACTAAAGTGCAGTACCTCTCACATAGTGTTCTACTCTTTTACTCACCTGGCATTGGTCAACACTGACATTGTAGTTGAAAAAGGAAAAAAAATATCTTACAAATAATGTGCAATAATAGATACAATTGCTCCATTTAAGACACCAGAGGGATTGAGTGGCTCTTGTCCAACTTTATCTATGGAAATAAAGGGGATCTCAGTGGCAGCTCCAAAGCTAAAGTTTATGAAAGTCGAACTGAGCAAAGTCATACAGTGATATCCGTTTAGAGGTACCAACTTCTATGACGCCTTATCGCTTTCAGTCAGAGAATGAGTTTATTGAAACAAAGTGTTTGTTTTCAGAGGCTTTACATGGCAGTTCATTGTCTTTGAACTCTCTTTGTCTGCATTAACATCTGGGCACAATTTGGCAGCTGTTTTGGGATTTGAACAGAAGGGGGTTGCTATATGCATGGTTGGAGATTGCTTGACATTGAAGGCATATGGCTTGGCTACAATCACACTTGCAGAGATGCTGCATATTACAAATTAGCTCCTGTACTTTGATCATTCATACTTTTCCTTCCATTTATTTGAGAGAGGATATTTAGGATAAATATTGGATCCCCCCCCCCCCTTTGATTGCTGCGTCTGATATTGGCATGACCGTATTTGTGGTCATACATTTCCAGGGACTTTGCCAGCAGTCATAGTTTCATTTTCAACAACCCCATGAGCTCTTTTACTGATCAGGCCCTTCTCTGTTGGGAGATACCATGGTAACAGTGCTGGAAACAGCTAAGCTCGGCTAACGTAACAAACAAATACCCAAGAAGCACAAACGAACACACTGCTGCTGTAGCCAGAGTTCCCCGCCACATTTTGGCGATTGACATATCCCCCCATGGCCTCGGGGCCTCCCTAGTCACAACTGAGCAGTAATCAAAGCAGACACACAGGTCGATCTTTAATATACAAAACTCGATACCAGCAGCAGGAACAGCCACAGGTCCTACCAAAATACAGTGCACGGGAAAGAGCTGCAAACTCCAAACGGATTTACAGACAGCAGATACATCGTGGCTTCTCCTAGGCTTGAAGCTTTTCACATTTGAAGCCAAGATGAAGTTTTTCTCTTTGGATATAAAGTTGAAGTTTCATGGTGTTCTTCATGCTGATGCAGAAAACTGAAGCTGATGACCTGACGAAGGATTAGGAAATCTCTCAGGTATGATTCACCTAATTTGCCTTTCCCCTTTCTTTAAACTGCCTGTCATCCAATAAGGTCATCAACAAGGGTCAACAAAGACTGTGTTAGCACAATGGACTTCCACTGCTGCAGTTTAAATTCAATAACTTGATGAAACTCAATTAAAAGTTCGGGCTGCAAATGTTGAAAGAGATAAAAAATATATATATATATCTATGTCTGAGAGCCATGTTAAGAAATGGCCTCTAAAAGCCTTCTCAGTCAAAAACAGCATGATTTACTTGAATTAAACCGATAAAATCCTCAAAAGGAATCTCTGATGTGTGTTTTTATATCGGCTTTCGTTTGAAGCAGATAGACTTCACACAGGTGACAATTTTAAAGTACATTTTTGATCATTTCACATTATTATGCCCTGTTGAATTTGATTACGTTGTTAACATGGTGTGAAAAATGACAAATTTTTATAGAAGAAGTTGTACTTTTTGATCAAACCGATCACACTCAATGTAACAATCTCAGACTTTTTTTTGGAAGGGCAAGAGTAATCTGTGTCCTAATAAACCTTGTCAGTACTTTAATAAGAATGTTATATTATGAGATTTGTAAGGTTACCATTAATAATCACTTTTTTTTGTGATTTGTGATTTGTGTTACATGGTTGATGATGTGACTTATAGGTCAATCAATTTGCTAATCATTAACAACTTCCTCCCTCCTGACCATGCTCTTCCATCCAGACAGGAAGTGAGGGATAATGAAGCTGCAATAAATTACTGTCATAATAAATAGAAATGTAACGTTTGATTTTTCGATCACGCATCAGCTGACTAGAAACCCACTCACAGTTGTCCATAGTGTAATCATTAAAGACAGGTGAAGACTTTGAAGTAGGGGATGTGTCAGTAGTGATGAAGAGGCACATTGCAGTTTTCACAAGGATGACCTGGATTGCGTCACCAATCAGGCCAACTCAAAATAACATGATCATTTTGCTTAACCATAAGAAATTCTCATGGAGGCTACACCAGTACACATACGTTTAACAGAGCATGCTCTGAGCTATTTGTATGACTCAAGTTGACGTACAAATCAAGTCATTCGTAATAATGCCACCCTTATTTTAAGCTAGCTTCTTCTACATGTGGAACACACACATTGAAAATAAGAGTTGATTTACTAACTAACGATATTAACACGGTGGCCATTTTCTCCAAATGTCAAGTTTAGGGTTGAAAACTCTGCTGTTGGGATTATTTACTGCTGAGGTCCTGGTTTCTACTTTTTTTTAAACATAGGGGATTAGATTAATGGTGATTGACTTACTGCTTTTACTGCTACTACAATACTACAGCTACCACTTGCTAACATTACCATTTGATAACAAAACGGTATGAAGGGTGTAATCGCCTAGCTAATGTTACCTAGGTAACTGTTGTTTTTAGCTAGCTAAAACCAATGTAGCCTAGGCTAAGAATTGGTTTCATGCAAATGTTAGCAAGCAACTTCTGTACCTTATGAGTTACCAGTTATGATTTTCACAACCCATTGTCTTTCACGTTTCAAATAACCCAGAGGCAGATAAATTGCAGCAATTTGTCAGATTTCTCTTGCAAACCTTCAATACAGTAGTAAAACATTACAGCATGCGTCTGAGCATCCTGGTTAGCTGCTGGGCTGCATAAGCTTGTTGGTGTGTTTAACTTGCCCCGATACCAATTTCTTTTTAAGAATACATCTGTTTAATTCAGAATAAGTTTGTTTTAGGCAACAGTTAATGCTATGAAAATGAATATCAAGGTTAGTGACTCTCTCATTAAGTCACCTATTTTGCTTCATTTTGCTTTCAAGACCAATAATGAAAGTTTCATGAACATTTTTCAGACATACCCCATGGGCACAATGATAACAAACACATTAACAGTAGCCTGTGTGTTCAGCTTAGATTAAGATTTATCTAAGATTTACTTATGTCAATACTGTCCATTGACAACTCTGTTTTTGCACATTTACATTTAATCTTTCATATTTAATTTACAACCATTTACGACTCTGTTCTTGCACATAACATTTAATCGTCCATATTTAATCTTCCTATTTAAGACTAGTAATGCTTAGTTAAATCCTGGTTGTATATATTCACATTCTTAGTTTTGATATGTTTTGTACTTATTTACTTTGTCTTTAATATTATATTATGTTTAGATTTGCTAACATTGTGTTTTTTACTCATATTGTGTGTTGGATAACCTGCTGCTGTAACGCCACAATTTCCCACTTTGGGATCAATAAAGTAATTCAATTCAATTCTATTTTATTATAAAAAAGGGAAAAATGTATGCTTCCTCAAATTCTGTGTGGGAACTTTGGATGTCCTAACAGATTCATGTTTTGGTTGTTGGCTTTACTTCTTGTAGCACTATAGTGCACAAAGTTCATAAAAAGGACTGTAAAAGGCTATAAAAATGACTCAACATCAGTAGACTAAAGTGAGGTTATTCCCCTACATTAAAATACTGTCAAACACAAATAAAAGCTTAATTGTTATAATACCTCTGCCAAAATATGTTTGTTTCCCCTTTTACAGCTTTGCTACACATTCAGTATCAGCCATTTGTCCTGAATTGGTCCATCCAAGAAGCAATCTCAGTGAGAGAGTAACAGCTGTGAAGAAAACGGACTATTACTCGTCACCATTTCAGCCAGTGAGGACCAAGGGATTTCCTGACCCCATTGGTCTGTAGCGGTCCCACCATGGGGAAGACTGGGCAGAGTACAGTGGACTTAAACTCCCCGACAGAAGTCAAACAAGCAGTTCCCTTTGAGGAGCTGGATGCTGTGGCGCCTTCTGCAGATGAAAATAAAAAACAAGAGCCCCCTGATAGAGGAAGCTGGAAGGGAAAGTTTGACTTTCTGCTGTCGTGTGTAGGATACGCCATTGGCCTTGGAAATGTCTGGAGGTTTCCTTATCTGTGCGGCAAGAATGGTGGAGGTAAGAGCTACTGTGAGACTGAAGAAGTATGGTTGTGCTAAAATAATTTGATGGTACACTTATAAACTCAAATGTAATACGAAAGTATCTTCATGAACAAACCTGCTGGCTGATTCCTACTCAGTCATCCAACAGTCATTGCTGTTTATTCTCAAGTTTGACATTTTGAGCATTTAATTAACTTTAGATCAGTCTGACAATAAGCTGAATATGTGGCCTGCCTTATTGTGATTGGCAGAGAGTTCCACAGTCTGAAGGCCTGGTCACCTTAGTACAGCCAACCACCTCCAAACATCGTAGAGAAATTACTAGCTACATATGGAGCTAAAAGACATGTAATGTTTGGGCGCAAGAACTTTCAAGGATTTAAAAGGCCTCTGACTGATACCTGTAAAATGTCTATTACAATAACAATAGTGAGAAAAAATAAGAGCATGAATGACTTGGTGCAGCTCCGAGGGAGGCAGGAATTATCTTATTTAAGACATTTGCTTAAGTTGACTAATTTCTGTTACTAATTCTTTTTTTTTCTTCTTTTTTTTTTTGAACATCCCTTATCAACAGAGTTTGTTTTTCTTCCCCCCAAACTTCCTCTATTATGCTCTGCGAGGCCTCCTCTTTCCTCTGAATCTCTTCTGCAACCAGTTCTGCAGTTTGCTCCAAGAAGCTGTGTTATGCTTAGCTCAAACCCCCTTACCCTTGCTGTACCATATGCAAACATAACACTGTGTCTTAGTGCTGCCTCAGCCTGTAAAACTCTCGATATAACTCCTCTTCCTCTCACTTCAGTCTGACAGTTATTTCCAGCCTTACTTTTGTACATTTCAACATTCCTGGTCATGGAGTAGCATTGGGCTTCCAGCCACTTTTAGATGAGCTTGTTGTTTTCTAAGCTTATCTACCTTTTGAAGTAGACACATCATACCACCTTCAAGTCCATAACAGTAATGCGCCTCTTACATGTGTTTTAGAATGTTCCTCTCATCTACACGATATAAATATCTCACTTTGAGGAAAATCTTTACAAATGCCTATATATATATATATTTTTAACATTCCTCAGTTTCTCCCCCAATGGGAGACACATCTAGAGGTAAACCTAACTCCAAGTCCCTATCTTTGTCTGTATGAAGCTTCACTGAAAACGCCTCCAACTCCCTGTTATTCCCTTTAGTATACAACTTTTTTCCCTTCTAGATATTGACAAAGTAAACTTGTGCAGGTTGTTATAAGAATCTGCTGTCTGTTTTTTTTCTTTTCTTTTTAAGACTTTCTGCTTGTCTTCAAGTTGCCAGACTAGATTGAAGGTGATCAATGCCATCATTGGGGGCACTGGTTTAGCTTAGTCACATTCGCCCGATTAACTAGAGGCCACAGTCTTTGACCGAACGCCCTGAAGCTTGTTTCTGACACTCATACCTTTTCTACTCATCATCCCGATGCTCCTCTTTCAATATTTCCTTTCTCCCCAGTTTGCATGATAACAAAGGCAAAAATGAGATCAATAATTACCAATACAAGAGAATGCTCTCATTCTCAAGTGACTAGCCTCTCAATTCTATTTTTGCCTCATCACTTCCCATGAAGCCAACATTTTTGACCTCCCATAAACCCCCCAATTTCCCAGAAAATATTTTTAATTATACTCTCATTTACTTGAAATGATTTCCATTTCAGTGCTTCTAGTGAAGCTGTCAGATCTGGATTCAAACTGAGTTTCTATCCCATACTTTGTCATTGGCTACTCTCACCGTTGCCTTGGCCCTGTTGTTTGGTGGTGCCTCTTTTTAGTAATGACCAACATTATATTTTAAAGGAAAAAGGTTTTTGGAAAACATTCAGAAAAACAGAAACTGTGTTTAACGTTTGTAAAATTGTCTGTTAGGCCAAAGTATTCCCCAAACAGTTTTTGTCTTCTGCAGGCAAATTGTGCATTATTTCAAACAAGTCTGTCTCCTGGTGATTTTTACAAAATGCTCATAATAGAAAGGACCTCCAGGCAGAAGCCATGATTGAAAAACTTTGGAATAAGGAGTATGTTTTTCCGTCCACTAATGTGGACAGCAAACTTTCTTTATTTTCCATTTTAAATGATCAAAAATAAATGTATTAGCGTCATTTGTGCCAGAGTGATTTTATGATCTGTCAATGTTAGTATATCTACATGTAAAAATGCATGATGTGTGGTCCTCTGACAGGTTAGCGATTGTTTTTCAGATAAGATTGTTTTTTTAACTTTCATTTTGTCACTCAATCAGGGGCCTTTCTGATCCCGTACTTCTTGACCCTGGTGTTTGCTGGGATCCCTCTCTTCTTACTGGAGACATCTCTGGGACAGTTCACCTCAGTGGGAGGGTTGGGAGTGTGGAAGCTCATACCGATGATGAAAGGTAAGACTGGAATATATATATATATATATATATATATGTAGTAAGATAAGGATATACATAAGGTTATTGAGATCATCCTCCTTAGTGGATGTGGATACGTGTGTTTTAGGCATCCTAACAGATATAACATCAAGAATATTTAATGGCATTTATTTTCTTTTGGTAAGAGGAAAATAAAATTAAGAGTGGTTTCTGTGTCAACGACTTTGTATGCTAGCCGACATTTAAACATTATTTTGTAAATTTCTGATGTTTTTGCCTCCTTCTTTCTCCAGGTGTTGGTATAGCTGCAGTGGTTCTGTCCTTCTGGCTCAACATCTACTATATCATCATCATCGCCTGGGCACTCTACTATTTATTCAACTCCTTCGGCTCGGTATGTAACCATTTTTCAGGAGTCCTGAATTTAAAATGTTTTCATTTTAACAGGGAGAAGAGTTATTCATCATATAGTGTGCAGTTGACCTGATCAATGGGAGCTGTTTGTCAGGGTGACTGAAAGTTATGTTGTCAGCGCTTTCAGCAACGACCAGAAAGCCCCCTTCAGTAACAAATGGGTGACTTCACTCAGGCTTAGTGTTTATGATTAAAACAACGGGTACAAGGGGACATGTGGTAAATATTTATTTCTACTGTTAAGAAACCAAAAATGCATTTAACTTCTTTCAGTTCTGATGTTTTTTGTGCTGAAACCTGGAACTAATGTTGTTTATGCGTATGTTTGGGTTTTTTATATTGTGTGCAGGAGCTGCCTTGGCAAAGCTGCGATAACCCCTGGAACACAGAGAAATGTTTTTCCAACTACAGTCTGACAGACACCACCAACCTGACCAGCGCTGTCACCGAGTTCTGGGAGTAAGTCAGCCAGATATGATCCTGTCATGAAGGGTGTCTATGTGTGTTTGTGTCTGTGTGTGTACAAGGATTTGTGAGTGTTGAGGCTATTTCTGGACGCTCTTGTGCTTGTGCCTGTCTGAGTTCAGTGTGTATTTGTGTTCCTGTAGGCGAAACATGCACCAGCTGTCAGGTGGTCTGGAGGAGCCGGGGGAGCTACGGTGGCCCTTAGTGGGCACTCTGGCGCTGGCCTGGGTCCTAGTCTACTTCTCAATTTGGAAAGGAGTGGAGTGGACGGGAAAGGTCAGACACTCTGTCCAAGTTGTCTTCTTTTCTTTACCTCTACATTTTCTACTTTTTCTCTCTCCAGCCTTAGACGTAGAGTTTCTGACGGTTGTTACTGACAAATCAGGCAAATCAAAGCCTGGATTGTTATTTGTTTCTAAAGTTTTTAAAATATATATTTCTACTGTGGAGGCACCTTTATGAGCCAGAACAAATTTCCCCAATGGGAAACAAAGTGTTTTGTATCGCATCGTATAGTATGGTATCCTATCCTATCCTATCATATCCCCCTCTGTCCTATTGTATGGTATCCAATCGTACATGAATCATAGTGCATCATATCATGTCCTGTCCTGTCATATCGTATCCTATGCTATCCTATTGTGTGGTATCCAATTGTATCTGAATAATAGAGCAAAAACAAAACAAGGCACCAAAATTTTATTGTTTTTTGGGCTAAGATTTAACTGTGTAAGTCCTTAGTCATATATGCAAATGTACGACCAAATAACTATAAGAAAAAGAAAAAGAACGAAAAAAATGATTTTGTTGTTTGTTAATTGTCAGTGATTGTGTTTGGTTCAAGAAGCAGGTATGATTTCTTGGATTATAGCCTAACATTGTCAGTTAAAAGCTGAGGTGTAAAGTACCGAATTACATTTACTCGCGTTACTGTAATTGAGTAGTTTTTTGGTGTCCTTGCTACTTTTTAAGTCGTTTTTAAAATCTGTACTTTTACTTTTACTTCAGTAGGTTTTCTGTTAAGTATTGTAATTCGGTACATTTTAAATCACATCCGTTACTGAGTAAAACAAATAGGCCTGCTATGAATGATTTTCCTTCGTCGCACCGGAGTGACGAGAGACAGAGAGAGAGAGAGAGAGAGACAGAGAGAGAGAGAGAGAGAGAGAGAGAGAGAGAGAGAGAGAGAGAGAGAGAGAGAGAGAGAGAGAGAGAGAGACAGAGACAGAGACAGAGAGAGAGAGAGAGAGAGAGAGAGAGAGAGAGATAAGTTGTTTATAGACTGATGTCTCATTGTCTTCAGTCTGCAGCTCCAAGCGATAAACAAATTTAATTCCGGAACGTTTTTCACAATAAAAGTCCCTTATTGTCATCTCTGTGATGTGCTTTTATTTTGAAGCTGACGTATCAGGAAGTTGGGTGTTATAAGTTGCAACAACTTACAAATGTCATATGTGTGAAAATAAATACTTCAACACAAACAGATTCAGTTAGAAGCTTCAGTAGCTAATAGATAAACAAACAGTGACTAAAACATCTAATATTTAAGCTCATATAGGTTCATTTTAAAACAATACATGGATTATCTTTCAGCTCAGGTTTAGTTGCAGCTAAGTCAGCCTTTGAGGCTGCATTTGAGACTAAACAGCCTCAGAATAATAAAACTAAAAAGACTAAAATACTCTTTACACTGTCTATGATTGAGACAAAGACCCTTTTAGTATTTTCTTAAAGAGTTTAAACATTTCCCTTCATAAAACAGCTCATTACTTGAACATATAAGTCTTGATATTAAATTATCCATCATTATTTATATTTTGTTTTTGTCAATGGGGTAGAAAAGAAAATGTTTATCTGAAAAGATAAATCTTTGTAAAGATTTGCCTTTAATTAAAAAAAACTTTGAGATCAATATCCTCTCGTCCTTTTTGCACTACACAGGAGAGATGTGTTGTTATAAAAAAGTAACAAAGTAACTTTTACTTAAAGTGCATTTAAAACAAGTTACTTTTTACTTTTACTTGAGTACATTTTAAAACTGGTATTTTTACTTGTACTTAAGTAAAATTGTATTATAGTAACAATACTTTTACTTGAGTAGAATATTTTAGTACTCTTTACACCTCTGGTTAAAAGTGACCTAATGGCAAATAAAGTAACACCATTTTTCACAACTTGCCCAAATGAATTTCTCCTTAAACCGCCTAATTTTTCAACAGGTTCATTTTTTTTGTTCATCTTGGTGACGTGTCAGGACAACTCACTGATTGTTTGGATTCAAATTCTGTACAGATATTAATGTTACTCTTTATAGCATTGATCCCTTAACCTTTCCATCAATGTACAGTACAAAACTAAAAACATTCCCATCAGCCTTAGCTGCACTTTCCATTAAGCGCTGATTGTTGCCTAATGTTGGCATGTTAACACCCTACATCCCATAATGCTAGCTTGGCTGTAGACTGTAGTTTTGTTGTTTCTATATCAGGTAGTCTGTAGAGGTGCATCGGCTGGGCTTGAAGAAATGAATCTGCTTGTTTTTTTTCTTTCTGTGTGTTCATGTGCTGGTGTTAATGGGGATCCAAAAAAAGAAGAAGTAGAGGTTTTAGGTTTACATTTTTGGAAGTAACGTTTTTAGTTTTTAACGTTTTTAAGTCAGACGTAATGTTACACCCAGGCAAACACACAGCTGGTGCTCCTGGTCTTTTAGTGAATTGTACTATTAGTCTTTTTGGTCAAGGTGGTCTCTGCCTGGAACGTAGAAGTAGTCCAGCTATTACAAACCGACCCTTATGTTACTGAACCTTCCCCTTTTCTCAATTGAACATTTGTATAAATTCACACTTCATTTTAAACAAAGGTTCTGTTCTGCTTTTGTGATGCTAAATAATAAAAAATTTTTAGATTTTGTTAAAGTCCCCTCAATGTTTTTTTTTTCTTCTTTTTTTTTTTTTTATCATTGGGAGACTTTTAAATGACCTAGGTCTATTTATTTGATTTCACATCCACTGAATTGCCATATTCACAAGACTTCAAGAAGGACTTTCTGATCCAAGGGAAGTAGAAACTTTTTAAAAGTTATTAATTATTCCCAAACCAGCAGATTATTCAGAGTTGATCCTTGTAGAGTTAGAAAAAGAAAAACTCTTCCTTCTGCATTTGGGTTTTTTAAATTACATCCAGTCGCAGGAATGTATGTGAGCAGAAACACTTTCACACATTCCCTGTCAGGGATAATTGGATTTTAATGTGTGTGTGAAAAATGAATTCCCTAAGGCCCTGGCCCTGATGGACATTACCAATTAAACATAATCATTATGCTACAGAAGAGCCGGCCACATCCTAAAGGCTCTGGCAGGATCTTTTGGCAAAGATGTGCCATGGAAATATTCTCGCAGCTGAGAAATTCTTCACTGTGTACTGTGGCAACAAGGGATTTTACTTTGAGTTAATAAGCAGAAAATATGTGCAAATATCAGTGCCTAAAAAGACGTTTTTCTCTGCTAATTTCTCATAGGTGGTGTATTTTTCAGCCACGTATCCCTACTTCATGCTCTTCATCCTCTTCTTTCGCGGGGTCACCTTGCCTGGAGCCATAGACGGGATACGTTTCTATATCACCCCGGACTTTAACAAGCTCGTCCGGTCTGAGGTAGACACTTTTGCATACTCACAATCACACAAACATGCTTATAGACAAGCAAACGTGAATATAAGAAGAGCACATGTGCTGTGTGACAGGTGTGGTTGGATGCAGCAACTCAAATCTTCTTCTCCTACGGACTGGGACTGGGATCGCTCATCGCACTGGGAAGCTACAACACGTACCACAATGACGTATACAAGTAGGAACAAGCATCTTATACCCTTTGTACATTTGATTTTTTTTTTTAAATCAGAACGATTAATTTTCTGTTTCTTTCCTTTGCAGGGATTCCATCATTGTGTGCTGCATCAATTCCTGCACCAGCATGTTTGCAGGCTTCGTCATCTTCTCCATCGTAGGCTTCATGTCCCATATCACCAAGAAACCCGTGCAGGAACTAGCAGCATCAGGTAAAGTAACTTATCGACCTATTTGAAAATATCATACTCTGACTTTCATCTTTTGTTTTAATATATAGCAGAGGCAGTCATCAGATCTTTCATGCCACAACAGAAAAAGTCCTGCATTGAAAATTCTATGTAAAGGAGCAATATGTAACTCTGACACCTAGCATTAAAATGGGTAATGCATTATAAGTTAAAAACATTTGAGAGAGCTGTCTAACCCCCCTGCCCCCCTCCTCACTCGACTAGATGTGCGGGCAGGTTGCCATGTCGCCGACAAAATCAGTCTTGTGACTCTAAAATTGAATCCAGCACTGCAATGGTGAACCCTGCTGTTAAGTACTGGAACATGTTTTTCAAATGGTGTGATTTTTGTGTGGCTTTTAGGTCCAGGTCTTGCGTTTTTGGCTTATCCTCAGGCCGTCACCCAGCTGCCCATGTCCTCTCTGTGGGCCATCCTCTTCTTCTCCATGCTCATGATGCTTGGCCTCGACAGTCAGGTAAATAAACTGAACACATCTTGATTTGTTTTTCCCCCTCCCTAACAGTCCTTTATTGAGCATTAAGGTAAAGCTTCCATATATAAGTAAAACAAAGTGTTAACTCTATGCATTCTTTTGCATAATGAAAATTGCATGCAGTCACTAGAAAGCGATGAGGAGGGCAAGCTGCAACAATTGTGTCCTCTCAACTTTTGCCCAGGGTTTCGTCTCTCAGGCTTGACAGATAACGCAGTTCTACCTTGATCAGCCCGAAACAAAAACGTGTAGAAATCACACATATAATTGTTAAATTTAAAAAAAAATTATTGAAAAAGGAAATCTAATTGTACAATATTTGATTTCAAATTTGAGTTTTAATTAATAAAAAAAAAAAAAAAATCACTTAATAACCTCCCCCGCTTATTTAGACATACATTCACTCAGGTCACTCAGGCTTCATCCATTTATATTTACAGTGTGTGATCTGAACTGCTCTGTGGTTGCATTTCATGGTGGGGAATGGGGAATGTAATACTTTGACTTTACTGTTTATCAAGCTACAGCGCCCTCTGACCAGTGTCTTTCAATGCTGTCATGTGTTAGTTCTGCACGGTGGAAGGCTTCATCACAGCTCTGATGGATGAATACCCAATGCATCTGAGGAAGAGGAAGAAGGTCTTCATCCTCGTCATCTGCTTCATTTCCTTCATCATCGGCTTCTCCAACATCACACAGGTATTAGCTCTGTGCGTCTCTGTGTAGCACCCGGCAACTTCCGTTTTTGAAATCACTGCTGTGAGCTCTTACTGCAGGATTATAAAACATCTTTCAACTCATATTCCCATGAGTACAGTTCCATATTTCTCAGACATAATGCAGACTCCTTTCTGCATTATGACAAAGCGTTCTAACAATAACCTGAGGTGTACATGCGTCACGCATATTTTATTCAATAAAAAAGGGGGATTTTAAATTAAAGCCTCCAAAGCAGATATGTGTGTCTTACTGCGTGTGTGTTTTGTTGAACTCCCTCAGGGTGGTCTCTACGTATTCAAGCTGTTTGATTACTACTCTGCCAGTGGGATGTGCCTACTGTTTCTTGTCTTCTTCGAAACCATTTCCATATCCTGGTTCTATGGTAGGAGATTTTCTCTGTTTAACCCAAACACTGTGAAGTGAAATTACAAGTACAGCTGAAAAAAAGTAGATAGATTGTTGTGGCAAGTCCCCAAATGAATCAAGTATGTTGATTTTCATCAGGAAAATAATCAGCTTTCCTCCTCATAAGGCTTTTTTCTAACACTCATTATCTCCACATTAACACACACTCACTCTGTCTTTGTCGTTTTCTCCTTATGCAACAGGAGCTGAGAGGTTTTATAAGAACATCGAGGACATGATTGGCTACAGGCCATGTGGCTGGTGGAAGCTCTGTTGGATGTTCTTCACTCCCATGATCTGCCTGGTAGGAAAGAAATGATTATTGATTCAAAACCATCAATATGAGTCAAACTCAACCGGGGAGATCCATGAACCAATCAAGCTACAGCGGGAGCCAATAGAGTGAATTGATGACAATGCTAAACGGTTTCCTCTTCCTTGTGGTCATCAGAGAAATCAGTGTTCACCAAGTCTTTATCGTCACCACTGTTGTGATACAGGAAGTCAGACAGATGAAACATAAAGTGCAGTCAGCCAGAGGAAATTATAGCGTTCAGCGAGGGCGGATGTTGCTCAGTTGGCAGAGTTGGTCATCACTCAACCGGAAGGTCAGGGGTTCGATCCCCAGCTCCTGCAGCTACATGTCCGATGTGTCCTTGGGCAAGACACTTAACCCCAAGTTGCTCCTGCTGCTTTGTCGGCGGTGTATGAATGTGTATGATAGGAAATAGTTCCTTTTTTTTTTTTTTTTTAATTTTGGCTTTTTGGGCCTCTATTAGAGAGACAGGATAGTGGATAGAGTCAGAACTCAGGGAGAGAGAGAGAGTGGGGAATGAAATGCAGGAAAGGAGCCACAGGTCAGATTTGACCTTAGAGGCCTCCATACATGGGGCGCGTGCACTAACCATTACGCCATCAGCGCCCCAAGGGTTAGTTACTTCTGATGGCCATTTTTCAAATTTACATTTTCTACAAAATGTACATTGTCTACTTCTTTCTACTTTTTCTTTTTCTAGTTATTTACGCTGAGTGATACATTTGGATGTTAAAAAAGCAAGGTGAAATTCATGACATGGACTTAATAAAAATGATTGTATTCAATTGTATTTTTAGGGGGTGTTCACCTTCAGTGCCATTGAGATGACCCCTCTGACCTTGGGGAAGTATGTGTACCCGATGTGGGGCCAAGTGATCGGCTGGTTCATGGCTTTGTCCTCAATGATACTGATCCCAGGCTATGTGGTCTATATGTTCTGCATCAGCAAGGGCAGCATCAAACAGGTACAAACCCTTTTACACAGCATGCTGTTTTCTCTGTTTTAACATCTTTTTCCTGTAAAGAGGGATTTTGGTACTCAGGTCTCAGAGTTTTGTCGAGCCGGTAATAGAAAAACTGAAAAGAAAAGTGCAGATGCTGGTTGAGTGAGACGGTATAAAAAGGCTGAGGTTATTATGGCTGCAGAAAATCAGTAAAAACACAATACATTACGTAGTTTGGCTTGGGGCCAACATCATTATCCTGTTTTTGCTGGAAGAAAGGTATGTTTGGAAGGTGAACGCAGCTCGTTAGAGTTAATGTTTTGCTTCTGTTTTTTGCACAACAAAATCAGATTTCTTCTTCACTGTAAAAGATCATATTAGAATTGTAGTGTCTCTGAGATTTGTTTTGATAAGTCTGCTTCTAAACATTCAGCTTTTCTTTAAATTAAAGTCATTTAAATTTCAACTGAAAAGCACATTTTGTTTACTCTGTGGGTTATTTATTCCTTTCATCTGGCCTTACTATCAGCAAATACTCATCTCAGACTGATGTTATTCTCTTTGCTTGACCAGCGTTGGCGGAAGATGACAACATCCCGAGAGGATAAAAAGCCATCGGGGCATGAAGAATTTACCCACACAGGGAGCGTGGGCGAAGCTCCTGTCTAGCCAGGACAAAATAATTTGACGGCTTAACCCCCCCCACACACGTCTGCGAGGACCTTCTACAATGAAATCTGACAATTTGAAAGATGGAGTCTTGTCTTGTATTTTATTCTGTTTTTTTCTCCATTTTAAATTGTTGTTAAAATGATCCAAAAACTGCAAATTGAATACTGTGGATCAGCTCTGAACCTATGCACATTTTTCACACATATACCATTTATGTCGGACTTTAAACTACTTTTAATTTCTCTTCTAATCAAGAAACTATTCTTTGTTCATCAGCAAGAAAAGTCTTTGTTGTACATAAAATCTGGTAAGACTTGATTTGAGGCCGAAACTAAAATGTATAGAATGTTATTTACGTGTTATTTTGTAGTTTAAAGAAGAACTCAACCTCTGTCGTATTTTTGTCCATTTAGCAGCCCAAATTATTTTCACCTGTACCTTTAAATGTCTGTAAATATAAGGGCCCTGCAGTTGTATTAAATTGGAATGATTTTGTATAATCTCAAACAAGCCCACTAGCCTTTAGTGTGGCTTACTTTATTAAATTAATAGTCATGTGTAAATATAATGATGCCACAATGTTAAGTGTGTAATGTATTTTTTATGACTTGTTTCATACTGTTGATTCTGAAAAAGTACAATAAAACCTCTTTTAATCTGGGGATAAGTCAAATGAGATGTATTATGGATTTGCCCTTACTTTATTCATCCCAGTAAAAAAACATACAAAAATAAACTTCACCTGCTTACCTGCTTAGTTTATCTGATGACTTATTTTGTTATGAAAATGTTAATGAAATACAAATACTCTGAAAAACAGAAGAAAAAACAACAACAAACTGGTTTAATTATATTCAAAATAAATGATAATATAATTCATACTCCCCTATTTCATTTACGGGAGGGATGACAACTTAAAAGCGCGTTGTTGGACTTGATCATAGGACTTGATTGGTGAAAGAAAGTTAATAAATGATTTGATTGGTTGGCACGTTCACATCTCGGCTTCCTGTTTTGGAAAACAGGATTTAGCCTACTTACTACAAAAGTTGAATTGAATCAGTGAATGACACAAAGTTGGTGTGTGGAAGCTTATCAGGTAAATACTGACTGCGTTAACTTAAAAAAAAACGAATGCGAGGATGACATTAAAGGTGTCATGGATTGAAGACTATGCCGATGCTAAGGTGGTAGTGTTTTTTTCCCCCACGCATGGAGGATGACTGGGAGGATGAGGAGGACGGCGAGGAAGAGCACTGTCTGCACAAGCTTACTGTAAGTCACCTCCCTCACTACTACTTCATCTTAAAGTTAGCTACAGCTGATATCTAGACGTTTTGTTCACTCACACCTGAAGGGCTTTATAAACCCGCAGCGTTCTGTGGTGGCTCTGATTCTGATTGGTTGTTGCGGTTTCGCTAAACTTCCATGCCCATGTTTGGGTCTGTGTTATGTATTACGTCATGAATCTGAGTCGCTTTTCTGTAGTCATATTGTTTAGTGTTGATGTTGTATCAAAACAGTACATCTGCTACATATAGGTTTTTAAATCTTGGCGCTGCTACTGTTAGTAAATAGACCTAAATGAAACTTTAATCAAAATTATACCATAATAATATATAATGTATGTAAATTACTTTTTCTTCATTCAAATTCAATGTAAGATGATGTGAGTGTTTGGTTTGTATGACATAACACACATTTTTGAAAACATATCACTTTAAATATATATAAAAAAAAAAATATATATATATATATATTCATTCACATTTGGAGGTATCGAGCTGTTTTTACTGAAGAACCAACAAGCAGAACAATGTGGTGAATAGACTTAAATCATCTTTAATAGCATGTTGATAATACTGCAAAGACAGGTAGAGAGGGATTCAAAGCCAGCTGAGGAAGGTGATGTTTGATATTTGTTACACTCAGTTTCCACCTGTCTTTCCCTTTATATGTCCACTTTTTTATTTTCAAACTAGTATAAGCAAACACAGTGATCAAGAGCCAGACATAAGATCCACACGTCATTCATGATGCAGTGCACTGGTATGGCAGAGCCCTTTTTTTTTTTTTTTTTTTTCAGTTTTCTTGACGAAAGTTTGCTACTTTCATATCATAATGCTGCAGAATGCTACATTGGTTTTCCTTTCAAACATAAACTCACCGATTTTGCAGTGTGCCTCAGACTCTTTTAATTGCACACACAGCACGTCTTTCTTCCAAAAATGCTTGAACAAATTGTCAAGTAGGAGAAACTGTGCAGACACAAACAAAAGGAGGTGAAAGGCAAGAGGAGACAAAGATGTTCTGACTTATAATTTGCTGCTGTAGCTAAAAAAAAATATTCAGATTCAAGGGGAGTTTGCTGTCTCAAATATTTTTTTCTTTTTCAGTTCCACTAAAGCATAGCAACAAAAAACAAAAAAAAATCTGCCATCATCTTCTTTGCTCCCAGCAAATTCATTCATGCACAAAAATATTCGGGTAGTTCAATCAGCCTGAAAACAGATTCCATGCACAAGAGAAAAAAAAACACATCATACCTGAATGTTTGAAAAAAGAAAATAAATCTTACAATCAGCACCCATCTTTGCAAAATCCACAACTGCAGAATTTCTGGTGTTTTTTTTTTTTTAATCAAGTTTGTTCAAATCCAGGAGAAATATTCACTCAGTCATTTAATTCAGAAAGTGATGATTCTTTATATGACAGAAGAAAATGTAGCAGATTAAACAAACAGGGGGGTTGCATTTGTTTATGGGAAAGTTTGGATGCTATTGTGAGAAGGTCAAACACACTCACACACATACACACATCAGCCAGAAGTGCTGATTGTTTTTTTTTTTCTTACCCCTCTCCGCTGGGTAATATCAAGAGTAGAAAAGGACAGAAAGATGAGATAGAGACCTTCCCACAGAGCCTGTGTAATTATAAAACAACAAATCAGACAGATGGGGGTCAGATGGGAGCAGAGTTAACCGCACATCCATCCCACAATACCTGCCGGGGCTCATGTTTTAAAGATGGATGTATTGAGGCTGCCCTCTTTCAGAATGAAGGACGGGGGCGATAGCATTTTGAGAGGGGCTAAAGGTGTCTTGCTTGTCCTTTTTTTCGACACCGCTTGAAATGTGGTATTTACAATCTAGGCTGGGCTGAAAGAGAAAACCAGATCAGATAATGCATTCTTTTTGTCCCATTCTTATTTAAAGCCAACAGCACAAAACAATGCTATTAATGCCAGCATTTGCAATGGAAGCGGAGTGTGTGCCTCTGTAGTTTCTGGAAATGTCACACTGAAAGGTTAGGACGGGAGAGGACAAAACCTGGGAGTTGTACTGACATAAGGACACAAAGTCTGGATGGTTTTTTTTTCCGGGACACGCGCAAAAGGTGGAAAATTAAAATAAACCCAGATCTTGACATTTCACAGTTGTGGCAGAAGGATCTTCATGGAAATGTTATGGCAATTTCCTGTAAAAGCGAAGGAGCATTTGCAGACAGCAGAGCGTGTTGTTCAAATCGATTACACCAAAGATGCTGAATCGTTGTCGTTGTTTTTAGAAAAGTTCCAGAGCAGCTCTAAGAATTCCACACACAAAAGAAAAACAACCTTTCCCTCCATCAGCAGATAAATGTGGCAAGAAGTCCTGGTTTAAGATATTAAAGACGAAGAGAAAAAGACAAACAACAATCAACAGGACGATCCCAGTTGGACATTTTGGCTTGGCAGCAATCCACGTGATTGAATGCCTTTGTCCTGTCATCCTTTTGCTGCAGGATGATCAATTGAGCGACGATTGAGCGAGTGCCTTACGATGATAGAGAGCCACAGCGTTACAGAGGAGGATGACAAACAGACACAGCTTATCAGAGGATTTTTTTAAGTCTCCACGGGGCGGCTCTCCATCACATGGATTCATCAGCAACAGTGCTAACAGAAGATGCGTTTTAATGAAGTATCAGTTTTTTGTTGTTGTGATCCTTAAGGGAGAAGCGTGAAAGGACTAGTTTTTCTGAAAGCAAAAGGTAGTTTTCTTCTTTTTTTTTCTTTTTAAAATCCTTCTAGCCCTAGCGTTAAGTCAAGTGCAAAGAAGTCAGTGCTTGGTGGAGGCGTATGTATTTTGGCACACGTTTTCAGTCAAGTGTCAGCTATGCACGCAGACGCACATACAGCACAGTAGGCATGAGGTTTGGGACGATAAAAGCGCAAAAAAAAACAAAAAACAAGAGGCGAGAAGTTCCTTTTTTGAGAGTCCATCCATCACAGTCGAAAAAAAAAAGAAAAGAAGAAAGTAGGATTCACATAATTCTCTGCATGTCGTTGTTGATTAATGGAACTACAAGAAAATCCATCCATCCAGGAACTGATGATGTGTTTTCTCTAGCAAGAGTTAAAACTGACAAAAAGTTATAGAAATTTGTTAAAACTACATAATATTTGAAAATACATGTGGAATCAAGTAAAATTTTATATATATGCACTTCATTTCTCCGCATCTCTTTTAAAATCTTCATTTTCCTTGTTTCTTTTTTTTTTTCCTTAAATATATGCATATAAGTGAGATTTATTTTTTCATTATAGCTCTGTATGTATATATGTACATTATGTACTTTTAAATAGGTAGAGAGGGTGGTGGGTTTGTGAGGAAGTGTGTGCGTGTATGGGGGGGAAGATACTAATTAATTTATTTACACCATGCTCCGAGAGCCGCTGGGGGTCCGGTGTAGACTGAGAGGAGGGTCGGGGGGGATATACTGGTGTGGGTGGTTGTAAGGCGGAGGCGGAGGAGGCAGCGGGGGCTGGTGGCCGTCATTGCCATGGGAGCAGTCCGGCGAGCGGACCGGGGTGGACATGGCTGACTGGCTGAGCTGGTGGTGTTGTTGTTGTTGTTGTTGTTGGTGGTGATGGTGGTGGTGGTGCTGGTAGTGGTGATGCGTGGGCGTGTGGCTGAGGAAGGCCTCCATGTGTCCGTGGCCGCTGTTGTCGAGCATGATGACCTTGACGATCTGCTGACACTGGATGAGCGTCTCGGGCTGCAGGTCGGCCATGCTGACAGCAGGCTGGTGGAGGTGGAGGTGGTGGGAAGGGGTGCTCGCCGCCGACTGCAGCTGCGGGTGCTGAAGCAGAGGCCCCTGGGTCAGACCCGGGGGCACCTGCTGGAAAAGCAGCTCCCCCCGGTGGTTAAGAAGGGCCACGCTCTCTGGACTCGGAGCCATGCTGCTGCTGCTGCTGAGCTGGTACGTCTGAAGCCTGTTGTGAATTGACACCTAGTTTAGAAAACAGCCAAGAGAACAGCATCAAATGTTATAAAACTGGATCCTCCTCTACAATCCGTCAAGCCCTCTTTTTTTTTTTTTTGCGGGGTGTGGAATGCACAGCACACACACACAGGGCATGCGTGGGGGCTTAGGTGTAAGGTTGGTGGAGGTGTAAAATCACCGTGACTACAGCACACTCCCCTCCCTCCACTCCAAACAGACTGGGGACAGTGTTGGATGCTGGGAAAACCAGTGTCTGTGATCGGGTTCAGGGGAGAAGTGAGACAGTGTTGGGGGGGGGGGGGGGGGGGGGTAGAGGATGGGTGAGAAATTTAGTGTGACGCTAAAGGGGTCGGGGTCCCGGTGGTTCCAAAGGGGACACTGAGGGCCCCCGTGTCTCCCTTCCAAACCACTGTGTGGCGCTAATGGGGGACAGCGAACACAAGGAGATTTTTTAAGGGAGGGGTGGGTTACCAGAAAATAGACGGAGGTCATACGTAGAAGAGGGAGAGGTGGAAGAAGAGGAGGAGAGGAGGTGAGCAGACTGACAACCACAGACGTCCACAGGCAACATTCATCAGAATGCAAACCTCCATAAGTCACATTTATTTCCACATTTTAGTTCCACTAGACACTTTCCTTCCCTCAAAGTTGTTTTCTGCTTTATATTATTCTTCAATCTATCATAACCTTTCTAATTATGTAGTTCTTTTAAGGTTGCATTACGTGTTTCCTCGTTACCTTGACCTGTGTTTTTTGGCATGTATACCAAAACTTAAAAAAATGACAAGGGCATTTTTAAAATTCACTGAATCAGCAAAATGTCAAGCTCCGCTATGTTTTATGTACATATATAATGCGACACACATCTCACATTGATATTCATTACATGCTCGTGGGAAGCTTTTAGAAAGTCACCACCTTGGCATTTTAAAAACAGAAGTGTGTGTATGTGGACGACAGCGTCCTCTTGCATCATTTATGGCATAGCCTGGTTTATATTTGAACTGTAAAAACTAACGATTGAGACCATAAACTCATTGCAAAAATGTTAACTGAGGTACTGCATCAACTGAGAAACCATGTTTTTTTCCTAGTAACTTTTTTTTTGTAACTAGTGTAGTTGCCCCCTGCTGGCCATTAGAAAGAATGCATTGACCTTCCTGTTGTTATCAAGAGGCAACATCCACATTCACAGTCTGTTGTCTGCTGTCATATTAAGCGATTAAGTGAAATTGTTTGCTATTATGAACAGGGGAAGGAAAGTATTTACATATCCATTTGCCATTTCGACCACCATCTTTCTTTTTTCAACTCAAGCTATCAGCTTTTTGTGTAAGAAAACTCATTTTCTTAGTTTGTTAATGGAGTTTTCAACATCTTGCTAATTTCTTTCGCAATTTTATGACATTAAGATTCACCCGGATGCCTTTGTTTTTATGTCCCTGAGATGTCTAGAGTTTAAAACCTTTACCTAGGTTTTGTCATATTTTAGGTTGTAACATTTCTGGTACTGTACAAGGGGGAATATCTGACTTTTGAAATAACTATCAAGTTGCTTTGAGAGTCGATCAAAATGCAATTACCCACCAATATTCCTCCAAATGGAGGCTGTTTGAAAAAGGTCAGCAGTTATTCACCTGCAGTATAATAGACCTTTCTTTAATGTGAAGTATGTGAGGTAGGATGGGGACTCCAGCAGTGCTCTCAGTGATGACTTGGCAAGTATAGTGTCCTGAGTGTTTTCAGTGAAGAACTGTCCTTCACTCTCTGATCAGGGGTATTTCTGAATAACTTGTATACATTCACCAGTATAGGAACAGTTAAACCCAGATTTTGTCTAAAATCCCTCAGTCTTTTTTGTGGTTGGTAGTTGTTTGACTTTCAATCCAACATGCCAGGCCAGAAGGTGGAGATAAAGTTGACCTCAAATTTGATAGAAAAAACATTCTGAGCTACAGCTAGCTAAATTTAATTTGGCATTGCTAACTTAAAAACTCAAACAGTAGCACCGCATGGTTTATTATTTAGATTTTTGACAACTTGTAAACTACACCTTGCAGTGCTAACCAAGCAGAAATGTATTTTGTTGTTGTTGTTGTTGTTGTTGTTGTTGTTGTTTTAGGCCCTGGCTAATTACGTTAAGAAATGCAACAATACGAATTGAGGTGCATCATTTTTCAGTATGTTTGTTTGTGTGTTAAATGTATTATTATGTTACATAGACTTGTATAACCAGCTGATAATACTTTGCTCTAATGAGGCCACGCCCCCTAATTCCCCCTGGTGAAGCTGACTGGCTGAGATGACGGCTCGTTAGCTGGATTGGTTGCACCCCGGGAGAAGCTGGCAGCGCTTAAAAGGACGACGTGTCACCTTTCCTTTCTCTGAAGTTCGTTAGCTATGTTAGTTATTGGGAAAAAAAGACATGTATATTACAACCTTTTGTGTCATTCCCACTTACCAGTGTCTTCCAGAAAACATTTCTGCACTGTCTTTGTCAGGTTTTGATTTTAAGCTTGCTGTGAGATTCCTCAGGCCTCTAGTCATGGCAGCAGTCTCTGTGTGACCCTCCTGCCTTTTTAAAATAAATGTGTTTGGACAGCTAGCGGCTAGCCAACAGCCACTGACATTTACCTCAGGCTGCATGGTTGGTGAAGGTGGCTCAGGAAAGGAGAAACTGGCTTTTTATCATCAAGATTCAAGAGAGAGCTTGTTTGCATAACAAAAGATGATATTCCAGTGCAAACGATAAAAATCGATTCATCTTTGTCTTTAAACCTCTCTTGTGCAGCTTCGAGTGCACGCTTACACTGCTGTGAATTGTGTTGTTCTACTGCCATTTGTGACTTTAAATCATACCGCCTAAAAGCCTTTCTGTTTGATATAAATGTAATTACTTTGGCTCTGACCTGCACCTGAGTGAAGATTTACAGTCTGACACTGAGCAGTAAGCTGCGCGGATATTAAAAAGCCACTGAATGTCAAATTGACTCTATGTATTTGGCTTTTCAACCTCGACTAAACTGCCACGGAAAGGACTCGGAAAGGTCGCTCGCTGCCTCTGGGATGCTAATTGCAAAGCCACATGGGTACTGTAGTTCAGCTCGCACGGAGATGCTCACACGGGGAAGTTACTCCCCTAGAGGTCTGGCAAAGGCGTTGGGAAGGTGACAACTTCGGGTCAAATGAGTGTTAAATTTATCTGCCTGCATGTTAATTAAGGTCACACACACATAAAGCAGAAGCGTTCATGAGCTACTTTAAGTAAGGCTGCTTTCAGATTTTCTGTGGAAAGCCCTAAAGGAGTCACATTTTCTGCCCGAGCTTGTGGAACTCATTTCAGGCTCCTGTTTAGGCTCAGATAATATTTCAGCCTCTGAGTCTGATGCTTTTTCAGTGATTACTAAATTTCCCCAAACCACCATGTACAATCTTTTTGGTAAGAAAAGGGGGGGGTCTTTCTTTCTATCATAAGTTTAGTTTGGCTGAGTGTTCTCACACGCCCGCAGCACTCATTCTCACATCCACTCTTCATCCACTCCTGCTTGACACCTCTGGTCCTAAAGATATGACTAGTCCCTAGGCTTCTCACTAGTTCACCCTGCCTTGATAATGACACACTGCACTGACTTATAACACTGACTTACCTGCTGTTAAGGACCTGGCCCTACCACTGTGTACTTACCTCTACTGCATTGTGTCCACTTCTCTCATCTATCTCCTGGTTTCCTGGACAGAGGGGACAAAAAAGGAGAGACAAAAAGAGACAAAAGGTGGCAGCAGAATGTCTGGGTTAGAGAGTTATTGGATCTTTTCCCTGCGTCTTAACATGTTTGAGACACACTGTAATGAATTACTGCAAGAAAAAAAAGGACATTTAATTTGTTAAGATGCAGCAGATCTGAATGATATGCAGAAACATCCTGAAAAAGGCCTGATATTTTCTGTTGAAGCTGTACGAGTGAACGTAAACAGACACATTCTTCACTTTGTCCTGCCAGCCCCCCCCTAGTATTTTTTCTGCAAAAGCTTACGTGAGACCAGCCATCCCTATGTTCCCTCAAGAATTACACCCCCAAATTAAACATAGGAACATAGGGCTGAGGGAACAAGGGCTGAGGGAACATAGGGCTGAGGGAATATAGACCAGCTCCCGACAGGTGCACTAAATGTGACACAAAAGAAAGCTTGTTTACCAAATTGCTTCCATAGATTGTAGACCGTCAGATTAACATTTTAGTTCTTTGAATTTTGCAAATTGAGTCAAATCTTTCACTGTACAACTGTACATATGCCTAACATATCGGATACACATTATAGTCCCTTTAAAAACGTACTTCTTTCACTTGCCAGAGTTTATTTTCCAGAGGAATCTCAGGCTAAGCATTTAACAAAAGTAACCCAGTGTTAGTTTCATGTTTATATGTTAAAGGTAGTTTCTTTCAACAGCAGGTAGATGAATGCAATTGAGTTAAAGGCATCTGTGGGTACACACACACACACACACACACACACACACACACATACACACACACACACACACACACACACACTCACTCACACACCTGAAGGGGAGCCCTGTTTGCCACGCAGCTCGAGCTGTGTGCCGTTGTTCTTCACTGAGTGAGTCTTGGCTCCCTGCTGCTTCTCCAGCTCCCCTGCAGAGAACAGGAGACACAAATTATCGTCGCTATAATCACAACAGCAGAGATGAGAACAGGTAGAGAGAGGCAGAAGTAGAGGATGAAAACATAAACCTCATCATTCTATTCTTGTTCTGTGTTATTACATTACACACACACACACACACACACATACTCTTGGACACACTGCACTCTCTTCTCCAACCTCATAAACCCCGCTCTCTATCTCTTTATTTAAACTTTGCACTTGATGGTAATTGCATGTCATTTCCAATCACGATGACTTAGTGTTGGTTTGTCTCGGCTGCTGCACTGCATCCAAATTATTGATGTTAAAACAGGCAGCTGAAACCACCAGGAGTGCGGCGCAGAATGGCCTCCAATTTCATTTAGACATCTGACAAACAACATTGGTCGTTTAACTCCTCGTTAAGAGATCATATCTAGATTTATTTTTAAAAAATCTGCGTAAAAATTAGGGATATAAGATTTTGGGGCCGATATTAGTATCGATATTGGGGAGGGGAAAATTCTGTTACTGATATATCCGCCGATATTTGTCTAAGCTTAGATCTATGTAGAGATAGACCGATATACACATTTATTGCGTTGATCCCTTAAATGCAGTTATCATACACTTTTGGAAATTTGCTGATCATGCCAAAAATATTGAATCCATATCTTCCCTATTGTTAGTACTTTAACTGTATTTATACACTTTCTCTTCACTTAAAAAAGTTTATTTTTTCATCAGAGTAACAGACTTGAGTTAAGCCGTATATGGTGTAGAGGAGAAATACGAAACGCATCTCGTGAAATGTAAAGTTTCTTTAGGTGACTGTTTTCTCAAAGTTTCCTCATTTCCGACATCAAGGCAGAGTATACCAAATTGCATCCTTAGACAAACAAACTGTAATTCCTCCTTCATATCTCAAAGCAGTAGAGCTGCAGGCGTGTTTACCGATGAGCCAACGACTCAAAGCTCTGCCAGGAGAAAAGAAGACGTGCTGTTTGTCTGCGCGAGTGCCAGCAACCATTCACACTCCAAGTTTCATTCCTACGATCTGTTTTGAGAAAAGTTTGCACTACTCTGATGTTTTTTTTTTTCTTGTTACAAATTGAGGTCTGTTTCTTGTTCATACTATGTGCGTGGGTTGCTGTATTTTGGTACGCAGCAGCTGTCTATCCTTGCTCCACTTTTAGTGGGAGAGATCACCTCCTGTCTCCGTATGTTGTTGCCTGCTGGCCCTCCCTCTCTGTGAAGGGTAATGCAGTTGCGTCAAATCCCAGCAGGGATGCTCCCCTTTGATGCCCACTGGCAGGCCGAGCCGGGGCTCTGGATGCTCTGTGTTTGTGCGTTTCTTTGTGTGAGCGCATCACTTAGTGTCTGGAGAATTTAAAATGCACATAGAGAACCAAACAACACAGATGCCCGGCTGCTCTCAGGAACACTGGCCTCTTTTTTAAAATGTTTTTCTTTACCTCAGATTCGCTGGCCTCCTGCAGTCTGTTGAGCTGCAGTGCACCAAAGGAATCACTACGCAAAAGTCCTTCTACTCCTACACAAATAGGATGCGGACAAAAACAAAGGTTGGCTTCTGACTCGTGCGTTTTATCTAAGGTCCCACACGTTCCCACTGAGAGTATACTGAAGTATCCGCTGAAGGGTCACACATTTCCAAGATGTGAGATTACTGGTTTAGTCTGTCTATTAGGGGGGGCCACATGGGAGAGTCGCTGGGGGTTTGTGGTCCACAAAGAATATTTTGTCAGTTCAAGCCTCTATGTAGGCTGGTGGAGTCGTTTACATTGGCTGTTCTACTACCACTGAGGAGGCTTCCAGAGAGCTGGCCAATCAGAAGAAAGTGGGCATGTGGGGAGGAGGGCCTTAAAAAGCCCCATTTCCACCAAACGGTTCGGGTTCAGTTCTGTTCGGTATGATACGGTACTCATTTATTGGTGTTTTCACTGTCAAAAGTTGGAAATGGTACCAAAATAACCGATCTGTACCGCCTTACTTCTGTTGCGGTACCAAGCGTACCGATTTGACCCTGAAGGAAAGAGCTGGACAAACTGTAGTCAGCTGATTGGTCTCACCTCCAGTGAGATAGCGGTAATAAAGGACAAACACAAAACGCGCTGAACTGTTTCATGAAGTAAGCAACCGTTAATGAGAGGTACTTACATTCTATGCGTATCTGCTCCATCTCCGACACCTCCGCGATCGACTCCTTCAGGTCTTCCAAAAACTTGAGCAGCTCCTCTGCACTTTGAGCACAGAAGTTTAGTACCTGCTTCTTGTCTGAGCCGAAGGGCGAGAGGATGGTGATGCCGTGAGGGTAGTCTGGGGAGAGCATCGGGAACATTAAGTTGTCAAGTCAAAAAGTAAAAAAAAAGACAAACTGCAAGAACTGTGTGCATGGTAGAAGTGGGAGTAATGCTCAGGGTGTGAAAACGATTGGAAATGTTTCTCTGTCAACAAAGTTATTTTTGGGGCAGAATTAGTTTTTAAAAAGAGCTTAAAATACAAAGTAGACTGAATGGGTTGGTTGATAATATTTAAAAAGTGCACAATCAGTTTTAAGAAATTCTTTGGGATAACCAGTTCCATAGTGATGAATTCTGTTAACATTAACTAAAAAAGAAGACAAGTGTATCTGATAGGAAAGAGGAATTCAAGTTCAATTTCAAATACATGTGTAACTCCTTTAGCCTTGTTGGCCGTGAGATGGGGGTATTTTTCCCTGTTTTTTTTTTTTGTACTGTTGTGACTTACATTCATTCTCAAACAGGTGAAACTGCATGCCGAGGAGGCCCATAGCTTTGCAGAAATTGTAGGCTGCAGAACTCTTCTTCTTTGGACAAAGCTTCAAGATCTACAAGAGAGGAAAAAAAGAGCGCTTATGATGAGAGTTATGATCACTCACATTTAGATGACGAGGGAGAGGCCCACATCAGGTTTCTGTGATAGTCACTGAGATTCTGCGCCTCTCTCTCGTTCTGAGGACTCTCTTTCATTGAATGACCTTTCAGACGCAGAGAGTCGATGTAGATGGACATGTTCAGGCTGCTGTAACGGGGGCCAGAATTCAAAGACGAGTCCCCGTCATGCACTTAAATCTTCTAAGACAACTCCTGCCCTGCTTTCAAAAGTGACCGGAGAGAAAAAAACATGCTTCAGTGGAATATATGGCATCTCTTCATTTTAGTGCCAAAGGAACAGAATTCCACTTCTAATTTGTCCTTTTAACCTCCTTTTCCTGAAGCCACCAATTACTAACAGATGAGAGGGCGGAATAGACGGGATGTTTCTTGTGTGCTTGTTGTTTTTTTTTGGTACAAAACCAACCTTTGACACAATTATACTTAAGTGTACTTAAACACTTTGGATTTATAACCCCAATGTGGCTCCTAATGAGAACATTAATTAAGCCAAACTTTGATAATTCTCCGCTCTACAGGACAAATAAACAACTTTTCCGTTGCCCCAAGAGAAGAAAAAAGAAAAAAGCTTTATTACTGGCTCTTAAAGCTGCTCTTTAGGGGACGCGTCTTTGCTTATGAGTGCGCTGCTACACTGCGTCTGCTACTATCTATTATTAAAGGAAATGGCCAGAGAGTCCTGAGCTATGAACAACATAAAAGAGGAGTGATGGTGCAATGCAGCTGTCACAACAACAACAAAAAATAAGCCGCTTTAACGCTGGACTGTTTACTGCGGGAAGAAAAGGAAAAAAGAAGAAGAAAGCCTCTCCAGGGGAAGTTAAAAAAGAAACTGTCAACATTTTAATGACAGAAAGGGATTATTATTACATCCACTCATTATGATTCTCAATTTGTTTGCAGTCTTACCACAATGAGATCGTTGAAAAGGAAGACTTCTCTCTGGTGTGCCGCCTGCTTCTGGGCCTTGTTGACATCCGTCACCTCAAACAGTCGACTGCAGCACACCAGTCTTCTGTGAGGGACCGACAGGACCTGCAGGGGAAAGAGACCCAGGTAGAAAAAAAAAAGAAAGAAAAGGAGAGCGTCAATCACTCAGATGAGGTGCATGAGAGGGCTTAAGAGTCATTCAGAGGATCACTTAGAGACAGAGAAGAGAAGATGAAGTGAATCAGGCAGACTCATCGAACAAAGGACTTTTTTGGTTGAAGCACTGCACATGACTCACCCGGGCTAGAGACTGAAGTATTTACAGAAAAACAAAACCTCCATCGCAGTATAATGAGGTAAATAAGTGACATGCAGGCTGACCTAGAACATCTCAAAGCAGTAATTAGAGCAACTATTAGGACTGCTTGATATTTCAGGGTCTAAAAGGTCTCTTGATGGGGGGCGCTCAGTCTTTTTGATTTTACTCGATGAAACGAGAAGAAGCAAAAGTGTTTGTCTCGGTGGTGAGATACATTCATAAAGATAGATGCATGTCCCTCAGTCTGTCCATTATTATTCCCATTTCTGTTCAAACTAATACAACAGTTTTGTCCTGATAATAAAGGCTTCAGCCTGCATGTCAATAGCATATTAGTCATTCATGAGCCATTAAGCTATTCATCTACCTTGTTCTTAAACTACTTGGCCATTAACTTGTAGTTTTCAGAAAATGCCGTCCTCATTAAGAAATACATTCAGGAAACTGTTGTGCATGAATTTTGCCTCTTCAGGAGAAAGGCAGGAAATACTTTATTTGGGGAGTCAATGTAATATATGCACACTTGTTTCAGTTCAGCAAGCCATGTGTTTTATGTTTGTTTTATGTGTTTCTCTGTCCTGAGCAACGTCTCCGCTTTGCTCTCGTGTTCCTCCAGAGAGTGAGGTTTTATCTTTGACATCATCACTTTGACTGACACATGGACTTTATGGTTTCGTCTCAGACGCAGAGCACAACATTGATGCATGATCTAAATAGAAAAAGACTAATTTCATTCCGACTAAAAATAAATCCCTTTTTTTTTTTGGGTAACTACCGCTGTAATTTTAAAATTTGTCCCATTTTAAATTGGGATTAACCTAAAAAAAAATCCTAATCCTACAAATGACTTGTTTGTAGTGGCACAGTTTACTTAACTCCAACTTGTTTATAAGTATATATAATATACTGCAGTAAGCTTTACATCTTGCTGTTCAGTTCAGTGGCTCTGACACCACATCAAATCAGATTAGCAAAGAGTGTCCTGCTGCACTTGTAGATCTAATGTAAGGAGTTTAAAAAAAAAAATTATATATGAAATGGTGCACTTGTGTCCTACAGGCCTGGCTTCTCCTTTTGGACTTAAGTGCTTTCCCCCGTTAAAGCAGATTACACTGCAAAAATGGCTCATGCCTTTGGAGGCTGATCTAATCATGTTCTCGCCCCCTTCACACTCGTGTCTCACTCACTTTCCCCTCCAGATTCTGCTTCAAACTGAACAGCAGCTGACTGACTGTCACTCCATATGGATTAATCCTTTCTTCAAAAAACACAAATATTCTCTGGCATGGGTCCAGTTTTTCTCCTTTTGTATATCCAGTTTGTACCCTCTCTGCTCCATGTTAGCTGTTTACAACGCACACACATCCGCTGTCTGTCTCTCTTTCTCTCTCTCTCTCTCTCTCATCACTGCAGGGCAGGCTGACTCCCACCCAGCTGCCACAGACAGCCTGTTTTCTCATTACACTAATGTCAGAAACATGTAAAGACATCATTAGCTTGAAATGCCTGTTGCCATAAAAAAAAAAAGCACTTTACTGACAGGATTATTAAGAAGCAGCATGACAGGGAATAACTGATTATATAATATATTACCCATATTGCATATTTAGGGCAATTTAAACCGCAGTTGAGAAGGAAAATATTTACAGTTCTTATATGATTGCCATCTGGTCATTTAAATAAAAATTGTTCTCGTGGGCTAACTCCACCTGAACTAATACGTCTGAAAACCACAAAACAGCGACGCTGACTCTTCCTCTTTTCCTGAGATTGTATTTTAATATTTCAAAGGGAGAAAAAAGTTATTTAAGTCTTCCTTTTGTAGCACGCAGCGCCTATGGGACAGGAATAGTCACTTTCTGTCACAACAATCCATCATTGTTTTGGCTATGACAACTCTCCCTCCGTCATCCTGTGGCTACTCATCCATCACTGAGAGACAATTAAAGGCACAGGCCAATATAAAAAAAAAAAAAACTAGCCAACGTCAGGGAGTCAATGTCACTCTGAAAGTTAACAGGAGATAAAAGATCAAATCCAAAACAAATAAAAGAACATTTTAAATTTCAACCAAATGTTGGCTAGATAGGAGGGCGTAAAAGACAGTATGAGAAAGTGCACAGTTAGACGACGCAAGCTACAAGCTAAGGCTAGTCAAGCATTTCCTGAAGCATGTTAGCATGCTAACATTTGCAGCTGATGTTAATTTATATATTCCAAGTTTTCCCCCAATCAATTGACTTTGATTTGTGTTCCAATTTGACGACATCTTGTGAAACAAACAGTTGTCTTTCCATTCTTATAGCTGATGAGCTTAAGAGCAGAGAGGGGCTAGCTTCCATTGTGTATCTATGTAAATGTGTCCGAACGTTTCCTGGTGTAACATGCAGAGTCCTTAAGTGACTTTTTAAAGTTACCATAATAATTCAAAGACAAAAGTCTGGATTTATCTGAAAGGTGGACGTTTTCTTTTCTTTTTTTTTACACAATCTTAACTTATTACTTAAGGGTGCTAACATTTACTCAAATACAAAGTTGAATGTGAGTTTATCATTTAATCAGAAAGTAGCTTCAGCCAGCACAAGACAATCCCGAAACGTAACGCATTAATTAATCACTTCACAAGAATTGAAACAATAGTATAGACTCAACCAAATCTGTCAGGCTTTGTCACTGGGTATTATTATTTTCTAGCAGCTGTCATTTTGGAATGCAAATCTGTTATGATAATTTGTGCACTTGCTTTGGAATCCATTATTATTTCACTATTTATTATCAGAAAACAAAACCTGCAACATGAATCTGTGTTTCATGAAAAATGATAGAAAGGTCTTGTTAAACTGACATCAACCAAGCAGATTCCCCTGAAGTGTTAAAGCATTGGAACAAGCCTTTGAGTGTTATGTGTGGGCAAACAACACATTCCCAAATGAATCAGCAACATCAGTCTGTTATATCGCCAAATACTACAAGTCTAAAGAAAGACGTCCACAGAAATACTTCAAAACAAAAACCACATGTGGCTGTATGAGCATCTATTAAGTTGACTCTTAACAATCTCAGTGTTGGGTTCAACCTCAGACATTAAACTTCTCATGTGCCCTGACCGAGCTGTTTAACCTTAAACTGTTAAAAAAAAAAGACTAATAATGGCAGTTGTTAATGATGTATCTTCACTATCTTACTGAGTAATGACCAGAGGTAATGATGCTGATGAGACATTTAATGGGTAATACATTTGCTCTGCTAATGCTACTACAAAGTCAAGGTGATAAGGCCTTGAATAATGAGTGAAGAGTATAGACTGCTGTGTATATTTTTTATAATAATAATCTTGCCGATCCACAAACGAAGCAAACCAAAAAAAAAAAACGTAAAACTCCAGTGAGGCTCTTTATTTGGATTTTACCAATTTTTACAGAAATCTCTTACTTTCATTGCAACTTCAAAAAAAAATAAAAAATCTGCTGTGAAATCAGCTGTATTAAGCTGGAACAACGCAGAAAAGGCCTGCAAAATCTTGGACGGGCTGGATAAAGTCTTCACAAGTACAGAAAACAAACAAACGTGCTCTCACCGTTTTCATGCCTACGATGGATTGCTCAACCTTTGAGACGTAGGTGACGTGGTCTTCGTTGGACCGCAACTCTCTCTGTTGTATTCTCTCATAGATTCCCACCACCATGTCTCTTGGGATATCTGCTCCGTCATCCACACCTTTGAATAGGAATACACTTATTACTCACATGAACACACATACTACCAGATGGTATCTTTTTTTTTTTTATCGAAGTCCCAGAGAAGGAACATAGAGGGAGTAAAGTGGTAGATCTGTGTACTTTGGCTTAAATACAGCAGAATACATGTCAGTGACACACAGGAGAGGCACACAGACCAAATATCTCACACTTGGTTGAACTGACACACATTCACCATGTTATTTTACGTTCAAAGAGTAGAGAGAAATTCCATGTTCAGCACAAAAGCGTTCTTTCAGTCTCCTGCCGTCTTTGACTGTCTGTCTTACGTTGTCTCCATTAAGTGATGACAAAAGGCGATGTAAAGGCGAGGTTAATTGGCAAGTGAAAGGTTAACAGCCTGAGACGATTTTCTGTCTGGAACACGCTGCAGTTCAAGGCCGTGGCATTTCCACGTCGGTTCCAGCTGCGTGTCGTTATGGGGAAAGGTTGCCCTCCAAATGCTCCCCATTCTATGCAAACAGCTGCACCGGCGCGCTGTGCGCTACATTGAGTTTTCAATGGGGCAGGATGTGTTTGCAGAAAATGAAGCGGCCACAAGAGATGGGGTTGACAGTGAGGCACACTGGGACACCGCGGAGACATCGCTGCACATTATAGAGGCAGAGGAGGAAATGTCCAGGGGAAATGTGTGCAAAGTGTCAGATTAATCAGCTACATGGTTTTGCTAAGTGTCACCCTTTTTTTTTTTTGTCATCATTTCCTTGCATGTGTCATGCCTTTTTAAGCCATGCTAGCAATATGATTCTTTGAATGGCAGTTCTGGATGGTTGATTCACCACTTGTAACAAAACTCTCTGTCAATCAAATCCAATAGTTTTGGTTTTGGGGATATTTCAGTTTGGACCGTATGTTCATGGTTTTCAGAGGATAAACCCTCATGGATGGTTGACCCTAAAATTATTGTTTATATACAAATGCAGGTGTAACTTTTTCCTCATCCTGGGAACTATCTCATCTAGACCTACAACATGGTTTAGCATCGAATGTTCAGACATTTTGAGGTCCCTAGATTTTCTTTAATATTCTGCACAAATTTAGGTAAAAAAACAATCTTTCCTATGGCCACCAAGAAGTTAATTTGACTGTAAGCTGGATTCCCATTCAATTTGGTGCACACATTTCTCTTTTCCTTGCAATCAATTAACAGAACTTCTGTGATCCCTGAACATTTCAAGTGCCGCCATTATCAGGTCAAGTTTTCTATTTGTCAAACTTTTGCCAATGACTAAATATGACTTTAAAAAACTGGCACCTAATCATTTTATTGCTAGTTTAACAATAACTAAACAAAAGATGGTTGAACACTGCAAACATTTCCTCCGCTTCATGCTAATGTTAGCATTGTTAGCATGTCTGTGTAGGTTCTCAGTCATCCAGGCCATGCCAAGTCAAAGTTTAATCAAAACAAAAACTAGTCTTGGTTGAGGTTCTTGACGACATTTTGCCCTTCATCTGAGCGAAATCTCCAGCTGGAAGAACTAAAAGAACCCTTAGATGACATTTTTAGCATATAAGCATTCTGCCCAACAGAGCTGCTAACATAGTGGTAGTGTGGTCCCCTGATCTGCACATTTCTCTTTTCAAACCCTTAGTTTAGGCTTCTTTTCATCAATTGGCCTCGAGAGAACACAACTTTTTTTTTTTTTGTGGAGATGATGGAAACAAGAGCAGACTGGGTCAACCAACAGGGGGGAAACATGGGAACAACAAAGCATCCTGTGACAGAGACACTAAATGTTTTTAAACTTTTAATGAGCTGACATAATGGATTAATTAATGGTTAAATCTGCTGTATATTAAGATGGCCCATTGTTGCACCGCTTTAACACTGACAGTCTGTTCTAATTGAGATAATTAATGTTCCATGGCTCTTCATTACTATTGGTTTCTGGTGCGTAATTGCATTTCACCTCAGCCAATTAGTTGAGTGAGCTATCCTTCTGTCAGTGTCTTTGGGAGACGCAAGTGAGGAGAAAAGAAGCGAGCGAAACGAAGAGAATATTAAGCAGGAAAGACGGATAAATAAGCAGACAAAATAAAAGTCTGACAAACTCCAAACAAGATAAGAAAAAGAGATAGAAAACATAGCAAACCGAGAAGACAAATAGAGAGGCCAAGGCACAGAGCGGCACACTTTAATTTGCATAAGATGCCGAAATTGATTTTCCAACGTAATTTAATTGTGGAGAACAGTCTGGATGAATCTATTAACGTTGTTCTGCATCGACTTCAGCATTCCCTGATTGATTGTGCAGAGGGAGAGCAAAAGCTACGACGCCCCTGTCTCTTCCTCAACACTCGCCAAATGAGCATCTGTCTGCATACGGGAGACAAGAATTACAGGTGCTCTCTGTCGGTGTCACTATGAGTTGTGACTATGTGAAGCACGGCAGGCAAGGTTGGAAATGTAACCGTATTTTTTAACATCTACATTTAATGCAGGGCGTTTGATTGAACACAAAGACTGTTGGATACTGACTCACTTTCTCTGATTCATTTGTTGGAAACGCTGGTGTAGTCGATGCCTTCAACACAAGATACCACAGAAAATTATTTAAGGAATAGTCAGTGTTGCAGATTACATTTCTTCTCTAATGTAGTCTAACCAATGCAGGGCTGTACATTAACTTTTTTACCCATAGCACTGGTGCTCCAAAGGTTGATAGTCTTGTAGCACAAGACAAAAACTTGTAGCACGATGTATAAAAAGTCACATCTCTTGAACCAACCACAAGTTAGTGCTGTTAATAAAAGAAACAGGTTTTGAATGGCAAATGGAAATGTTGAACATACAGACAGTACTTCAAGTTCCTTAAATGTCTAGAATGCCAGAGTGTATTTTATTCAAGGAGCAGCTACATTTTGTTTCAGGTTTTGGAGTCACCTAAATCAAAGTATTCTTTAAAGTTCGCTTAAAGAACAAATAGCCAGAGCCGGTCATTACTGTGCTACTGACCAAGCTGGTGGATGGGTTCTGAATGAAATGGATATCAGAGTTAGTGTTGTAGTCAAGACCACACTAACCCAGACCAAGACATACCCAAGACCAGAGTGCTCCGAGACCCAGACAAGACCGAGACATTTAGGGGTCAAGACCAAGACAATAAATGACAGTAACACCGGCAAGGTTGTTGCCGTAACTGGGGGATAAATAATGAATGAATTAAAGCGAATGGTTCTTTTAGAAAGAAGCATTTCCCTTAGAATCAAAGTAATAACATGGAACAAATAGTGATGGTCTTGGCAAGTCTTGACTCAAACTTATTAGTACTACAGCACTAATTAGAGTATCATCTTTCTTTGAGAGACGTCCAACCAATTGTATTTGTAAAAATACAATGATTCGCACCACAGGCTTTACCAGTAATACATCTCAGAACAGGGACATAAGATCCTGTTTACTCGTCCTTCAGGAGTGCAGGCGTCAGCGTTGGTGAGGATTCAGCTTCAAACACACCTGAGACGGACGCTATTTAAATCTAAACTATGAGCAAAATGTTGGCATTATAAGCAGTGGAAAAGCATCCAGCTAAACTCTTCAGAAAACTGTCTCAGGTGACACATATACATATAAAAAAAAAGAAGAACCTCCACTGCTTTTGCGGATTATGTCAACTAATTAGTGTCACGTTAACTCCCTTAATGTGCCTGTAACTCTAGAAGAAACCGAATCACTTACCTCTCAGATTGCGTATGAAGTCCTCCAACATCATCTTGCGGTCAGGCTTGATGTTAGGACTGTACATGTCGGTGTTGAGCAGAATGATGGCAAAGGCCAGGATGAAGATTGTGTCCGGGTTGTGGAACTGCTGCACGATGTCCGGGTTACACATGCAGTAGCGCTGACTGTAAAAGAGACAAAGAGGAAGAACAAGACGTTTAGTGTAAGGGACGGCAAAAGAAGAAAGCAGAGGGATGACAAATGTGGGTCATGACAGAGGACACAAACATAGAGGGGTGGATGTTAAATAGAATAATTCAGGCCATTTAGAGAGGATAATAAGTACACAGAGAAGGATGAAGTAGTAAATTACAAGAGACATTTATAGGACAGATAGGAGGGGATAAAAGGCAGACAATATATTATCCTTTAACACTACGTGCTCATAAATGCCCAGACACAAGCTAAGCATGAGTGTCCCTTCAAAATAAGAATTACAGCCTTAATTCAGCTTGTAGCTCCATGTGAAGCCTTTCCACCGCCTCTTAACAATCATAAACCTCACAGCGGGTGCTCCGCTGAAACTTTGTCTCTCTGTATGAACATTTTTTTTTTTTGTCCAACTGGAAGGCCACATGAAGGGAAAATAGTGCAGAAAAACAAAGGATGCACGAGTGTTTCCTTCACATTTGTGAATTCTTAGCCGAAGTCAAACATTTCTTTAACATTTGAGGACCTTTTGGGATTTTTCCCTTGTCATTTTTGTGCTGCAGAGATGAAATACACAGTCTGTGGTATATAATCTAAAAACTAACTTCAGCACTATTCTGTGAAAAAAACCTTCATGAAGCCAGTCTCAGTTATGATCTAGTTCCCTGCAAAAACCATTAAATCTAAAAGGTGGAGAATAGAAATGCATCGTAAATCTAGCAGATTTGTAGTTGCCTACTCTGCGTGCATTTGTGAGTCTGGAAAAAAAAAAAAAAAAAAAAAAAATGCCCAAAAGGGGGGATAGAAAAATGTTGCTCTCTCTCTGTGTGTGGTGCATTGATACTTCCTGGTTAGGCAATGAATAATACAATAGTACAACCTCTCCTGCTTATGAGTAATCACAGATGCCAAAGAATGAGAAGGTGTGTGTTTGTATGCATGTGTGTGTTTGTGTGTGGAGCCCCCGTGGGCTCTCTGTGGGAGTGTATACTGTAATCGTTACTTTAATCAAGTCATCATTTCCATGTTGGGGCTGTGGCAGAGTTACGCAGACCTGCTGAGCTGCATGATTGGAATCTAATGTGTCTGTGGGATAAAAAGATGCACACATTGATATGTAAGAAGTACACTCATATCTCACACACACTGTTTTTTTTTATGTGCTTCCAACACTGCATAAACCTCGCAAGATTATAAAGGGTAAACAATGTTTGTGACTGTTTTTAGAAACGTCTAAACTGTCACTGTAACCTTTTACTGTGTTTTTTTTTTTTTTTTTACAGAGTTTAAGCTGTGAAAGCAGTAGAAAATGCGACCAGAGGACTTTTTTTTTGCCCTAGATTTTGCCTGCAGGTAACATATAAGGTTTAATACCTTCCTGGTGGGTTTTGTTAGGGCTGTTTGATCCGTGTGAGAAAGACTGCAGACTCAGCTCAAGGCTAACAGAAACTCATAATGATAGCTTATTCAACGAACAGTATTTGTAGGACTCATAAAAGCTAAATTATTGAGCTTAAAGGATTGTTGGTAATATTAGAGATGGCAGTGTAATAGCTACTCTTGTACAAAGACTTTAAGAATCACAGGTAGTGTTGGTATCTGGCAAGGACGTTATGGGTGTGTAATAGGGATGGGAACCTTTTTGTCTTCCTTAGATAGAACAGGTGAAGAGAGAGGAAACGCTGGGAGGAGAGAGTGGAGGATGACATGCAGCAAAGGGCCGAGGTCGGACCCGAAACCCACAGCTGCTGCAACGAGGACTACAGACCCTGCACATGGGACGCGCAACATAATCGGGGCTCCTGCTGAATGTAGTAACATATATTGCTATGAACATGTGAACTTATTTCAACCAGAAATGTTGCCCCCTTCACCACCATATTTTTTACTCTTGGCATACTCTTTCTCTTCATCTCTCTTCAACCATATACCATACCATACCATACCAACGCCCCAAACTGAACAACACTGTAGAAAACAATACGACTGAACAGTCCCCCCTTCAACACCTGAGATCATTTTTATTTTTATTTATTTTTATTTATTTTATTTTTTGAGATCATTGAAGTTACAATACTATATATTTAAAAAAATAAAAACTTAGCCTCCAGCTTAGTTTTGACCAGACAATGACCTTTGGTGACCCCATAAGAGTAAAGTTAGCTCCATCTAGTGGACTGACTAGCAGTCATTCAAGTGCCATAAAGTGTTTTCTATATCTGCAATGATTTTTGTAAAATTCACTGAACAAAAGAACGACACTCAGAATCCATGTACAGATACATTATTACATTATTATTATTATGTCAGGGCATTGTGATGCAGTAAGCTGTGTGGCCTCGTTTTGTGGGTATTCTAACATTACAGAAAGTAAAAATAACCATTTTAATCATAGCTTATTAATTGCTAGATGATATAGATTCATCTAAGTGAAGAAGATTACATGATTATTACTGCGTGACTGTGCACTCCTACTTCAGAGTGTGTTAGTTGTTGTACTTGTTTTAGCCTGTTAATCACAGGGCTGCAATCAGACGCTCCTTCACATCGCAGTGTCTGAAAACGTTGACTCAACAGCAACCGGTAATTATGTCCTTGTCTGTAAATCCTAAAGTACTGTAGCACCATGCAGTGGAGGGAAAAAACACACAAAAAACATCAATTTACACCGCTCTCTAAGTGTGCTCTTACTCTGCACTGAAAAACATGGAGCAACGACTGACAAGAAATAAAAACAGGAGGGTGAAAGAGCACATGGTGCTTCTCACAGAAAAACATTTGGAAAGATTTTTTTTCTTTTTAAATTAGTGTTTGTCTTCCAAACCAATTTTGCTTTTGTTACCAGTTGCTGAAGATGGTGTTATCCCGCTGCCGTGATGGCTTTTGTTGCAAGATAAGAACAAGTTGCATGGTCTCTTTCTTTAATAACCATAATAGAAGAAACGCAGTGATTGTTTGTGACTGCAGGGTGAGTAAATATGGATGTCTGGGATATTACGCTGGAAATATAAATCTGCTGTATTGGGAGCTGGCTCATATTTGCTCATTCATTAGCACACTGACGCAGCAGATACCGAGGCTGCTGGCTGCTTTTTCATTTCTCCCTCTACTTTTATTCATAGCTGCTTCAAATCCCCTTCACTTACTTTGGAGATTTCTCTCTTTTTGCTCATGTGTGTGTGTGTGTGTGTGTTGTGTGTGTGTGTGTGTGTGTGTGTGTGTGTGTGTGTGTGTGTGTTTGGAGCCATATCAAAGCCCAGGAGCAGGGGGAGGCAGGCACAGAGAGGCACTAACAGTTACGCAACGCTGGTTATTTATAAACCTTCCTACTCTCTCTCCTTTTCTCCCCTTGGTTCCTTCCTTTTCCCACTTGGTGTCTCCTTTCCCTCTCTCTCCTCCTCTCCCCCCATCCCCCTGTTCTCTCCTTAGCTGTTGATAACAATCAGAGCCATCCTCATGTCCAAACAGTCGTGCCAACCTCTCTGCTCGCTCCGTCGTTTTTTCTCCTCATTGGGCACCTCAGCAACTGTGACAGGTGGTTGTTACTCCAGAGGGGCTCGGCCAAACAGTTAGCATTAACAAGCGGTGCCACGGCTGCACTGCAAATTGTCTCCGTGTCGCAAATTGTGGCTGGAAATTACATGCTTGGCTATTCAGATGCGGGCTGAATTGTCAACATTTTTATTGTAGTCAAGCAGAAAGGATAGAAGATGGGATTTGTTTATGTTTAGCAGAGGCGATGTGAGTATTTGTATGTTTTCAATATGACTGAGAAGGTAGGTTCTTCTAGTTGCCGATCTATTATTTTTCCATTACCTTGGGGATAAAGGGAACATACTTTACACGTGTCTCTTATTTGTGTCAGACTAAATCTGTCATACAAGCTTGTTTGTGACTGATTACATTTTGTCACAGCTTATTTTTCATCTTCCCTTTTTATGTCCAACACATCTGGACAGATATCCTGATATATGAAAAAAAAAAAGAAGAAGAAGTCGGTGGTCATGTCTCTATGCCAAAAAACAAAACATAAAAAGATCCAAATTTTGTACCTCTTAACGCGTCAACCAGACTTGATGTTCGGATGGCTTATTTCAGGATCCAAAGACCTATGACTCGCATTTTAATGCATTGCCAGACAAGTTTTAGCCCAGAGGTAATTTTTGAGTGACAAGTTTTTTACACCCACACGCATATCAACACGCACAGGGTTACAGAAGAGAATAAATGACACCGGCATAACCTTTGGATAAGGTTCAGAAGAATAAGAAAAGAGAAATGCTGCTTTGAAGGATTTTGGACATGTCTGTTGTCTTGTTTACGCTCTGGTTCTTCCATGCTTGTTTAACATGAATGGACAATTTTCCCACAGAACATACAGGGTTAATGACGTCACAGTTTCACCACTAAACAATTATTAATTTCATGATTTCATGCAGGGCTTATGTTAGATAAAGGCCAGGCTTTTGATTTATTGGTGAGATCTGATGATAACTCGTTAGCAGATTCTATCAACCCTAGCTAGCAAGCTAATCTAGCTAGTGTTAGATTTAAAGAACGTAGAACATGCTATCTTGGGCCTACTTTTGTGTATTTCACAGGTGACTCTTTTTAAAGGTAGAATCCGAAATGGGGGTCCTTATATGCACGTGTTGGCTACATGACAGTATGCTAAAGCTAGGTGTTTAACTTACACAATTGGCACATTCACCCGAGGCGTAGTATCCATACTCCGATTTGTCTTGTTCCTATGATCCCAATATTGTGTCCCGTCTCGTATCGTCTTGTTTTTGCGACCTGAGAGGCTCCTCACACCCATACTAATTCAGCTTTTTATTGACAACTTGTCACCCAAATAAATAAAACCCCAAATCTTTCTTGATGATGCATAGAAATCACGTTTTGCTGCTAACACTAGCTAGTGAGCGAGTTTTCTGGACATGCTAACATTTGTGTGTGTAAACCTACAACTTAGCTCTTTCAGTTTTTGTATTTGGGAAAGTAAAAAAAAAAGTAAGAAAACACCGTCTCTACTCTTTAAATGAATGAATATTACTCGTGTTTGAGCAGCCTCATGCATTGGAAATTCAAGCTAACCACCGGTAAGAAGCTCGACTATCAGGGAAACGATTTAATGAATGGTTCGATGAATGCAAGATAACCAAATGCTGTGTTTTGAATTATTTAGAAACGGCAGGCAGAACGATCTCCCCTTACAGTACCAGTGAGAAAACTTGAAGATAAACTCCAAAGTCCCACAGCTGCTTTCACTTGAGTAATTACCTGAAGGCCTCGATAAGACGTTCCACCTTCTGGGCTTCTCCCTGGACACGAATGTGAGCCTGAAACTTCCTCAATGCTTCATCGAGCTCCATACCTGAGAAGTCCATTTCATCCACCACGCAACTGTTGAGCATGGTGGGAAAGGAAGGGATGAGATGTGGAAAGAGGAAAGGGCGGTGAACAGAGAGGAAAAAAAAAACACAGGAAAGAGAAAATATATTAACATTTAAAGATATTTTCTTAGTGGCTGCCCCCCTCACTGATGGTGTGGGTGGAACTGTGGATGTGAAGCTGAGATCAAAGATGAAGAAGTATTCTGTTCAAACTGGCCACCTTGCTTAACTCCAGGTATTAGCCATGCGAAGACACCAGAGATAAAGCTGTGCCCGGCTATCTGCTCTGCCCCCCCCCACACACACACACACACTCCCCAACAATCCCTCAGAGCAGAAAATCCTCCTATTACCTGACAACCTCAGCTTAATGACTTTAATTAAAAATCGCAAAAATATCCCGTCCAATGAGTTCAGCGGGGGATAAATACAACATGGCCGATTTGGAAGGTGAAGTGAGGTTTATTTAAGCAGAAGGTGACTTTGAAAACAAGTTGGGAGGTTCAAAAGTTCTTACTCGCTTTGATGTGAGATGTTCTGTGGATGTACAAAGTGGCACGATAATCGAACTATGAAATTAAAGTCTCATTTTTTTTTTTTACACCCCCGATTTGCTTTCATGTGGTTCGAGGCAAACTTATCCACACTAGTTTGAGATCAACTTCATCTCCGCTCTCTGTTGGTCCTCATGGATGGCCCGTTTCAAAAGAACGACGATGCAGTTGACGTGTCTATCCTTAAAATGTACAGTATGCAGATGTGTCAAGGTATCGCCTTCACCCTGTGATCTTTTTCTGTTTGTTGTGCTGTAGGAAAACGTCGGGGGAGCGTGAGCGCATACAGACACCACATGAAGATTGATTACTGTGAACAAAGAGAGTTAATGAGGTGAGTACTTGTTTGTGGCTCATGCTGCTCGAGCAGAAAAAAACAGGCAAATCGCTGAGCCTGCAGAAACACAACAGTAGATCACAGCAAAACTTGCTCATTGTTAAAAAAAAATACCATGAACTGTGAATTTTCATTAAGTACTTGAACTGGCATTACTGCTGCTAATGTGACAAGAACTCTGCCTGTCTGTCTGCCCTAGAAAATACTTTTAATGCTACCACCGTCACTGCTTCTACTTCTGCTATCACTAGGCCTGCTACGTCTAGCTATCCCAGTCACTACAACTGTCATACTAGCTTCTGATTACTATTATACTGTCACTGCAATTCAAGTTACTATTACAACTACTATTACAAATACTAGGGCCTGACCGATATGGGAGTTTTGGGGTTGATACCGATATTGATATTAGGAAAAGAAAAATTCTGATACCGATAAATCTGCCGATATCTTTCTTTGATCTATGTTTGATCTTTAGAGAAAGATAGATATAGATATACACATTTCTGGTATACAGTATAATGAAGACAAGATGGTCACTCATTGCGTATGTAAGTGCATCAACGCTTGACACTCTGGAGATCGATAATGCTTGTTGTAATCCATATAGCGCCCTCTGCTGGTGACAGAGAACTGATAGTGTAATACATTGAAACTAAAATGAAATGCTATTTGACGGGTGAATAAATCTCATAATATCGCTGCATATCTGCGATATAATTAGCGGATATTGTTAGTCACTTCATATGCGAATATCGGCGGAAATTATCGGCTGGCTGATTAATTGCTCGGTCTCTGACAAATACTATTCTACTCTTCTTCCTGTGATAATCCACTACGGATGAAAAATGATAATTACAAGAAAGCCTTGTCCATGGAGACAAGGCTTCAGTCTGACTTAATTAACTATGTCTGTTGTTATCAGTTACTGCTATCTCTCAATCTTTTAGTGATAAAGGCTCCACAATCAGTACAACAGCCATTAGTACAATTTAATCACAAATACTCCCTCATCTATATGTCATGTATCTCTCCCCACTCTGACCGTAAAGCTTTAAGTACACAGTGACTCTGACTCTATCCTCCTCTCCATCACGTCTCCTGACTGTCGAGCTTCTCTGATCGCCCTCCTCATGACTCACTTCCTCGCTCCACCACCTCTCTCTCTCTTTCCCGGCTGTCACTCCTTATTTATGTAACGTCGCTCGCGATGCTCTCTAGCCTGAGTACATCAGTCCTCTCCTTCCTTCTCTGTCACATACACAACCCCTATACACACGGCTGTTTTCCTGCGTACTATGTTTTGATCTGCATGCTATACCTGGCAGGGAAGTAAGACACATCTGTCTGCATAGCACGGCTTAAATCATATGTTAACAAAGCTCCTCTGGCAGGTTCACACACACATGCAAATAAAAGGAAACAGCAGGACAGATGGAGCCATATTTTCTGCAGCCAATGACTACATGACACTGCAAACTCATTTTTTCCACTAAACAAGTACACTACATTATCAGTAAATGAGTCCTCAGGGTGCCACATTTCTTGGAGACTAAATGTATAACCACAATTTGGCTTAATTGACTCAAGGCATTTTAACTGTTGTTGTTTATGCTCGAAGAAATGGGAGGAGAAGAAGGCACAATTAGCTTTCTACAGGGAGGATATGCTCAGCAACGTATCAGATGATGCAAAGGAAACACAAAATATACAATATATCGGCGCGCATTCACACCTTCCCTACACACACAAACACACGACGCATGCCTATTACGCACACACATTCAGGCTCAGTGAATCAACATGAGTGATTTTCACATTAGGCTGCAATCCCTCACCCGCTCTCCTGTGACTACACTTTATCGAAAGTGCTCTCACACACACTTTGCACTCGCCTATCGTGTTCCTCTTCAACATCACTATCACTCAGAGTGCGGCCGTATGACTGCTCTGTTGGAAAATCCGGAAAATATACCTCTATAAGTCGACCTTCGCCCCAGTCTATGAATCCTCCATTGCAGCCTTAAAAGCATTATCGTGTTAATACAATTGTATTTGGAACCAAGATGGCGGCCATTAAAAACATAGAATATTAGATAAGAGGGGACCTCAGGTGTACAACTTTGAAGAGTGCTGTGTCGCGTGTGTCTGACCTTGCAAAAGGTGTTCTCAGTTTGATAACTACGACAAAAGGATAAAAGAAAGATCTGCCATACCTCCTCTGGGTTGATATGCAAATTGAGAAGTAATGGGTGAATAGGAGAATGTAATAGAATAAAAAAGACAATTACGGAGATAAAGTGAGGAAGGTGTTTGATAAAAAGGAAGGGGGAACAAAAGTAGCTTCAAAGGAAATCACTTGATACAATAAGCAGGCTTTAGTGTTAATAAACTTGTTTTTTCTCTCCTCATATTTAGAATTTACTGAAAATTGGAATCTTTATCTTTTTTTTTTTTTTAGTCATCTTGGTGGAACTCATTACAGTAAGAGGTAGTCACAGGTACGTTTGCGGATCTTGTCTGTTGCATCGTTTTACTAGCGGCGACTGAGAAAAACATTAAAGCAGAGTTGAAGTCTATTTTTTTTAAGCTATGTTCACCTTTTTCTGTTCCACCAAGAACAACAGCACATAGTTGCTCCGGCACTTGTGGTTGCTACCATGCTTGTTGAAAAAAAAAAAAAAAAAAATTGCTTTTAGATTTAAAAGGAAACTCATGCTTAAACGCACAGAATATTTACATTTTCAGAAAATGTCAAAAGTTGACCCGTTGTTGCCTACTTCCTCTCTGATCAAATACTGCCGACACAGCAGCGACTGCGGTTTTGATATTGACGTGATAAAAGAATCTAAAAAAACAAAGGGAGCAGCAAAGGTTCTCGTTTTATTTTTGTCTAAAAAGTTTGTTATTCTTCTTCTATAATTCCTTCTAGCAGGGCAACCTCGTGTTAAAATTAAAGTCAGATGAAGGCATATTTTTTGAATTGTGATATTCCATTTCAAACTCTGTTTTGGTTTGTTTATAATAATGAAAGCTAGAAATATGTCTGCAATAACAAAAGCTTTGGCAAAAGTGGATACAAAGTTACAATTTGGGGTTAAAAGGTAGACTTTAGAGAATCTTCTAAGCCAAAGACAGACTTGAAAAACTCTATAAAACCTAGACTGATGTATCAAAACCACTTGCAACAGAGACAACTAAAGCTGAGGATTTTCTATCATGCTAAGTCCCATATCGAATCCAGCCCTGTGGTTGACCCCGACCCCTGATCTCACAGAAAATGGAGGGATTACCGAGGAGAATCACCTTTACGATCACCGTTAAATGATCCTAAAACGGTACGAGGAAATATTATTTGCTACTCACTCGAGGACGTCTCTGTTGAAGGGCTTCTTGCTGTTTCCAAGGAACTCTCCTATCATTTGCCGGCTCAGGCCCTTCCTCTGGAGAAGGAAGTGGGCGACGCCAATGGGTGTGTCTGGGATGAAGCCTCGGGAGATCAGGAACTGAAGGCCCTTGTCGGGGTTTCTGTGAGAAACAAAGGAAGGGAAATATTGTTAGGACATGGACACAATTTTATCTCCTTCACATTGGTGGTAGAAGGGTTAATAACTAGAGAGCATTTACTTTTAATTTTCTCAGATTAACAGTTTCCAAAGGAAGGTATAGTTGTGACATGCATGCAAGTCACACCAACACAAAGTTGAGCTATACTTAACTTATTCATCTGGTATATCCTCTAACGGCTGTTCAAAGCATAATAAGGAAATTGGAAACTTGAGTTGAAATAATGAAAGTAATGATGCATTAATGAGATTCTTAGTCTGTAGGTTGGCCGTTCGTTCACTGTGTACACCTGCAAGCTGGGCTCATACCAAGTAATAAAACACACAGGCAAACATCTCATTTGTATTCATCCCACTGCTAAATTACAAAATTCATTACTGACTTAGAAACACCTCAATACACTGCTAAACTCAGAGGACACCGGCAGAATCATAATGGATGGGAGCAGGATTTACATCTGGGCTAAGTTGCCCAGACTTTGCACTTGTGCGTTTGTCACTGTGTCTTTTCATTATTTTACTGATTCATTATTCATTTTGGTAGATTTACTAAGCCAAGCCTCTCTAAGTTGATTTAAACCGTGTTCTGAAACTAATGGAACTCAATGGTTCCCTGGAAGATAGTATGTCAAACTAAAAAAATGGTCACTTTAAAAGACAGTTAACAGGTAATGTAGGCAGTTTCAAGTTAAAGTGAGGCCATTTATCTTTTGGGGGGAAAAAAACGATCAACTGCATGTAAAACAGCCAAGTGCCACCTGGAAAAGTTCTCAGATGACTGCAGTCTTCGTCATTATAGATGTAGTTTATGCGTTTTTTTTTTTTTTTTTACATGTCTGTATATCTTTATTTTGATTATTATATTTTTGGTCTGACTCTACTCCATGTTCAGCTAACTTTTGTGTAAGCAAGAAGTAGTACGGTAACTATTTATAACTCTATTAGACACACAGAGTAGTCGCTCCAGGGAAGCTACCACATTGTTGCCAAAGCCCTCTTTCAGTGTTTAAACCACAGCTTTTACATAACAGATCTGTGTGTGTTTGTGTGTGTGTGTGTGTGTGTGTGTGTGTGTGTGTGTGTACCACAGCTAATGGGTTTAGCGAGGGCGGGACAGAGGGGAGCGCCAGGATGGGGGTGGGGGGTAATGGGTGTAAAGGGCAGGATAGCAGGAGGAGGCTGGAAGTGGACCAGACAGAGCAGATGTGCGGGAATGGGAACGTGAGGACCGAGAGGGCGGACTATGAGTGAGCTGCCTGAAAGCATCTGCTGCGACAGCCTCGGCACACTCTCGGCTTCAAGCTCGCCCTCTCAGCTGAAGGTGATGTCTCGCCAAATGAATTTGGAAGACAACACTCATGTGATGTTTGCCCAACACCAGATGGAACACACATGGGGATTATTATTCGTAAGCAGAAATGGAAGAAGTGAAGATGATAGGAAAGGGGAATAAAGGATGGATGGATTTAGATACATTCTGCTGTCCTCAGTTTGTTTAAAAGCTGCAAACAACCCTGTTCACATTGTTTTTTTTTTGTTATCAGGCAAATGATGATTGTCCTCTCTCAGGATGTACTAGTTAAAATTTCTGTTTCTGAGAAACCAAAATCTTGTTTCCTAGAAATTCTGCTCCTTAGTTGTTTTCCCAGTTATAACTCAAAGGTGGAAGTCATTTCCACCTAAATGATGTTCAGTGAGCCCATAAACAGAGACATTAAACCACGCTCTCGTTGCTCCTGGCCTATATTGTAATAAAAACAAATGCATTTCCTTACATGCAGTGATAACGTTTTGAACAGTGTCCAATATATTCTGTGTATATAGGAGGCATGTTTTCCGATCATCAATGTTGGAAACTAACCTTAAACAAGTTGATTCAGTCTCCATATCTTAAAAAAAAAAAATATGAAAAAAATAACCTTTAGGTGGGAAGTCTTTGTGAAGGTCACACGGTTTACTTTGGAATAAAAAACTGACTTTTGCTTGTGGGGGCGGAGGAGGCGATTCACAGCTGAAGACAGAAACTTCCAAGGTTGAAGTGAGAAAAGAGAACAAAGCATGGCATCGAGACAAACGCACAAAACATGGAGACGGTGCCAGACAGGACCCATATGTCATGCTAAAAGCAGAGGTCCCAAATGAGCGGCTACATGCCCTAAGAGCCCTCTCCCTAAATCACACATTTTGCCTCCTCGTTGCCGACACCTTTACCGCTTGTCCCATCATAAATGCGAAGCCATCTTCAGAGACGACCTTCATATGCACTTTTTTATTGGCTCTGTATTTTAGATCTATTTCAGATGTGCACAAAGTCCGCACCTCAGAGCTGTGTTTTATGGCCTCTACAAGTGCTTCACTGTCAGCGCTGCATGTTTCCTATTTCTTCAGATGCACACATTTTCTGTTTCATTGCTAACCAGTGACAGATTGATGGCCCCGGTTACCGCTTCTGTGCGTTTTAGGAGTAGAACCACGATTTTGCGGTGGGACTGTAGACGCTTCAGAAGTCTGATTTATTTCAGTGATGTAGACTTACTGTTGCAAAGCGCTGCCCTAGACAATCAAGTATGTTTTTAGCTGAAAGGGTAAGAGTGTATTCCTTTTCCCTGCCCAAATTAGCATTTTCTGTTTCCTAGAGCAGTGGTTCTGGATATTTTTAATCAAATACACTCAGAGCACAGTCATAAGAGTCCCTCCATCAATATTACATTGGAATGTTAAAAAGATGTCATTAACGAGAGAGTTTAAGCTAATTACTTAACTGTTAAACCGTAATGTGGTTTCAATTATTTGTTCACTACATTTTGATACCGATCAGCTTTTTGTTATTAGCATAAAGCGTACTATAAAAATGTGGTTCTCTGTCTTCTGATTGCCCAGCTCTCTGGAAGTCTTCGATGCGAGGGCTGCTCTCCAGTGCTGGGTGAGCAGCCTATGCAAACAGGTCATTTATACAAGGGGTGAATAGTTGCTATACCTATTTCAACTATTAATCCAATCCAATTTTAAACTTGCATATCTGTTTATCCTTAACGTTCATCTAAATAACCATGTATCCATTAGATTTAGCTTACTACAGCCAACTATGTGAACTCTTTTTATTTGCTTGCATAATCACTGTCATTTGTCAAGTGTTCAGTTTCTGCAGCTGACTCACTATTAATTCATCATTAAATTGTTATTTATTTTTCAAATCGGTTGTGCTATTGTACAACCTTTGCATATCCCACTTGTCTGCAGAAGAGAATTCAGAAATGCTTCCTCTGTTAGCCATCTGGATTTCAGATTTGTAATTATGTGCTGGGTCATTTAGCACCAAGGGCAGACTGTTAATACAGACGATGTTTGTGTGTGCACAAACAAACCATACACCAGCTGAATTTCTTGCGGAGACTCTCTCTCTCCTCCTGTCGTCAGGTTATCTCTGGAGGAGTTTGGCAGGCTTTGCTTTTCATGCTGAGCTAATTAGCCATCCAAGACATATGCATTCACATCCCTCTCTCTCTCTCTCCCACTCTTTCTTCACACTTGCACCTTTCACGCATACATCTCTAACGTCAACTTGTATTTAATTCATAAACCTCTGGTAGTGCTTCCATGTTCACGCGTGGAGAGTCAATGTGAGCTGCTATGATGTGTGATCAGTGTTTTATTGAGGAAATATCAATCACGTTAGCATAAAATTTAAAATGAATGCACACAAACATTTGAAAGCTCTGAGGAATCGGTCATTATTTCAAAACCTCGTCCTCTTCTTTTTACTCTTTCCTGCTGTACGTTTGGTGCCAGCTCCCTTGTGTGTTGGCCATGTCCTTGACAAACTCTCCCCTCGTGTAATGGAGTCATTGTCATTCCATCCACACTCAAGGTAGAAACTTTATCAAATGGCCTCCTCCCTCAACCTCTCCCCCGCTCTACCTTTTTGTGTATTTTTTCAGTTCCTCTCTGTTGCTTTTGCTCTCTATTTCTATCGCTCGCTGCTCCATCTTTTTTTGGCTGCTGCATACACACATGTACACACACCCAGAACTTCTGTTAAATTTACTTCCTCCCCTGCCTTTTCTTACTCCTCCTTCCAGGTGGGTGCACGGGCCACCTGCTGCAAGACAAACACTCACACACTTTCACACATTACATTAACCTGACTGAGTGCATAGGAGAGAGCTTTTCTCTCTGCATGATCAAGCAATACCCACGTTTTAGCCCCGAGCAAACAGCCCTGTTTAAGATGCAAAGGATACAACAGTGCAGGTATTAGAGGAAGGATATGAACTGGTGGAACTAATAAGCCGCAAGCTTGGTTTCCCTCCCTCCCTCTCTCTCTCTCTCTCTCTCTACTTTTTAATTTTTTTTCTGCTCCTCTATCTCTCTTCCCTTGTCCCCAATTTATTAAAAGTCAGCTTATTTTTCAAGGTGTTTGATCGGGAAAATGAGAAGAGTGAATCGCATATAGACAGAAAAGGCTGAAACCTGTCCTTTTCTGGAAATATCTCCAGAGAGTCACAGAACCTCATAATCAAACTTTCTTTAAACAGTCATTACCAAAGGGTGTAGTCCCGACTTCCCCTTCAAAGATATGAAAAAAACTGAAGAGTGCTTCAAATAAAATCTGAACAAACAGATAAATGCTACAGCCAATCTTTCTCTGCCACTCCAGTGCCTTTCAGACGGAAACTATCAAAGCGGACAAACTCATTTTACAGAGAAATATAGAGTTGTGATGGTTTTGTTTGGACTGTCAAAGCAGATTTGATAAGCCTGAATGCGATGAGGCTAGTCAAAACAAATTGTCAGCAATACCATAATATCTGCTGCATTTTTTAAAGTTACATGGGGTTGATGTTCTCGTACCTTATTTTCCTTCTCATTATCGAGCCACATACTAAATCTTGCCATCCAATTCAAGTGTGAAGTTCTCTTAAATCATTTTATTTTTCACTCAGGTCCTACTCTGTTCATCTTAGGGGACCTTTGTAATGATGTATCTTCAAGCACTTAAGGAGACAATATATTTTTGTTAGATTCCATCAGATAACATCGGATTTAAGAAATCCTCCACCATTTACAATTAATCGACTCTCCTTGCCTTTAAAAATAAAGTAAAACATGCTCAAAACTGACTGTTTAACATCCCTATTTATTGCCTTGTAAAATACAGTTTACTAGTTTTTTCTAACCCTAATATGTGTCACTAGTCTGTCTACAAACCCCCAATTATGAGAAAAGTCCATCCTCTCCGTCTTTTGTCGGCTCCACTTTTCAGGAAATGTGTGCTCCAACAGGCCGTTTGGAGATTTTCCCCTTTGTGACATCACAAAGGGAAGTAACCCCTCCCACAGGTGGGTGACACTCCCACAGATAGGTGTTTGTTCTGCCCTCCGAGTCTGCCTTCTCTCCGTGAACAATTGGGTATGGAGTGAGAAAGCCGGAGCCACCCAATCCCTTCCAGAGGGGCGTGGTCAGACACAGCTCATTTACATTTAAAGCTACAGACACAGAAACAGCATGTTCTGAGCAGGGCTGAAATAGAGGGGTTTATATGCATGCTAAAATACAGAATCAGAGTATATATAACTAGAAACTTCACAGACATGGTTTGAGGAGCTCTGACACTTATTTAAAATTGTTGAAAAGGAGGATATATGTGACCTTTTAATATCAGTTTTTTTATTTCACGTATTTTGAACTCTTGTGTGGCTATTCAGTATGCATCTTCTATGCAGTAGCAGCAAAGCTTGCTCACTGCTCCTCTTGTTTACTGTGTCACGCTCCAGCATTGAGTCAAAGTTAATCAGCTTTATTGTGCCCCTTTATTGCACTGCAGATCTTGGCAGTGAGCAGAAAGATAATGGGTGTTTATGAGCTCCAATCTTCTAAATTTGTAGAAAATGGCTTAATTGGGGAAATATCTTTACAAAATCGTGTAGTGGTTTTTTGTACCCAGGGGAACACTGTGTATTTTGTGTTTCAGCAAGGTGTTTTTGGAAAGCAGAGAGAGCTTCTACCGAAACTATTGAGGTGGTTGACACACACAGGGAAAAAAAAAACCCTGCTGGAATTGAAATTTTAACAAATTTTTCATTCCAGTCCCCAAAGCTCCAGTTCACAGAGTGGTGAAGGAACTTTTAATTACATCCACAACTTGTAGCAGAATGACTAATGAGAATTTTGAGCTTGGTGGATCATTGCCATTTTTTTTTCAAATCCACCCCTCCTGTATTGTCAGTGGTTGAGCCCAACTTATAGCATATGTGAGGGAGTCAAGTATAGTTATTTGAATTTGTGGGGTGTTTTGGTCCTTTAGGGTACACTATGGGTGAAAAGCTAATGGAGCATTTTCTCCCTACACAAATAAATATTCCCTTCAAGTGTGCTGTAGGCTGCAAAGCACATTTTCAGGAGTAATGTGGTTACTAACTTTTTCAAATGGACCATAGCAAGTGTTGACTAATAAGGGCAGAGCTGTTTATGAATTATGTTAAAAAACACACATTTTTTTAATGCTTCTATGGATATGTAATTTCCCATCATGTATTTAAAAAAAGCAATATGAGTTTGACACATATCTTATGGATTTATTTTTTCCTCTAGACTGATCAACACATCAGATTCAGTCACTGCTGGCTTAGATGTACCGCTGTCACCATGGCAACTCTTTCTCTTCCTATCTCTGTCTGCCATGTAGGCACCTTGCACCTGTCTGGAGGGCGTCTAGCGGGGGTCTTATCTGGTTCTGACTTTGTCACTCTTCACTAGGCAGCGAGGGGGAAGTGAATTCACAGGGACTGAAAAGCTGTAACTGGCAAACATAAACAAGCTTTTCAACACAGACTTGTTTTTCTAATGCTGACAATTTCTGAAGCCACAGAGGGAAATGCACCAGGATGTTGGCTGGTGTTAGGAATAAAAGAGTTACCTTTCTGTTTTTGCACTGTTATATTTGCTATTAATTTCCACTGGACTTAAGGCTCATCTTCTTTGCTCGGGTATCATCACAAGTGAAACTGCCTGTTGTCTGTTCTCTGTCTGTCAGCTAATGATATGCAATTTTAACGCTAAATATCTCACACTGCATGTTATTGTCATCTTTTGTTTTGACAAATACATGGGACCAATGTTAGCTTAAGTAGCTAACTAGTTACAGCTAATCAGCATTTGGAAATGTTACTTCAGCCAGTAAATGAAAGGTTGTCTGGTAGAAAGGAGAAGTGTGATATTGTTGTCCTCTGACTGAATTCAAGAACCATTGTTTTAGTGGTAAATCTACTTCTGTTATCATTTAAAATTACCTTTGTGTTGTAATGCTTGGCAGGAAGCAGGGACTAGCTTACTGTCATTTCTAACATGCCAGGGTTATGTCTGCAACTACCCATGTTAGCTCAACAAGTCTCTAATTTGCACTACATTTCTTTCAATTCATTTGTTTTGTCTTGTGAACCAATCTTCACACACTTCTTTGCCTCAATAAGTCATTGTGTCTTCTTTTGTCCCTGTCGTGATTTATCTGTCTGAAAAGAAAGACGACACCTAAGATCTAGCTTGGGACTTGGGTTTCTTTCTGTTTGTTCTCGCAGCACAATGGAGACCGGTGAGTAAAAGTGCTTTTCTTTGCTCTCTGAGTCCAGAGGGACCCATCAAACTCCAGCTACACTGAGAAGAGGGGTTGAGGTATTGTCTGTTTCATAAATCTCACTGAACTCTTTCAATACCCATAAAACAATTTTTGTTTCACTTTCAAACTACCATGTGATGTCTTTGCTTATGTCTGTATTAAGCAGGATCCATGAATTTTACATCTCACAAAAAGGAAAATGAAGTTCCTAGACCTTGACTCTTTGACTTTGTATTGGAAATGACATAGGAAAATGCAGTGATACTTTCATTGGATTAATCTAAACACAAAAGAATGAAAATGCAGAAGCTACTCACACATTGAAGAGGTTGAGGCCAATGCGGTAGAGGCGTTTTCGCATGACGTCTGTGGACAGAGTGGGGGATTTACAGCTAGCGGGGTTTTCACAGTGGTAGCGTGGCAGGCTAAGGATCATGGCCTGCAGTGCTTCCTTGGACGAGGCTTCAGATGTGGAGCGTGCCTCTGTTGATGTGCTACTGCTGCTCATCTGCTCTGAGCTGTTGTCGGCTGTCTCTGAGCCACTCCTTTTGACCTCCAGTGGCTCTACCACTGGCGAGCTTCCCAGCAGTACAGTCTCCTGTGGTTGGAGGGTATAAGAGGGTTTCGTGGATGGGGGTGCTGCCATTACATTCTCCTCTAGAATTTGAGGGATAGCCATCTTATCAAGGGGGGTTAGAGGAGGTTGCACATCTTCCTCTAGCTCTTCTTCACTCGGAGGAGGAGCAGGGAATTCAACATCCTGCTCATCTTCTTCAAACTGTGATTCTGGGGGAGGTGGGGGTTCTTGTGGGGGTGGAGGGGGATCTATGGGTTCAGCTGGGACTTCTGTAGGAGGGGGTGGTGGTTCTTGTGAGGTGTAAGAAGGAATAAAGGATGGCGTTGAGTTTGTTGTTGTCGAGGAAGAAGTTGTGACAGTGCTGTAGCCACCTTCTTGTTGGACACAGCTGCCAAGGGTGACAGATGTTGATTCCATGACAGAGGATGAAACACGGATATTCTGGCTGTCAATCTGCACGGTCACATCCCGGAAAGCCATCATCAACTTGCTTGCACTTCTTGACAGGTCACTAGGATCCAATGGGCCTTGAGAAATAGTAGGCTCTCTCACACCACTTTCTCCTCCACCTCCTACTCCTGCTGTGCTAAAGGAATCGGCACTAAACTGGTAGGTTCCACCTTCTTGCAGTGAACACATGGTCTTCAGGCTCCAGTTACTGAGTGCATCATCTATGGACTTTGCTAGTGACTGCACCTGTTCCGTGAAAGAGTCTTCAAGGTCGGTCAGGGTACCGCCAACTGTAGCAGGCAAGGATGGTGAGCGTACCAACGGGATGCCTGCCAAGTTGCAGCCTTCTGCCAGGGCCCGTTCAGCAGAGAAACCTTCTGTGTTTTGCACACGGACCTTGCGCATGGAGATCCGTCGAGGCAGACGACTCTCCAGCAGCGAATTCCGGATCTTCTCAAAGTTCTTGCTGAGCTGGTACTGGCGGAAGGCAGTCTGGATCTTGCAGGCAGCACGGCGGGAGATGAGGTGGCCACCGTATTTGTGCTCTAACATTTCGATCTAAAAATAGAAGAAGGAAGGATACAAAAGGCTAGTGTGAATGATTTGAAAGTTCTGTTGTAATTCATAATTTAAGAGGCAACAACATAGATCTTTCAGGGCATAAACCTAAGACTGCCAAGACTTGGTTGTAAGTGCAAGTAAACAATAATGCAGCACAAACACAAGATGCATTAGACTTTTCTGAGTTCAAAGAAGTCTCTCCAACTGTGACTCCCATGAAAATGAAGCATGAATTCCATGACTTCTTTACTATTATCCGAACTTGCTGTCGTACATTGAAGATGAATATGATAGATGAGTTGAATAGCAATGGAAAAAAGGCTGAGTCTGGATTGAGAAGAATGGAGCAGTACATAAAAAAAGGACTGAGATATAATAGTGGTGCATACAATCTCAAGAGGATGAAAAGGGTTGTGAAGTCCAAATTCTGAAAGTTTACATTTTAAAGAACTTAAAATATATCCTTAAAAAGTAAAGTAATTTAAAAAAAACACGTTTTGAGGTTGGTATCCAAACTATACACAGTTTGGTTAAAGCCACAATTTGAAAGACACAAAACAGTAAGAGCTGACTCATGGCATTTGGACAAACAGTTCATTTCCTCAGCAAAGAGAACTCATAATCTCAATTGAATTCCATAGTGAGGACCGTAACGCAACTTTAAAATTGTCTGAAACAGCCAAGCCGTTGAACAAGCCATTAATCTTGCCTGTGAAAAATTGTTCAAATGCTGTGGGAAATAGATTGAGTTGTAATATAGCTATCCTCATCCGGCAGCAGCTCAAACACTAGATGAGACCTCTTTGAGTTTCCCAGAACAATCAGGGTGTGGGTATCTTCAGAAGTGCCCAGAAAAATGCTCTTATCTCCCGCTGTCGCTCTGCAATCCTTTTCATTCAGACTTAATCAATGAATATGATTCTGTTTCTGTTCTAACTTTATCAAGGGCTAGAGTGTGGGTGAGCATTTGGCTTTGAAAGAAGAACAGTGTCACACTTTGCAATCTACATATGCTGCATTGCATTTTAAAAATAGCTAGGCATTTAATTCCAGTAAAATGTTAGATATCATTGACGTTCCTGCCATTTGTTTCTTTGGAAGACTCCTTGTATCAGGCTGATGTGTTCATGGGGATTAATTTGGTTCAAGTGAATTATCCCTCCTGTAAATTCCAATGCAATCGAGCAAATGGTTACCATGGCCACTAAGGATCAAATTGTGACTTTCAGCCTCTAATCTCTTTTCACTTTAGTCCTGGACAAAGTCAACAGCCACCACGTACGTTGCTCTGATAGGCTGTAATGTCTTGAGGCTTTGCAATTTCTGATAAGTAGTTGGTTCAACAAGATGCAGCTTGTTCTGTTGTCACTGGAGGAATGGAATCACGTACAAAGCTCTTTAGAAAAGTGGAATGACACTGAAAATCCATCCTATCTACTTCATTTACATTTAACTGCAGAGCCTCTGCGAGCAAAGGAAAATGCAATACGAATATTAAGGTGGTTTTTGAAAAAGGACGTTGGTTTGGAGCTCTACTGTATCTACTGATGATGACTTCTCAGTTGCTGTCAGCTTTTGCAGAATGAGTGGACTCGGACTGAATATTCATCACTTTTTAAGCGGGATTGTTCCGTGGGTGTGCTGTGTCTGAGCCTTATTACCATTACAGCACTCCAAAATAGACCTTGTTTAGTTTTCTTTTTGAGTCAGGCGAAGAGGTAATATGATTGACCCCATTACTTAGAAAGGTTTCCCTCATAAAAACAAATTCTGCAAAGAGTTCCACTGCAGAGGTGCCCTTGAATGTGAAAAAGGGCCATCAGCGTGGCTTTGTTTGATTAAATGTGGCAGTCGGCTTGTTTGTTTTGCCTTCTGCATAAGCTTGGTCGGGGGTGATGAATAAAGCATTTGGGTCACGTTGCTTTCTTTATCAGGGTTCGTATCTGATACACCTTGCCATTCAGACTGAATTACAGCCACACAAGAATGAGCTGGTACACAATGGAGGAAGGATGTGTGGAGAGCAAGAAAAGTAATGTAAGTAGACGTAATACCAGTCGAGCAAGGATTGCATTGTGACTAAAGATGTGCCCGTTTACTGATTTTCAAACGTTCTAATGGCATCGATATGTTCATCAATTTCTGCGACCATCAAATTCTGCGACCATCATATCAAGTGTTTTGTCTCATAAGGACTTCTGAGAGTGACAATCTATTGGCCTAAATTTAGCTGCTCTGCCCAATCCAAGACATGCATACAATACATATTGCACTTGATGTACTGTGACCAAAGAAATGTCCCTACTTCAAGATCAAACACATTGATTTTCCCGAGGGGCTGACTTCAACTCAACCAAAGAGATAATGTGCCAGAAATTACTTCCACAAACCACAGCTATCATGTTAAAATGTTCTACCTAAAAATACTACTTAAAAATTAATTTATTTTAAGAAACACAAACTAATCTTTCACTAAAGTCTTCCACAAGTTGTGTTGGCCTCATACTAAGTGGTAGCATAAAAATTGGATATTGGGTGTCCGTAGATTGGAGATGACTAACACATGTACTAATAGCTTAGCACATATGTTAAAAAAGGCAAGGGGGAAAAAACAATAGATAAAAAGAGCTAAAAACGTAAGACGAGAAGAAGCTCAAAGTATTGAGGACAAGGTAAGATATAGAGATGTGCTGAGACAGACGACCGTGCCAAGGGTGTCACTGCTGAAAATCCCCTCCATTAGCTGACTGTCAGTTCTACCTCTGATCACTTCACTAAGCGCTGATGGAGAGAGATTATTTCGGAGACGCAGTGGTGAACGGTGATGGCACTGCTATGTTCGGCCATAGTTTTCTTTTATCGATTTTGACGGGCAGTTCAGCGCCATAGCAACCTCATGTTCCCATCTGAATGGGCAGATGGGGTGGAGAGAACAAAAACAAGCGATAGCAAAGTGGTTCAGCACTGCAGTATGTGTTTCTGCTTGTACCTGAAGATATGACTGCTATGAAAACGGAAAATATAGTTCCTCAAAAATGTAACACAAGCTATGGGGGTATAAATCAAAGACAAAAAATAAATAAATATCTAATACTTTTTGGTCAGATTGGCTCAATAACCACAAAAAAGGGTCTTAATAGTAAAATTGGTACATTACTATACTATCTTATGTATTAGAACTGTGATGATGGAGAATATTTCACCTTAAAATATGTTGATTTCTCTGTCCTTATAAAGTATAAATACCCAGGATCACTGGAAAAGGATCGTCTTTAAGGCTGAACTTTTTGTGCTACAAATGGAAATGTGTCTCTAAAGGTCAAACAAAAGTTCATGACTCAGCATATTTTTATGGTATTTCAAGAGGCAGAATTTTCTTTTAAGTGACTCGTGTCATATTAACGTCCTACATGAAGCATTATAACATATTTTTTAAAGAAAAACAAATAATAAATGTCTACCTTATATCTTCTTGATAAGCAATGTCAAAGTCACATGACAGACATTATCTTTTACTTGACATTTGCACTTATGGGATGTCCCTAGGTGACTAATGTCTTAGTCGATTATAAAGAAACTTCTGACTAACTGACTAATCCAACTTTAAGAAAGCAGCCAGAAAACTCTGAAAATTGAGCACATTGTATTTTATTTGTCCTCAGGTAAACAATGTAATGTGGTATTCTAAATGTAGCTAGGTTAGCATTTCTAGCACTGCCAGCCTTCGCTCCTTGAAAGTTAACATCCACATGCCTGTGCTGAATACAATTACACATTGCTCCGGTCGATATGGCAGTTTAACCTGACACAGCCTACAAGCATTTTTATCTCCATTTTCTATGTTAAGGTGCTGCTCCTACAGGATGCTATCCATTCACTGTGCTTGTTGACATCTGGGTAGTAGATCCAAGTGAGGAAGCCCCTTAACTGGAGCTACAGCAAGTGAAGTTGTAGAACCCCATTATGCCGCCTTCTTATTTCCTTCTCCCATTTGTAAGTCACTGTAGAAGCCAGTTATACCAGTTTTGAAGATACTACATTTTCTTTAAATTAACAATTTGTAGTGAAACAGTTTGGTTCTTTCTTAGTCGAACATAAACAGGTTATAATAACCAATTTAATCGTTATTTGGTGAACATTCTCTGATCCTTTCATACAGACATTAAACATAGCCCTCTTTTTGTATATGTTAGTCATACAACCACTAACACCTAAATAAATGTGGTTTACCTTTCAATTTGAAAGGAAACAAATATTTTTAATTAAAAAACAGATTAACAGATTTAACACTCTGCAGAAACCAGGGGTAAAATGCAAAGCCACGTTTATTAGCTTTCATTCTCATGCACACTGTCTTACAGCAGAGAAACATCTGCATGATTAATGAGCTGATTATATAACAGCAAAACTGGGACACAACTAATGCTGACTTTATTACAAAATGAGGGGCACGATAAAAGACTTGATGTCATCGGAGGATGCTGATCTGTTAAGCTGATTCATCCTAAACCAAAGTCAGTCACCGAAAAGGTCAGTGGTTCCTAAAAGACCAAGTCTGACGCAGATAATAAACAAAACATAGAATAAGATTATGTTCATTAGCACAGAATTCACACATTTACATTGTTCTCAGCAGTTACATTTTCTTGAATCAGCTGTTGGAAACATAATGACCTAATTGATGTGAAAAGTTATTTACCAAGACATATGCTTTTTTAATATTCCTTGCATGTCATTTGCAAATGTAAGTGTAATGGGTGGAAACAAGCCATAAAATTTGACTTTTACTGTTTAATGTTTAACTTTATGGATATGGCTGCCTTTTGATTCATGGGCACCATAATTACTCAAGCAGAGATTAGCAGCAATTACAGAGCAGTTGTTTAAAGTCAGGATTCATCACGTATCACTTTATCTCCTCCCGAACAAAAGGATTCACACTAAGCAAAGACCGACCCTGTATTACTTACTTTGCCAAGAGCTCTCATGTTTTTATGAACCATTTTTAAGTCAATTTGCATTATAATGCATTTAATTGCATTTTTAAATGATTTGTGAGTATTTTTAATTAACTTAGATAAAATGCATTTATTTTAATAATTTGAGACAACAACAGAAGGATGAAATTCCGCTACCGTAATCTTAAATGGTAATTATTTTAAAATCCAGTTGGTGTTAATTGTAAGATTAATAATACTTAATAATTAAAATCTGGAGGGACATCGAGCCTCATAAAAAGTTAAACCAATATAATTACTGACTAATAAGCCCTTTTTGGGTGATAGCTGTTGGTTTGTTTGGATTATTAATATCTAACAGATTGCTAGCTAACACCACAAGTTGGTATTGTTAGCTGATTCAATAAATACGGAAATTCACAAATGGCCTGTTCAAGGTAATGCAAGCTAGGAATTGGCTAATTGGCTAAATTAACTGTTTTAATGGTATTTAATGGTAATTTAAATGTTATCAAATGTGTTGCTAACCGTTCAGTGCCCATTGTGTAGCATTAATATGGCATTAAGTTAAAGCTACAAAACAACAGTTAATCAAAAATGGATCCAGTTTTATTCACACAATACCGTTTTATTTTATTTGCTCAAATTAGACAATTAGTGTCTATTCTGTTTTAAACCACCAATGTTTGTATGTTTGGGAGCTAGCTAGCTTGCAACAGATGTTAGCTAGCTGTAAGGATCATGTTGTACAGCTCAGCTTCTAATTGAGATTCAGAACTGAAAATAATCTTCAAATGTTTTTGTTATTTAACTTCAATGTAACTTCTTCTCTACTTATGCATATTTGCTCCTGTCAATTCACAACAAAGGACAACATGTGAGTACAGGAGATTGACAACTCGTCTGGATTTTCTATAGATTTACATGCAGGCACTCTGCTGCTTGCAAATTGAGGCTCTTTGAAATTGAATATGCTTCACTGACCGTGTTGTTCAACTCAGCCTCTGACTGAACTTAGAACTCACCAAAAAGTCCCTCTCTCTCTCTCTCATCTCTTGCACACATCTCAGCACAGCTTTCACTATGAAGTTGCTCAGTATGAACTTTAAATGCACTCTCCATTGTCGAGCCCCGGTTGTGGGATGCATCAGTAACATAATTGAAAACATGAGCAACATTCCTTTGGAAAGAGTACTAAATTGTATTTCTATATCAGAGATTATACATATGCCCTTGATTTTGTCAAAGTTTTCCATTCAATCTTTATTTGAGTGGGATTGACATCTACTTTTAAGATAAATCGAACTCTTCTTCGTAGGATATGTGACTGATTGTTCAATTATTGAAACCAACAACATTTCAGCACCAATGGTACTTAAAGCTCATCAGAGATAGTAGAAATTTTGGAACCACTTTTTTTACTTTTTCAGAATAACTTTATGTTTCATCATTAGTCATACTAATAAACATTCACCTTTTTTTCCCACAAACCAAGCCATAGAGTAAAATGACCCTAGGTGTTTTTCAAAGTCTTTGTTTAGATTGTTACTCCTCCTATAATAAAACCTATTTAAACTGCCAAATTGTAATATACAATAAGGCATAGGTGAGATTCTAAAATTAATTATTGTAGTAGAGGTTGAACTGACTTAACGCTGAAATACTTCATCATGAGCCTGCCCCAGCAATCAAGGCATTGCCCCGCTGCAGATCCAATTACCCTGACATTGATCAGTAGCTGCATCAAGCCCTTGCACCCCCAGTCATACAGACAGAAGATCAATGTAGCTGATCGTGTATCTCCAGTATTGTTGACAGGGAGATAGTGGAGGATGGGACTTTTAGATGTGAGATTGAAAGAGTGACACTAATGTGAGAGGGAGATGTGGGTAAAAAGCTTAGGTCAAAATAACCTTTAGTCTCCAATAGGAAAGCAATGAGTGAGGAAATTATGTCAAACTGAGTGAGAATGGAGCTGACAGGGAGTTAAATAAAGCAACATTCTTTCTCAAATACATACACTTAAGTGGCAGGTTTCTTAAGAAGATGGATTTTTAGATAACTACAGATAACTATATTAACCAATTGCTCCTGGTTATTGCTCAAATGCGGTCAAATGTGCCAAACAACACTACAAATGACAGTGTACGAAATCAAGACTTAAACTTTGCCAACTTACATCCCTTGTGTCATGTAAGGAATCAATTAATCGATAAATGTTAGAAACTGGACACAAAAACATGCATGCCAATCAATTGTTATTTTAAGACTGCATTTGATTAATTAAAAATGTTCCATCATTGACAATCTGGTTAAAAATATTCAATTTAATGTTGAAAAAGAGCATAAATGCCCATAGAGTTTTCCTGGTTAGAAGCAGATGTTCCAAACTTCGTCCAAAAAAAGAGTCCTAAAGTTGAATATAACATAGCCCCCATTTTACCAAGCATTCATCTCTGTATAAAAAGTATGAAACAAGAAAAGGAGGATATGTTATTCAGTGGCAGTGAAAGACAGATCAGAGCTGTATGTGCGCCTGTATGATGATGATACCTTAGTGTACCTGTCTACCGTCTTTTTCTACCGAAGCCAGAGCACAAAGTAAAATCACACACTGGGAAAGTAATGGACTGTGTTGTTTGGTTCAGTGTAAAAAAAAACAAAGTAAGCTTTGTTTATCAGCTGTGTTAAAATAGCTAATGTTAGAAAACTGACAATTACTGCAAAGCTATTCAACTACGAATCTGTAATCAGGAAAAGCTCTGCAATTCTGGTAAAAAAAAAAAAAAAAAAAAGAATTACAAAATAAGGTACTACCCATAACGTACTGAACTTCACTTCCAGAAAATTTGAGGACTCACCAGAGACTGATAAAAACAATGGTCTAAATTAAATAGAAGAGGCTGAGACTTCCTGAATTTTAGTAGATAAGCTCCATTAAACACGGGATCCTGCATTTTTCAATCTCCTGTTCAAAGCAGAGAAGACATTATACAACAGCTTTGTGGTTCTGCTTGTTAAGAGTTAACTAAATATTGCATCAATGGACTGTAATGTTGCACTGAAGTTGTACAAGTTAGGTCAGGAGTACAAATTGAGCCCATCAAGTTAGACCCAAACTCTGCTGCCTTACCTGCTTGAGGATCCATGGATGAGGAATGCCAGTTAGATGGATGACAATGGAAACACATGGTGGGGGTATCATGGTTGTTGAAATGGAGATGATTATGTAATGATTTTCCATCTCCTGATGAACAGCATGATAAGAACACAAACATGACAACATGGTAATGCACATTTGAATACAGTCACAGTTCATTGACATATCAGTTTTGGACAAAATTGGCTTAACTGGCTGCAATAAATTGGGAACAGATAACGGTCACATGCTTTTTCTCCATGGAAATAGGGGGATTTTCATCATCCATAGTGTCTCAGAAAGCAGCAAAGGACAGACAAATTGGAAAGCTTTTCTTCCATGCAGATACAAGTAGAGCTTGTTTGCGTGTTGAATGTGTATTTATGCATCGTTGCCACTATACAGTGTTTAAAACCTCGAAAATTAACATTTTGTTAACATTTTGAGAGTTGTCCTACTCTCGGGCAAGTACACAAAACAGTGAAATACCTGGGAATAAATTGTTAGATCACATACTTTAACAATCCAAATCCGATGAAAGACAAAACCATGTGAGGAAGTTGATGAAATGATGACATGGCGATGACAATGATCTATGATAATGAAGAGAAGGAGTCTCATCATTAGTTGATACAGTTTGGAAGTCCAGAGGAGCCAATGGATTAACATGAAAAACACAAAAATAAAAATCTCATCCAACAACAGCTTTTCCCTCAAACCAAAAGCCCTCCACCTCCTCAGACAGAAAACACGTCAGACCATTAGACGTACAAAACACACAAACAATTACTCCCACTCCCGTCATCCCCTCCCCAAATCCCCAGAACAACCCTACCTGCTTATTTTTGAGGTCAAGAGAGAGCTCATAGTCGGAGGTGGCTGCATGCGAGCCGGCCCCGTTGCGTTGCACCCTCAAAGGCGAGGCCGTGTGGTGCAGGCTGGCTCGCCTCCCTGCCCCACCTCCTTTAGCTCCTCCCCCTTCCTCCTCTTCGTCTTCCTGTGCTGCAACAACCTGAGCCTCATCTCCATCTTGCTTTCTATTTGACTCCACAACTTCTTCCCAATTTTGGTTCTCTTGCTCCGCCACTGTCTGGTCCTCTCTGCAAGGTGAAGGGGACTTAGGGGAGTCCTGTGCTGCTTCCTCACTCGGAATTTCAACTTTTGGCTGGGGTTCAGGTTCTGGTTCCGGCTCTGGCTCTTGCTCTGGCTCTGGCTCTGTCTCTGGCTCTGGCTCTGGATTGGGCTCAGTTGCAGGTTGGGTTTTTGGTTCAGGTTGTGGCTCAGGTTTGGTTTCAGACTGTTGCTGAGGCTGTGGCTCAATTTCTGGCCGTGGCGGTTGAGGCTGTGGTTGAGTCTCTTGCGGCTGTTGCTCTGGCTGTGGTTGTGGTTGTGCCTCGACCTCACTCTGCAGCTCCCCCTCTCCACCCTTCCCTTCATCCCCCAAAGATGGTTCTGGAGAAGGGTCATCGCTGCAGAAAGGAGGAGAAAACGCAGAGTGAGGTTGCTGCTGCTTCCGTGGTGACCTCTGAATCTCTTCTCCAGGCTGCCTGCTTTAGTGGTAAGAAGTTGAACCTTCATTTTTATTTTTTTGTCTTTGTCTGATTTCACTCATCATCTGTCTAGCTGCTCTGTTCTGTCTGCTTCTCTTGTCTGTCTAGACACTGCCAGACAATAAAACGCAGAAAAAATACACAGCACAGAACAGCTGACAAGAATCAGAGCAAACAAAAGTAAAAAAAAAAAAAAAAAAAAAAAAAAGTTAAAAGCGATTATTTATTTCAGTAAAATCTTCAGAAGAAAAAATGTGAGAAAAAAACAAGGAAAGTTGACAACCGATAGTGACACACACCTAACATACACACACACGTACATGGGGGACAATCATGCAGCCAATCCAAATGTCTCTACACAATTTAAACTCTGTGTGCTTGCATATGTGTGAACTGGTGCATTTATGAATGTAAGTGTGGGACTTGACTTTTTATGGTGTATTAACAAGAGGTGCAACATGAAACACAGAGGGGAGGAGGGAAGCTGTATCAGTGTGACTTAAGACGTGTTAATAAAAACTGACTTCACCCTTGTCTTACTCTCCTCTTTCTTTTACAGACCTCTTTCTTCTCTGTCTCTCTGTTTGCTTTTCTTGCATTAGTACATAATCGCCTAGTGTTTTTACTTGTTTTGTACAGACTATGCACTAAATCCAAAATGTACAGCTTAGGCCAATCGCTGTACCTATCGGCTGATGAGGCGTTATGTCTCTGGAAACAATGGGAAGCTTTTCAGGGTTTCTGTTGAAGCTAACAGTTTGGGGGAAAGAACTTTCGGTCATGACTTGCATTTCTGTGAGTGTCCTTTGAGTGCTGACTGACGAGCAACTTGAGAAGCAACAATGGCATTGGTGTTGAGAGACGATGTTTAAGAGGAGATTGTTTGCTGCTCTTGCTTGCCGATTATGTGCTCAAAGATGTATTGCTTTCTGAAAAGGTTAATCCTGCTTGTATGATTTATAAAGAGAAATAAATCACAATCACAATGCCATCATTCATTAAGCCAACTTGGTGTGTACCAATAGACTTTCCTGGAAGATCATTTTGAATTCAAACCAGGTTTTTTTATTCACACTAGTTAACAGTGGTTGAGATAACAGCTTGCCGTGTTATTTCCCATCTTAAGATAAGAGTTTATTTTTCCTCTTATTGGATATGGTGATAAGAACTGAGTCAGTGAGCATATAATCAGGACATGCTGGCTGCCATATGCAGAGTGCTGCAAAAGAAAATCTGCAGGATATTCCCATGAGAGAGTGGAGACTTCAGAGAGACAACAAACTTTTAGTGTAAACAGCTGAAATCTGTGTTTTTGAAGAAGTTGCAGGGACACATCTAATGTATGCATTGCTGAAAGACGCAGTCGTGTTGAAACAAGTATAATAGTAAAAGTTTCTGTCTATATATCAACTTTCCTTTCTTGCATAGGTAACTCGCATTTCCTTTTCTTCACAAATGGCAGCACATAAGTTGGAGGAGAAAATATCTTTAGCGAGGATATAGCTGGGTCTGCAGCTTCTAAAATAGAGCCTGTATGAGTGATGAATAATGAATAGAGAGATGAAGTCTGCTGCTTTCACACTCGGCTGCAGGTGAGCTTTTTTCCTGTGCAAAAAATAGACCTGCGCGGTAAAACAGAAGACTTCCTTTAGGAGGAGGGACATCAGGTACGGCCTACCGTCCCTGCATGCAATGGTTTTTACCCATTGTTGTGAATCTAAATGCATTTTTTTCTAATTTGAAGTTTGCAGAAGCACTTTTTCTGGTAAGCCATAGAGATGATATGACAACCGAAAGGTTACGTTTTGCTTGATTTGAGTTGAACCCTGCTAAGGCAACCAAAAAAATAGTGAATAAAAAAATAAAAAAAGTGGGTTTTTTTTTCAGAGGACACCATAAATATGCAGTCACTGCTTATACTGCATCTGCTGGTTTTCTATGTTTATGTAAAGTTAGGGTGCATCAGCTCTAAACAACTCTTAAAAACTCTAACTTCTTAGTCTGTCACTCACTTTCTCTATATTTACACCTTTCTCAACCTTTTTCCCTTTCATCTTTTTTTGTCAAACTTCCCGTCATCTTCTCTGTACACACACACACACACACACACACACACACACACACATACGCACACTCGCCAAAGTCGTCCTGCCACTCTGTCCTCCACCAGGTAAGGAGATTGAGCGGTTCCAGGTGTCATGGTGACTGACGAGGCGTAGACGAGTCCTGGAACGCTGCCTCTCTTTCTCTCTCGCTCTCTTTGCCTCTCATCTTTTCGTGCGTCACTTTTGAAGACGGATGAGCGCTCTGGCCTCCACCAATTCAGACCGGAATATAATTATTACACCTCATGCAGACGTCTCTCTTCTCACTCTGCTGTGAATGCTAACAGGCTGCTACTGTAGTCTGACATCGCATCAGGTTCTGTCTGTCCTTGGTGTGTGTTGCAACAACTTAAAAGACCTTCAAAGCGTAAGGTACCTGAATTAATTAAGACACAATCCTGCACAATCTCCGATCCTTTTCAAAAGCTATACAATAATGATCTTTTCATGTCACTCTCGTTAATATAATAAAAGAAAAAGTTGGTGTTTTAACCCAAAATTCTGGAAGAAATGCACGATTACTGCAGTGTAATATCATTATCTATGTTTGGACCTCAGCTGTCAGCCATGATGGTTACTGGTTATATAAAGCTTAAAATATATTCAACAGCCAGGGCAAATGGTTCCATTGGGAAGGAGAGTAAAATACCGCTAAAATTCCCAGTGCTGACTGCAGCCTCATAGCATCTGTTTCCAGTGTGTCAGGATGATGACTTCTGACAGGAAGCCCACCATCTTTTATGCAGGAGTACCACTGATTATGTCTTCACCATGAACTTGGTAGCTCTGGGCAGCTCAGGCTTTCATTAACCTTGATCACAGAGCTTTTGTGCTGCATCATCACCGCAGAGAAACAACGATGAGATATATCGGCTCGTGTGACCAGTGGGGGTTCAAAGGGTCTATCCTCTGGTGGACCGCAGCCAAAGAGTTGCTGAAGAGGGCATTATGGGAGGAAAAACCACATCAGCACAAGTCAAAGCAAATGAGATCCCTAAAGAAGCTGCCTGATGATAACAGTTCTAGCTCAAAGGACTAGTTTTCTTTCAGTCGTAGATATGAATTTTATTTTATTCTATATTGAGAACTTATTTTGTAGTGAGCTATTTTCAGTCAACCAGAAGGTATTTTACTTAAGAAAATGCAGAATTTGCATTGTCAACCATACTCAATTTCCTCTCCCTACCTACGTCGCCTCTGACCCAGTGTTAAGGTGCAAAGACTGTCCCACCCCAGAGGGGTTTTAGGGGTAGCTTAGAGCTTTACCTGACACAGACAGAGCAATACTTTGAGCCCAATTCCTGGGGAGGACAAGCTTGGGTTGATCGTTAAACCGAATCCATTTTAATTAGGCGAGACCTGTTGGGGAATATGTGTCTTAAGTCACTATTCAGTGACCTAAGAGCACTAAGAGGGGGGTAAGTGCATGTGCAGATAACTTTCCAATTTGAGGAAATGTTAATAATTTGTATTTTAGTTTCTTATTCTTGAGGAATGTCATCTCTCTTTTTTCTTTTGGATCATCATATATTTTGATTATTATAAATAATGTGCTTTTTTGCCCAATGTGATGTATTTTAATGCTCTTAATCTCATAAATGTTCTTTTTTTTAACTTCATAAAAAAGCTATAAAGCACTTTAAATAGCTTTATTTATTAACAATTATTAATTATTGGTGCTCTATAAATAAACTTGCCTTATCTTGCCTATACGTAGCACATTTAAGACTCTCATAGAGAAAAAAAAATCACTTTCTCAGGAAGAACCCAAGTGCAGACAGTAGCACAAGATCCTGCATAAATAAGCACATTCCTTATTTACTTTTAAAAGATAAAGAGCGTAATGTCTGGGATATATTTGCTGAATGCATCTACGGAATGTATTTAAAATTCATTAAGTCCCTCCAAGCAGGAAAAACATGACAGTGACTGACTTTTAGCATTTAAAGAGTGAAAGCATTACTTCTAACACATTATAATGATGCATTATTTCCTTAACAAGGCATAAATCTAAGTCCAAGAACAAAATGCATTCTGTGTTCCAGCTGATTCACTTTCATGTCACACTGATGGATTTTTAAGCGGCAGGAAAAACACAGATTCAACAAAAATATCGTCCGGCCCTGACAGTGACAAAAGTTCAGCTTTGCACCATTTCAATGCAGACTGCAAATCATTTCCATTCCGCTTCATTTAAGATGCACTCATCCCGATGAAGTAGAAAGAAACAGAAGCCATTAACATGCACAATGTCAGCTCTACATTAGCATCAGAAAGCCTCTGGTTTCTCTAATCATGAGGTCAAGTTGAGTTACACTGAGCAATCAAAAATGCTACATTAATGAATGTCTTCTTCTCTACATTAATCTATGACCTAACCACTTGTTAACCTCTCTTTGAGCATGTATTCACAGAAGTTCAGGATTGGACATTGACTTTTATTTATTTTATGTTGCATTAGGGGTAAAGAGATGATGCAGAGTATGAGGGGGAAGAAGCTCAGACTCAGAAAATACTCAAATGGAAGCCTTATTAAACCAAATGATCTCACAATTTGATAAAAACCCAGTTTCATTATGATAATTTCATTATGATAACTGTACAAAAATGTATCTAAAGAACAGGGGGCTTGGCTATGTTTACCAAGCTCAATATTGTCCTGAAATGACATAATCCAGTATTCCAGAGACCTCTGAAAAGCTTTTATTACAGAACAAAATTAATGTTGGCATTCATGGAAATCCATCCAATCGATGATGAGATATTTTAATTAAAACACAACCTCATGGTGGCACTACAGGAGGAGTAAAATAA